AACTCAAACTTCTTACCAGAGCTTAAAAGTCCCTGACCTCAGCCCACCTTACCACCCTTCCTATAAGGGGAAGGCCCTCTTTTCAGTTCTTTGAGTAACTACATTTGTTCCCTCTGGGCCTTGCACTTACTCTTCCTTGCATTTAGCCCTCCTCCTTCTTGCCCTGCAGGAGTCAATCCAGACATCACTTCCTCCAGAGGAAGCCTCCACCCCACCAGCTCTTCATTCCTTTCCAGAGTTTTTTTTTCTTTTCAACCCTAACTGTCCTCCCCAAACTACCTAGTTCAAGCATGTGTCTATTTGCCTAAGATCTCTGGACTCTAAGCTGTTTTAGGCAGGGAACTTTGTGGTCTCACTGACTGCTGACATCCAGACCCCAGAAGAGGAAGCATGAGCTCAGGAAATACTGGATGGATGGATGGATGGATGGATGGATGGATGGACAGATGGATGGGCAGGCCATGGCAATATTAAGTGACTTGCCTGACCACAAAGCAGCAGCAGAGCTGGACAATAGCCAGGGCAATTGCACCACAATCCTGTGAGCTTAACCCTAAAGATGCATTGCCCTCACAGTATTTGGTGAAGAGCTTGGCTGCCTGGGCTGGCATCCCTGCTCCATTAATTCACTGTGTCCTTGGGTGAGGCATTTCACTTCCCTGAGCCCATTTCCTCATCTGTAAAGTGAGGGCATTCATGATTCTAACTCTAGTGGGTTAAATGAAATGGTACAGGTAAAGCAGCAGCACAGGACCTGGTGGGAGTACTGCCAATAACTAGCAAGTATGGTTAGCATCACCTTCCAGCTTTGAGAAACTAAGGAGAGTGAGGGCCAGAGGCTGGCCCAACTTGCCTGCTTCCCCAAGCTGGACATTTGGGTGTGCCAGCCTTGTCCTCATACAAGTTGGACAGGTTTTTGGGATGGAAGGCAAAGGCATGGGGCCCAGGTGGGGTTGGACATGGTTAATTAAAGGGAGCTGGCTGGGAGGAGCTGGGGGAGAGGGACTGAGCAGTGGCTTGGTAGAAGCTGGACCTCCAGACCCTAGTTGTGTGAGGCCATGGGTCGGGGCTTAAATTCTGCCAGACTAAGGCACCAGAAGCGACACCTGCAATCTCGGGTCCAGAAGCCCAGGCAGCAGCAAGAGGTGAGTGGGCATCAGGGAGCCCACCCCATGGCCAGCGGGGCTCAGACCCTCTTGTCAGGCCTGGAAACTTCCTTCTTCCGTGCCCCCCAGCTCTTCTTTTCTCTGAGTCTCTACCTCTTGCTCCCTCTGCCTGCTTCCTCCCTTGTCTCTCACTTTCATGCCTGTCTCAGACTCTACCAAACTCTCTTTAGGTCTGTCTCTCCATCTGGGTCTCTGTCTCTGTTCCAGTCTCATCTCTCCCTCTCTGTCTCTAACCTTCTATCCTGGCCACCACAGCGACTGCAGCAGGAGAACCACGAGCTCCGCCAGAGCCTGGCAGCACGAGGAGCTGAGTGGGAGGCCAGGGCCGTGGAGCTGGAGGGGGACGTGGAGGCTCTGCAGGCCCAACTGGGGGAACAGCGCTCAGAGCAGCAGGACAGCGGACGAGAGCGTGCACAGGCCCTTGGCGAACTCAGTGAGCAGAACCTACGGCTCAGCCAGCAACTGGCCCAGGTGGGAAAGCTTTAACCTACCCAGAATCCTGGCTCCCAGTTGGGGGGATGCCCTGGGCTTGGTGTTGAGTTTTAGGCCAGCTGAAGGCCCCACTACCTTCCCCCTCTCCACCGCTGCCCCAACCCCACCTGCCTCCAGGCTTCTCAGACTGAGCAGGAGCTTCAGAGGGAACTAGATGGCCTTCGGGGGCAATGCCACACCCAGGCCCTGGCCAGGGCAGAGCTGAGGACACGCCTAGAGAGCCTGCAGGGGGAGGTGAGTGCTGGCTGGGGCTGGGGGCCTGTTGAGCCAGGAAGGCCAGGCTGGGGGCTATCTGGAACTGGTGCAGCACCTCCCCTCCAGCTCCAAGACCTTTCCCCAGAACCAGATGCTGCAGAGTCGCCGGCAGGACCTGGAAGCCCAGATCCGAGACCTGCGTGAGGAGGTGGAAAAGGGCCAGGGCAGGCTACAGGCAACCCACGAGGAGCTGTTGCTACTGCGGCGTGAGAGGCGGGAGTACAGCTTGGAGGTGACCAGTGGGTTTGGGGTGCATGGGTGCATCCAGCTGGGGCCTTAGCCACTGCCTCAGGTCTTCCTGGGTGATGAAGCCAGAGCTGTATCACAGGGAGCCCCATCAGCTGGGCCACAAGAGTATAGGCACTAGCCCAAACGCAAGTGGGAGCCATGAAGGGTATTTATTAAGCAGGGGTGGTACCCTCTCGGAATGCATCAGAACCAACCAGCTGGGTGGTCAGAAAGGGGCTAAGGCTAGAGCTCAGGCCAGATGATGGGGACCTGGATCAGGTCTGAAGCAGTAGATATGGAGAAAAAGGAATGAAAAGAGTCAGCACTTTGGGATCAAATTTTCTGGGTTCTTGTTCCAGCATCCCTTCTTATATTATGGAATGTTCAGCCTCAGCTTCCCCACCTGTGAGTTGGTATGGTAATGGTACAGAGCGTTGGTGAGGGTGTGAGGCACTGAGCACAGCGCTGGGTTAAAAGGCTCAATAAATGCTGGATGGTAGCAATTAGTGAAAGAGTTAGAAGACTGACTGGCGGGGTCCAGGCCAGGCTCTCTGAGAAGTTACCTGACGTGGTGCAGCTGGAGGGAGGGTGATGGAAGACTTTAAAGCCGGGACGCCCACTCACGCCCTGCTTTATAGGCAAAGAAATTGGTGTAGGGTAAGGAGAAGTGCCCATCCCGGCCATCTGGGAATGGGGGAGCAGGCGCCTGTAGTTGGGGTGCAAAGATTGGCGAGCTGCCTGGCTCTCCACGGCGCACTTTCGCCCCCTGTGGGCCAGCCATGTGATGCCAGCAGCCGGCTCACCTGGCTGACGGCACCTGCTTGTCTGTCTGTCTGCCCTGGCCTGACTGTCTACGGGCGCTAGCACAGCTGGAATGTGCGCGCTCCGAGGCCAGGGAGGCACTGAGCACGCTGCGAAGGCTGCAGCAGCGAGTCTCGGAGCTGGAGGAAGAGTCGCGCCTACGGGAAGCTGACGCATCAGGGGCCTCGCTGCAGTCTGAGCTTGCCCATAGCCTTGACAGCCACCAGAACCAGAATGCAGATGGCCACAGAGACGCTCTGGTGAGCTCAAAGCCCAACAGCCACCCAGGAGGGCGGCAGACTACACTTCTTTTCCTCTTTCCAAAGTTCAACACCTCACTGACCAATTCCTTTGGTGAACAGACCACTCTGTCCCCGAAGGCCCAGGAGTTATCCAGTCACCAGCCTTTGCCCCCTGAGGAGAGCTTGGAGCCTCCCAAGAAGAGAGCATCCCTGAGCCCAGGGAAGATACTGGAAAAGGAGTTGGAAGTGGCCGAGCTGCAGGACCAGGTGGGGAGTAAGACCATAGGGCTGGATGCAGAGCCTTTCTCAATGTTTCTCCTTTCCATCTACAACTCTGAACCCTTTTCCACTAATCCTCCTCTACCTGGATCATCCTTTATCCCAACAACAGCCAGCCTATGTGCCGCCTCCTCCAGGAAGACTTCGTGGACTGCATTTACCCCCTAATCCCATCTCCCAATGCTTGTCCATGCACCCTTCCTGCAGGCTTATACCACCCAACTAGCCCTGCACCAGGCTGGGAACTCAGAAGATTCCACTCCAACACAGGACCACAGCTGCCTGGGGTGTTTGTGGAGCAGTCAAGGAAAGGGTGGTCAGAGAGCTGAAGCCCAAGCTTCCAGGAAGAGCAAGGGCTTAGTGACCCAGAAACCTACTTGCCTCTCTGCCCCCTCCCCCGCCCGCAGGTCGAGCTGCAGCGGGTAGAGATACAGTCCTTGCGGGAGGAGCTACAAAGACAGAAGGAGCTGCAGGAGCTGGCAGACCCCAAGGAGGCCTTAAGCTGTGCCCTCTCGGACAGAGAAGAGGCTGTGAACAAGTGAGTCTGCCTCTGCCACTATCCACTACCTCCTCAGCAGGGCTGAAGATCCCCCCAGCACTCTGGTCATTCTAAGCCTCACTGGTTGTATGGGTTATAATTATCCCAACTCTGACCCAGGGACCCTCTGACCGTCTTGGTTCTGGTGTTAGCAGTCACACTTGGGCCCGAGTTCAGGCGCCCCCGCCTGCCCGTCCCCCTGGCCGCTCAGGTTCCAGCACCCTCTAACCAGGTCTCAGCCCCTGTTGCTTGCAGGGCCCTGGAACTGTCCCTGGAGCTCAGCCGCATCTCTCTGGAACGGGACTCCCTCTCCCAAGAGCTGCTTCGCACCATCCGCCAGAAGGTGGCGCTGACACAAGAGCTGGAGGCTTGGCAGGTGAGGGACAGGATAGAGGGGGCGGGGCCAGAGGGTATGGGACCGCGGGTTTACCCAATCCTCCGGCCCGCTAACCTGCACGCAGGACGACATGCAAGTGGTAATTGAAGAGCAGCTGCGCTCCCAACGCCAGAAAGAGCTGAGTGAAGCTGAATCTGCTCTACATCGCCCCACGTCCCGCTTCTCGCTGCGCAGGAGCCCTGGGCCTGCCGGCGGATTCTTCAGCAACCTCTTCCGAAAGACCTGAGGGCCAGGTGAAGGGGCCCACACTTGCCCTCTCTGGCTTACTTTCCTCTTCCAGCCAACTGAGCACAGGGCCATAATTGTTCTCCAAAGGGGGTTGGTGCCCTCCCATGCCCCAGGAGGCTGAGCAGGGACTTACTGGGAGCAAGCCCCAACTTTGGGAGTCAGGAGGCCCCAGGTCGGTGGTGGGAGCAGGTGGGGCAGAACTACCTATTTTTTGAATCTATATAGGTCTTTTCTAAGCACTAGGGCACTAGGCCCGCTGGCCCTGGCATGCTCCAGGGAAGGGTGGGGATGGTTATTTATGTATCAAGATCAGAGTAATATATAAATCATTACACCAACTTAGTCTCCCTTCTTGGGAATAAAGCAAATGGAAGAAAAGTCTGAAATTTTATTTGTAAAAAGAAAAACCAGTCCAGACCCTTGGAATGGTGGGGAGAGGGAGTTGCCAGAGGTCAGAAAGACAGGGAGAAGGCTCGGTAGCCCAGATTGGTGAACACATCCACCCGGCAGCTGCTACCTGCAGCTGTCAACACCTGCAGGCAAGAGAAGAGTGATGAACCTGCCCACACTCTTGGCTTCCCAGGACCACCACAGCTCCTTGCAAGACCCACCTTGCACTCCGGTGCTGCTGGCTGTTGGTTGAGGCTGAGGCTGAGCAGTCCTGGGGAGGAGCCAGGCACCTGAGCCTTAAGCTCCCCACTCAGCTGCCACTGATTGACACAAGGGCCCTGGCCAGCTGACAGAATCTGTGGGGCAGGGAGGGGATTTAGAGATCATGGCTGGAGACAAGAACCAGGCAAAGGTAGTAAAATAAAGGCAGAGAGCCTCACCAGGTCCTGGTAGAAGGTGACATGCTTTTGCGGTGCCCACATGGGGAAGATGGTGGTGGGCGTGGAGGATCGGAGGTGCCAGAGAGTGAGTGCTGGGCCCCCTCCACAGACCTAGGCAGAAAGGCGGGGGTCCCCAGTCACCGTAAGCCACAGGCCCTCAGCTAGTGGGGTCTGGAGCTGCCACCCCATCCTGCACTTTGTCTGGCTCACCATCCAGTCTGAGTCAGTTGCCAAACATCCAATCCAGCGCCCGTTATGGGGCCTTGAGCACTCCTGGGAGGGAGGACAGGAAGACAGGAGATGAAGCCTCAGGAGATGCTCAGGAAGAGGGGAAAACAGGGTGTGGAGCATGCCCTCACCTCGTGCTTGTATACTTCGATTGTCTGGACCTCCTTGGCCATACGGAGGTCTGTGGGGAAAGAACCATGACAGGTACCCTACTCACCCCAGCCTCCCTTACCACCATCTTTCTTCCCAACCAGATACTTCCTTACCCCAAAGCCGAACAGCCCCATCTTCACCGCCTGACAGCACCTCGGGGTTCCGCTCCCGCAATGCCAGGCAGTGGATGTAGTCTGTGTGGCCCCGGAGTGCCTGCTGCAAGGAGAGGGGCAGTGTCAGAATGAGATCTTAGAAGAATGCATCCCCACACTATCCAGCTCCAGGGCCCTCTCACCGTGAAGGTCCCTGTCTCTAGGTCCATCGTATGCAACTGGCAGTCTCCCCCTGCCAAAATAAGGGAATTCTCCTGCAGAGGAAGGCAGGGTGGGGTCAGCAATCAATGTCAAATCAGGACAGACATGGGGGGAGGATCAATTTAGGCTCAAAACAGGACAGGGTAGAACCATAGTCACAAAGGGCTCAGACCTTGGGGACGAGAAGCAAAGCATTGATCTCAGGCACTTCCAGGCTGGTCCTGGGGGACGGAAAGCAGGGTCAGCTCTGGTGAGGCAGCACTTGCACCCCCATGTGCCCTCTGCCCATGTGGCTCTGGCTTACCTGTATGGGGGCTGACGACGCCATAGCTCCTTACAGCCCTTCGTGGAGGGGAACACTGAGTGACCTCAAAGGCTCTCTATGGGGCTGAGCACCCCAGTGCCCCCCACCCTGAGCTCCACACTCCTTACCTTCTTGAGGATCTCCACCCAAAGCCAGGCCTTCACCTCCCCATCTCCAGCACTGAACAGATGTCGATCGGTGGAGACCATGGTGTAGACGGGCCCATCATGGGCTAAATGGAAATGCAGAACCTGAGTGACCTGTGCTGCTCCCCTCCTCTAGCCTGGAATCCTCTGAGCCAAACTCAATGGCTGCACCCACCTTGGAAGGTCACTATGGGTTTCTTACTTTCTTCTTTGGCCTCAGAGCTCAAAGCAGCAGACAAGCTGAAGGGGAAAGGGTGTGTGAGTCAGAAGCAGGGACATGAATCCTGTGAAGGCCAAATGCCAGAGCCAATGGATGTTGGGGAGCAGAGACAAGGGTACCTGAAGATGGCTATTTGCCCATAATTGTTGCCAGATGCCAGGAACTTCCCGCAGGGTGAGACACTCTGGGAGAATATGGTCATATGCAGCCGCTGCAACGCCTGAAACACTTCCCTCTGCAGGGAGAGGCTGTAAGAAGGCTGTCTGGGAACCCTAATCCACAGACTCCTTCCTGGTTCCCCTGCCATCAGTTCAGCCACTGCCCATACTTCTCAGACCTCCTTTGAGGCCCACCAAGCGGGCATCTGCCCATACGGTCGCGGGGATTGCTCCAAGAAGAGGAGGAGGACGGGAGTGGGATGCTTGATGTGAGGAGCCTAGTAGGACCTTGAGCATGCATCCAGCCTCTCCTCCAAGTTTCCTCAACTGTTGAATGGAGCTCACGGGAGATTCTTTTACCAATGTATGAACTACTGTACAAAAAGAGCTTCGCACAGGAATGCCTCGTTGAAAGCACATAAAACGTGGCTCTAACACCCCAATGAAGAAAAACAGACTATCTTCTAATCCCCACCCTCTGACTTTCATGTTAGGCCCATGAGATAGTCTGTGTTACTCTTCCGCTCGGGGTCAGAGTCCGAATCCTACCAACAGCCCAAGCAAAACAGGATTCAGGTCACGACTCCCTGCCTGCCCTTTATGAACCCGGCATGTACTACAAACCCCAGAAGACACCGCGCACCACGCCCGCCTCACCTGACCCAAAGGCACCGTGTGTGGCACAGCTCGCTCCATCTCGAGAACTACAAGTCCCAGAGTGCTCCGCGCGCGACGCAGCCTCACGAGTCCGGACGTTCCCGAGTGGCTCACCTTCGCGACGTCCCACCGATCCAATACTGCCAGCTGGCTCGGCCTGAAGGCGGTTGTCGCGTACCAGAGCCCCAGAAGCCGAGGTGGATGTCGCGAAGACCCCCCGCTCGACACTAAGCAGCGTCCACTACAGCCCTGCTACGCCGGATCCCTACCCTAAACCCTCCGTGCAGACCCGCTTTCCGGTGGCTGCCGCCCTTCTATCACGCCTGCGCGGGATCTGGCCGCGCGCTCGGCTAAAGCCACACCTCTCGCGGTTGACCACGCCCTCGGAGCTCCGCCTTTGCCTCTGGATCCCACCCCTCTTCCCGCAGGACCCCGAACCCCAAATGATCCTTCAGCAGGCCCTGGAGCGAGACCGACCGAATTGGGCCCAGGGTGACCCGCGAGCTACCTTGGGGACGCCTCGAGGCTTGGACACGAGGTGTGTGTGTGCGGTGTGCGTGCTCTGGAACCTCCCAGAGCCAAAGGAGCTTTGATTGGGAGCTTGGGGCTTGCCTGCCGAATAACACGGTGCGGAGAATCAGCAGGGTTTGGGCATGAGCTGAGACCGATTTGGAGACTTCCCAGACAGGCTGCTGGATGGCCCGGGATAGTGGGGGTGACTTAGGCGTCCGCTGAGGTGGACTGGGGAGTTCCTGGCTGACGCTCCATGTTCACGCTGGCAGATCTTGGGGATGGGGCCAAGAGAGTAGGGTGCACCTAGCTCTCTTTTCTTCTCAGCTCCCCTCTCCGAGGAGCTGTGCCCATGAGCACCAAGCGGCGCCTGGAGGAGGAGCAGTGAGTTTGGGGGCAGGGAGGGATTCCCAACAAGATCTCTGTCATCTTAGGTCCCCATCACCCTGCCTCCCCTCCGAATATCCCAGCCTGCCTGCCTCCTGGTCTTTCCCCAGGGAGCCCCTTCGAAAGCAGTTCCTGTCTGAGGAGAATATGGCCACCCACTTCTCTCGACTCAGTCTGCATAATGACCACCCTTACTGCAGCACCCCGCTGGCTTTCTCCCCAGCTCTGCCCCCTCTCAGGTAGGCACCATCCCCTATCCACTGCCTGCGCCTTGTGGAGGATCACACCCTGTCTGGGAGCCAACCTCCAGGCCCTGCCTCATCCTGCTATTTTTAACTTCTAGCCAACCACTGTTGTTTAGCCTCTTGGATCCTTAGAAGGTGGAGGCAGCCCAGAAGCCCCTGGGGACCTGAACCTGGTGGGAGGTGGCTCTGCCAGGCCAGCCTTATTCCTGTGTCCTGTCCTTTCCTCTTCTAGGAGCCCTTGCTCTGAGCTGCTTCTGTGGCGCTACCCTGGAAACTTGATCCCTGAGGCCCTCCGACTGCTGAGGCTGGGGGACACTCCTGCATCCCACTACCCTGCAACCCCAGCTGGGGAAATAATGGAGCTCTGAGTGCTGGCAGGCAGTGCACCTGCCCACCCTTCTTCTCCACAAGAGAGAAGACCAACACCACCATGAAGGGACCAGGTGCCCTGCTTTTCTTCCAGATCAGGCCTTTGGGCACCAAGACCTTCCCCCAACAGAGGACAGTGAGCCTGGGGTAGGAGGGACAGGAGGGACAGCCGCATGGAAAGAGAAGCAATCTCCCCCCGCAGAAGAATTGAATAAAGAATGCTGAACAGATAGATGATGGCTTCAGTCTGGAACCTGGGGCCTTTGGGAAGAGAGGGCAGGGTTGGGGCACCAAATGCTGGGTTTTCTCCTGAAGATCTTCCCTGAAAAAACGGCCAGGGCCTGCCCAGGTCCTGGCAGGCTGGGCTCAAGCATTGAGAATGTGTGAGTCAGAGCCTCACCCCCGCCCCCGCGGCTGACTCACTCCTCCCTCTAGCTCTGGGAAGTCAGGCTGGGGAATCATGCCACTCTCCAATCCATTTAAAGTTAAAGATTCTTTTATTAATAAATTCTCCCATCCCTCCAAACTTTCTCCCCAAAATAAATATCTCCCCACTCTTTGAGAGTTGGGGGTGCAGTGTCTCAGGGCCAGCCCCCCTAGAGGGCCAGCCCCCTAGCATTAGGAACAGATCCCTAACCCACCCCCTGCAGGCTGAGACCCCAGTGCTGAAATTTCAGCACATCTGTGTGGGTGGGGCATGGTGTTCTGTCTGCCCCTCACTTCAGCCTAACCCCCAGACCATGGGGGTAGGGGACCCTTATGCAAATGTTGCATTTTTTAATGTCAGTTATCTGGTGTGAGTGGGCCTGGGTCACCTTTTCTGTCCTGGAGCCTGAACTCTGGATCCAGGCCTCAGAGAAGTGATTCACCTGTCCCCCATCCCTGCACACCCCCATGACTGGAGCAGCCTGGCTCTGGCTGTGTCTGGGAGGCAGGGGCTGGCTCTGAATGAATGAATGAATGAATGAAGAGTGGGCACCGCCTCCTGCTGACCAAGGACACTCATTGTCACTGGATCAGCGCCACGCCAGGACAGCCTTCCCCACCGGTCTCCTCAATGGGAGCTGCAAGATAAGAAGAGGGGTCGTCATGAGCTGGGGAAATATTGAGGAGTTATGGGGGGTGGGCGGGTCAGGGCATACTTACTGGTAAACTTTTCTCTTCTTCGGCACTGTCTCCAGACCAGGAAGCCGGAAAGTAGCCCCAGCACGAGGGCCAGGCTCATGGCGCCCCCCAAGATGGGCCACAGCAGCCCAAAGGAGGCTGAAGGGGCCCCTGCGCCTAGGGGCAGGATTCGAAGTCAGACCTCAACCCTCCCTGGGCCAATTCCACCCCCTAGATCTGACCCTCAAGTCTTTCCCCTACCGTGGCCCCTACCCCAATTGGAGCCCTTGCCCGCTTCTGCTTCCCACGTAATTCCCCATATCTGAAGCCACCTGCTCCCTCCTCTACCCCAGCAACTATCCCCCGGTCTGGGGTCCTCTCGCCTCTGGCCCCGCCCTCCACTCACAGCCCAGGCAGAAGTCGCTGTGCGGTCGCGCCGGACACGACGCGCAGTCCATGCACTTGTCGAGGTCCGCGCTCCAAGAGCTGCCACGAGAGCACGGAGTGGTGCCTGAGGAAGGGGCCATGGGTCAGAGGCTGGGGTTGGGACGCGGCTATTCTGGGGGCTGAAGTCAGGGTCGGCCGGATCGTATAACGTGAGTCACTGGCGCCCTCCGCATTCCTCACAGGTGACCCGCACGGCCTGACCCGGACGTGGCAGCGCGGGGTGAAGAGGGGCATAGTGCGGGAGGCTGGGGGAGGGGTGAGGTCCCCACACCCCCTCACCGCCGCCGCCGCCGGGTGACTCATTCCTGGGCACTGGGCCCGACCCCGGTCCTCTCCCCCCCCCCCCCGCATAGCTGGGCACTGAAGTCACCGGATGGAAGGGGGCACCACACATGGTATGGGGCGCAGACCCCCGTGCCTGTCTAGACACCGTCCCCAGACTCCGGTCACTGGGACTGGGCAGACCCGGTTTGACCAAGCTGGGGGCATGCCCCGTCACCGGACCAGACATCCGGCCTTCAAACTTTCTCCACTTCCGAGTCCAAGTTGGACAGGCGGGAAACTGAGGCCGGGACTGGGGATGAAGCTCGGAGCGAGATGGGACTTCCCCTGGCCAGGCAGCGCGGTGTCTAGAAACTACCTGCCTCCCGACTCCATGGAACCCCAGTTCTGCCCCCTCCTCTAGGTCCCCAAAGCTGGCCCCCGGTCCCCGATTGAGGGTTCCCGGCCCTCCCGCCCTCCCGCCCAGCCCCAGCCCGGCGTACCTGACACCGGCTCCCCAGCCGCCGCGCACAGCAGCGGCAGCCCGAGCCCCAGTACAAGGAGCCGCAGCAGCGGGCACAGCAGGCTGAGAGCCATGGTGCGCGTCCCGCGGCCGCTGCCATCTGAGACCGCGGCGAGTCCCGGGGACAGACGGCCTCAGCCGGGTCCCCGCCCCCGCCTTCCGGGGCGGGCCGCTAGCCGCGGCCGGCCCCCAGACGCCCCGCCCCGCCCGCCGGCCCGCTAAATTCAGTCCTCGGCTCTGCAAACAGCGTCCGCGTGCGCGAGCCTGGGGACTTGGCGGGTCGCAGACTGGCTGCGCTCTCCGGGGTCAGGTCCGGGAGGTGTGTGTGGGCGGAATCAGACACGAAACCACCCAAGGCACAGATAACTGCAGCTTTATTAAGGACCCCGGGGGTACCATATTAAAATAATGATGTATCCTTTAATTTCTACCTTAGGATATAATTACCTAGTAAAATGGGTGCTTGTCTCCATTTTCCGAGTATGAAACTAAGGCTCGGGAAAGTGGCGGAGCCGAGACCCAAGTTCCATTTGGCTCCACGCCCTGCGCCCCGACCCGCTGCGGGCCCCGACGTCAGCCGCCCGAGCCCCCACACCCGCACCCAGTCTCCAGAGCTGAGGACCAGGAGGTCGCGATTCGCGCACCCTCAGTGGTCTGCACTGGGGTCTCTGCCCCTCCCCGGGGCGGTGGTCCAGTGACGTCAGTGCCTCTTTAAATTCCCGCCTCCGCCCCATCCTCACACTCGCGGCTCCTAGGAATCTCCGCGGACTGCTTCCTTCTCAGGTGACCCTGCGGGCAGCGTGCGTATTGGGAAGGAGGAGGTGGATACCTAGAGGAACGGGGTGCAAGGGGACAGGCAGCATGGACAACCTGGACTGATCTGGCGGCGGCGGCCACTGGGGTCGGCGAGGCCCCGGCGAGGGACAGATCGGGTCCTTCGGCTGTTCGAAAAGGGTTAAACTCCCCTTCCCCCCTCCCCTGGGACAAAGGCACCGAAACCCGGGCGCCCCTCCCCCACCGGCGCTGCTTCTGGATCCGTCGCCCCTCCCCCTCACCTGCGGGAGCAGACCCTAGGCGGGCGCAGCCATTAAACATTACCTCCCGAGCCGCTCCCAGGCTGTTGGGGAACTGAGGACACCCACCTTCGGGCCGGACTCCCAAGGGAAGTAGGAATCGGGAGCGGGAAGGAGCACCCTCGGCACGAGTCGAGCCCATGGTGTGTGGAAAGGGAATGGGTCGAGGGCAGACGAGGTGCAGGATGCCTAGGCTGGCTGCCCTCGGCTGTAACTCGGCGGGACGGCTGGAGGTGTAGACAGGGGACTGGGACCAGCAAGGGGTGGGCCACCCCGGCTGATCTCCCCCGAGGTCTTCAACTCAGGCTCAGTTGAAAAAGTGAATGGAGAACCTGCCCTCTGGCTACACTGCTGGGCTGGTGCTAGGTTTAGGTCCGAGCGGTGCGCAGGAACTTTGGGCAATGGAGAGCCGCAAGAACCCGAACAAAACTGATCCGGGTGGAGACCCCCGACACTAAGTGAGATGTGAGGGGAGACAGGTGCGAGGAGGCTGCTGTAGAAGAACTGGTTCACTGGATAGACCCCAAGGATTTTAGCTCCTTTTAGGGAAGTTGTGTCCTGAGAGGATGGCATTTGGGCCCCCCCCCAAAAAAAAACCACACACACACACAAGAAAAATGTCCCTGACCTTGGGCGTATGTTTTGTGACCCCAAAGGGAGAGCAGAAGAGTGACCATAGGGAAGGAAGTGCTTTTGGGTGGGAGACTGCTTTTTCCCCTCATCTCCTCTGCCTCTTCAGGGATTGTTGGCTCCTGCTGGGCTGGGCTGGGCTGGGCTGGGCTAGGGCAGGTGAAGTGGGGACTGGTGAGCCACCCAGAACACAAGATCTCTAAGATCAAACTGGAAACCTCCTGCCTGAGGTATGGAACCCTGTTGGGGTGAGGGGTTTGGACACTCCTACTGGCTGGTAAGAGAAAGCTTGGATCTCTAATCTTGGTGGTTTTGAGATTGAAACTCAACAGCTCGAGCCAGCCTTCCGTCTGTGCACCCTGTGGAAGATACCTAAAGATTTCGCTGTCACTTCATCCCCTTTTTGTCACTTTGCTGTTTGATAAAATGTACCCATAGTGGCTGAAGCTAGGAACTAACACTTGCTTAGGCTTTATATTATCTTTCATTTGTACTCAAAACAGCCAGGACTAGGTGGCTTATTTATTCACTATTGTAAGACAGTGCCTGTCACATAACTAGGGAAAAAGAAATAAATGGTAAAGCAGTAATGCTCATTTTGCCCATAAGAAAAAGAGGCTCAGGGACAGGACATGGTATCCCAACTCCCAGGGTTCATACCTTTGGAGTTCTGTGTGGCCATGGCACATGGCATCAGGGTTGGCAGTCACTGGGAATGAGGGATCTGGACCAGCTGGTCATAAACATTACTCTGTTCTGTCCCTCAGCACAGCTTTCAACCTCAACCTCATCATGGCCTCTGCTGGTCTGCAAATACTGGGGATTGTCCTGACACTGCTTGGCTGGGTGAACGCTCTGGTGTCCTGTGCCCTGCCCCTGTGGAAGGTGACCGCCTTCATCGGCAACAGCATCGTGGTGGCCCAGGTGGTGTGGGAGGGACTGTGGATGTCCTGCGTGGTGCAGAGCACGGGCCAGATGCAGTGCAAGGTGTATGACTCAATGCTGGCGCTACCCCAGGACCTGCAGGTTGCCCGAGCCCTCTGTGTCATCACCCTCCTCGTTGCCCTGGTGGGCCTGCTGATCTACCTTGGTGGGGCCAAGTGCACCACCTGTGTGGAGGACAAGGACTCCAAGGCCCATCTGGTGCTCACCTCTGGGGTCATCTTTGTCATCTCAGGGGTCCTGACCCTCATCCCCATCTGCTGGACGGCCCATGCCATCATTCAGGACTTCTACAACCCCCTGGTGGCAGAGGCCCAAAAGCGGGAGCTGGGGGCCTCCCTCTACCTGGGCTGGGCAGCATCTGGCCTTTTGTTGCTGGGTGGGGGGCTGCTGTGCTACACCTGCCCTTCCGGGGGGTCTCGGGGCTCCAGCCACTACCTGGCCCGATACTCAGCATCTGCCCCACGCGCCAACTCTCAGGGACCCTCTGAATACCCCACCAAGAATTATGTCTGATGTGGGTGGGAGAGTGGGCTCCCTTGACAATGGAGCCTACCCCTGAGCTGGAATCATCAAAATGCACAATGGTTTCTCGATTGCTTTTGTTTTTCTTTTTATTATTGGGGGAGGGGGTTTTCCTTTTAATCCATTTGATAAACACTGAACCAAGAAGAAACAGACTCCCACCTGGGCTCTGCTGCTGGCCTGTCTTTGGATGATGGAACCAAGGAGACAACACTGAAGAGTTTCTGGATCTTTCTCCACCTTGGACATTCCCATCTGGGAGTCCGGCCTGGCCAGGTGCTTTGTGACAAGATGCTTTGATGGTCTGTCCCCAAGAGTTCCTGCTGTTGTTGGGGCAGGGCCTCCCTGGATTTGCAGGGATGAGCCCCACCTTCCTGGTCAGGCCTCTAGAAGCCCAGGGACTCTTGAGCACCAAGTACCCTTGAGAAGGGCAGATGATAAGTTACCAGAAACCACCTACCTCCAAAGATTCTGACCTCTGGTTCTTTCGTCCTCGGCCCAGAGTTGCTTCTCAGCCATGCTGTGGGACCCTGACCCTCATCTCTGGGCCCTGTACACTTCTGCTATGCCACACCCACACTCAGCAATTTTTACTAAATAAAGTGTTTTGTTTTGCTTTGTTACTTGCCTTTGGTGTTGCTGGCAAGCTATTGAGTTCCAGCCTGGTGTGCAGTGAGCGTGAGTGACTGGCCTCCTTTGTTGCCCCCTGCCTAGCATGGTCTGAGTGAGGTTTACCCATAGGGCAGGACCTGGATCAGACCTTGGCTTGAAAGCCCTGGGGAGGTCACCTGGGCTTCCCTGCCTAATCACAGATCAAGGCAGCCAGAGGTACAAATAATCTTTATTCTGGGAACTCCATTTGGGGCAGGGGAGTAGGGTGGACCTTCTGGCCTGGCCTGGGTCTCTGAATGCAGGTATGTTCTGGCCAAGCTGGAGCAGACCAGCTCCAGGGCAGGCAGAGCATGATCCTCTGCTTGTTTGAGCCAAGGAGCTACTGCCCTTCGGATGAGGCCCAGGTTCCAGGGGCAGGGGAGGAGGCCCAACCCAGGACCTGGGCAGCAGGAAAAAAGCAACTGGTTTTGAGAGGCAGGCCAGGAGGTCAGACCCCATTGAGGAGGGCATGGGCTCAGCCAGGCCATGTGAGACTAGCCCAGAAGCCAAGCTGGCTGGAGCTCCTGGAAAGTGGGTGTCACGTGGGGAAGGGGTTGGTGGTAGAAGGCAGGGGTTAGAGAAGGCATCCAGTAGAAAGTCCAGGCTCAGAGCAGCGGGCTCCCAGAGACTTCTTTCACCTCACACGTAGTCCCTCTTGTCCATCCCAGAGGTGCCTGAGCGGGAGGGGATGGAGTAGCCCAGCCTGGGTCCTCGGGGCCGGTCGATCTGGGGTGGAGGGCATGTGCAGCAGAGGAGGCCCCCGCCCAGCATGAGCAGGGCAGCTGCTGCCCAGCCCAGGTAAAGGGAGGCCCCCAGCTCCCGTTTGAGGGCCTCAGCCACCAGGGGGTTGTAGAAGTCCTGGATGATAGCGTGGGCTGTCCAGCAGATGGGGATGAGAACCAGGATGCCTGAGAGGAGGAGGATGACCCCCCCGGTGAGTACGATGCGGGCTTTGGCACCTTCGTCCTCCACACAGGTGGTGCACTGGGCGCCCGTAATGGCCACCAGCAGGCCGAGCAGGGCCAGCAGGAGGGCAACCACACAGAGGGCTCGGGCAGCCTGCAGGTCCTGGGGCAGCGCCAGAATGGAGTCATACACCTTGCACTGCATCTGGCCCGTGCTCTGCACCACGCAGGACATCCACAGTCCCTCCCACACCACCTGGGCCACCACGATGCTGTTGCCGATGAAGGCGGTCACCTTCCACAGGGGCAGGGTGCAGGACACCAGGGTCCCCAGCCAGCCCAACACGGCCAGGGTCATGCCCAGGAGTTCTAGGCCAGCTGAAGCCATCTGCCCCTTCGATTAGGTCTTCTCAACTCTTGGTAGTCCGGTAAACTGAGGAGTGAGTCGTCAGATGCTGCCAAGTAGGGGTCTTGCTCCAGCCAGGAATGGGCAGTGTCCTCAGTCCAGGACAGTTCTCACATTTGTAGACCTCTTTCTTACAAGGCACCTCCTCGCTCCGTGCCCCTCACAAGTGTCTCTGGCCCCCGACAAATACAAAAGCTCACAGACCTGCTCAGCTGAGTGGCTGGTATCCCCTGGAGATGCCCGTCGCCCACCAGTTGCCCAGTGGCTGCTTCTTCTGCCACCCTGCAGTCACGCCCCAATCACTGCCTGTCTGACCAGCTACATAGAACCTTCCCTCCAACCCACCTTCAGGCTGGAGAGAGCCTCCTCCCCTCTGACTGGCGCAGGTTCACGCTGAGCAGTATACCCCTGCCGGATGCCACCTGGGGACTGCCGGCTCCTGGCAGCAGGCATGGGGGTTTTAAGGCGGAGGCAGGGGAGGAGCAGCCAGGCAAAGACTGGGGAGGCCAGTGCTACCGGGAGGAGGCGGGGCTGGGAGGGGAGGAGGACTCGAAGTTAGCGGGGAGGGCATACCGTGACCTGGAAGGAACAGGGGAGGAGAGAAGAACATCTATGCCCGTGGGAACCCAGGGACAAAGGAGTGGTGAGACTGAGCATCGGCTCTGGGAGAAGAAATGTAACTGGCTCAGGACAAAGAAGTGGGGCAGTTGCGGGGCTCAGCTCCCCTTCCTGAGACTCCTTCGCCCCTCCCCCGCTGTCCTTGCTCTCCCTGGCCTGGTTCGTTTCTTGATGATGCAAACGTATCCCAGCTTTCCCAGTATCGCGCACCCCCACCCGCCCATACCCCGCGGCTAGGACTCTCCGGAATTCGATCTGTCTCCTGTTTGAGCCCAGAGGCCCTAGCGGCTCCCGAGGGAAGGGCCCCCGCCCGCACCGTTCCCTAGGCGACAGGTGCCTGGCGCCCAGCTCAGGTGGCATCGTCCAGGCAACGGCCTAGAAAACCACCCCCTCAGTTATCCCTTAGCTCAGGTATGCCCTCTCCACCCCCTCCACTGAAACTGGGGGCCAAGCTGAGTTGCTGTGAAGTCTCTGGAGGCCAGAGGATAAAGAGCCTGTTGTGGAAGTGGGGGAGGAGCACTCGGGGCTTGGGTGAAAGGGAAAGAGCAGCAGGGGCAGGAGCTCCCCTTGCCCGTGGGGAGTGAGTGATGGCTCTGGATGAGACACCCAGGAGGAAGGCAACAGGAGTTCGGCCCAGGTGACTCCGGTCTCCCTGAGCCCTGCCTCACAGTCCTCAGGAAAGACCCTGTCCTCAAGACCAAGCAGAGCTCCATGACACCCTCTGCGGGAGGCGGCCTGGGAGGCACACAGACCTTAGCTGAAATCCTGCCCCTCTCGCCTGGGATAGATAACAAAAGGTCAAGTTCCTTAACCTCCTTGGGTCAAAGACCTCTTTGAGAAACCTCCTGAGGCCCAGAAATGCAAGCCCCTCATTTTAGGGCATGGGTTATGAACTCCCTCAAGCCCCTCCCTGGGTGCTAAGAACTGCGAATTGTATGAAAGCCAAGGGGACTGATGAAAATTCCACTCTCCAGGGTGGTTGGGAGGACTCTCAAAGACAGCCCTCTCCTGGGAGATCCTCTCACCTCCATCCCTCCTGAGGAAGAACAGAGGCCTGACTGCCCTGTGAGGAGATGTCCCTCAACGTGTGTCCTGGAGGGCGGGGAGGACCCCACACACACCTGGTCACTGCACCACCCTACAACCCTGGGAGAGGGGAGGGTGTTAGGTGTGTCCCCACTTACCCCGAAGGGGCTTTATTCATAAATGACTCTAACTTCAGGTTGGTGCATTGCTCTGGGAGTGGGTTTTAGGATATTTTTGTAAGAGGGGTCTATATTTTCTGCAGATTTGCAAAGGGGTGGTTGACCCCAAAAGTTTGAGAACCCATCCCCCTAAAATGGGGAGACTGAGGCCAGAGGTAATCTGTGGGTCTGCAAGTGGGCCCCTGTGATGGGGACCTCCTCTATACCTGGTGCCTCCCCACAGGGCCATGGGGCAATGCTGTCCAGTGTGAGGGGCTGACCTGGTGGCCCTTGGACGTCTGAGGACTATGAGGGGAGTGCTGATGACAGCAGGCTGTGATGGGCATGGAATATCTTGGGCAGAGCTTGCCCAGTTCCTCCAGCCCCTGAGGCTTCAGTTGCATGGGGAGGAAGGGTAGCTGAGCTGAAGGCAAATAGAAGCAAACCTTCAGTGGGCTCCCTCTATAGTCAGCAGGACTGCCAGGAATCCAGCTCCACAGGTTTGGGCAGATGTCAGGCACACTCAGCAAGCCCAGGTCTCTGGAAGGGCCCACCGACCCCGCCCACATGGGTCAGAAAGGCCTCCCATCCCAGGCAGCCCCAGCCTAGGGCCTTTTGTGGCCCCCAGGCCCAGCACAGTCTGCCTCCTGCCTTGGCCTTAAGGTGACCCACTCGTCATTCTGGTTTCAGGACTGAGTCCTGCATCCTGGGGAATCTAGGACAGTTCGTCAGCCTGCAGTCAGGCCTGTTTCAGGGCCCACCAGTTCCACAGGCAGCTCTTCAGCGCCGACCCCCAGTGTTGTCATGGGGCCTTGTCTGTGCTGCACACACACACCAAGGAACCCTAGCATCCCGAGAAGGCACTAAGGGGCCCCTAATTTTTTTTAGACCTCAGTTCTTTGGCCCCAAATATCTACATTCAAGAAGGTGGAGACCCCACACTGCTAGGGGCTGGCCAGCCACATGGGAGGCGGGTGTCCAAAGGATGAAGACACCCTCCCTTTCATTCCCCACCTCCAGAGACCAGTCTACCAGAGGTGCCTCCAGGGTGGCCTGGTGGCTTCAGCTTCCTCCTACCTGTCACCCACTCCCCCCACCGCACTTTGATAAGGTGCTGCCTAGAGGGAGAGTAAAAGTGGGACAATTTGTTGGAAAACAGGCCAGAAGTGAGAGGTTGGAGGAGCTGCCCACTGCGGGTGGAGGGAGAGGGAGATTCATAGGCAGGGGATAGATTCCCGGGGCACCTAAGCAAGAATGGACTTCCTGCCCTCAGCCCTTCTTGGAAAGAGTCCAGGAGGCCCCAATCCCTCTCTGAGTTCCCCTGGTACACCTGGATTCAGTTGCATCTGGAAACCGAAGGGTTACAGTTGGAGCCTGAAGCTGAGACTGTGATGGGGCTGGAATGCCATTGATATGGAGGGTTGAGATCCCCACTGAGGTTAGCAACTCAAGGGCACTTTAACACCTCGGTTGGAATCCCTACCCCCATCTGCCTCTGCCCCAGAATGAGGTGGGACAGGAGAGCATTCCCCAGCTACCTAGAGAGGAAACCGGGGCAGGGGTCAGCCTTGCTCTCCACCAGCCCCTTCAAGGAGTGGGCCTGGAAGTGGGTTTGGGGGCTACACAACCCAAGGGCATCACCTACTGGGACGGTGCCTGAAGCCCCAGTGTTACTGGTACAAAAGCCCGTCCAGGTTCCTAAACCTAAAGGTGTGGATCAAACCTTGAGATTCTTTAAGAATTCTCACCGGTTTTACAACCCCCACTTTACAGACATGGAAATACGTTAAGGAAATGTGGCCTATGTGTACATGCATGAAACAGGACCAACCTGATGCCACTCCAGACCCTGACTTCAAAGCCGACTCCTTCCCCAGCCTATGGGGGAGCTCGTGAAGTTGGGCCTTCCGGTGCCTTTCTCTGGAGGCAGCCAGCAGTGCAGCCCAATAGCTAAGCCCCACACTGCCACCCCACCTGCACCCCCTGCCCCAGAGCCAGCCACCCTCTTCTTCCCCCTACTTCTAGAGGTTCCCTGTGCCAGGAAGTCTCTGCAGAGAGCCACATCTGGATCTGATTCCACAAGAAACCACTCTCCACCCTGGCTCACTTTCACCATGTCTGGGCCCCCGATGCAGAGAGCTCTGGTGTTTGCTCACCACCTGCAGCAGGCAGCTCACTGGACCCTGGGTCAGACCTGGTGCCAACCCTGCCCCAGGGCTGCATTGAGCGAGTCACAGCTGCCCTAATCTCCTGGCTGTACAATAAAGGAGAAGTCTGCCCTGCTCATCTCCAGTCACCAAAGGCATTTGCCCAGGCCGCCAGTCCCTCATATGTCTTGGGGGTTGCTATAGGTGTTAACAAGCTGTTTTGTCAAGAGGACAATGGCAGCTTCACTTCTAAGCATGGGCAGACTCCATTGATTGGGTAGCAATGAACTTTATTAACAGTTGTAATTGTCAGCTTTCAACCAGCAGTAGTTATCCAGGTAGAGTTTTGAGAGTGGAGGTGCTCTCTCAATACTGTCTTTTATTGTTTACTTTGTAAAAATATGCTTATTGATTTTAGAGAGAGGAAGGGAGAGAGTTGGAGAGAGAAACATCAATTGGTTGTCTCTCATATGCACCCCAAGTGGGGATCGAACCCACAACCTAGGTATGTGCCCTGATCGGGAATTGAACCCCCATCCTTTCGGTATACAGGACAGTATACAAGTGGGGCTCCAACCAACTGAGCCACACCAGCCAGGGCTCAACATCATCTTCTTGAAAGATACACATTGTTTTGCCCTTCCCATTTACTGTCTGATCCTTAGTTGAGAAGAGAGGAGGGCTATGGGACCTAAAGAGGACAGAGGAAGCGACAGGCCAGCAGGAATGAGAACTTGGCCATCATTCAACAAAGAGGAAAAGACCATCACTCTCTTTTTTTTTTAATTCCTGTGCCAGTGAAAGCTTTATCAAGGTACTAGTGCCTTAGGCTCCTGTCTGGGGACTCCAAGCGCAACCAGGGCTCCAGGTCAGTGAGGAACAGAGCCTAAAACACAGAGAGGGAAGCTGGGAAGACAGCTCAGGCTGTGGGCTAGCCCCAAAGGGGAAAGGTACTACCCATATGGATTGGACGGTAGCGCCCAATGCTGGGTGGCCTTAAGCCCTGGTGTGAGTGTGGCCTTATTTGCAAAAAGGGTCTTTGCAGGTGTAATTAGGTTAAAAATTCAAGATGAGATCCTTCTGGATTTATGGTGGGCCCTATATCCCATGACAGGTGAATCAGGAAAAAAAGGCCGGGAGAGATTTGAGATACAGACACAGGAGAAAGCCATGTGAAGATGGAGACAGAGACTGGAGTGACTTGGCTACAAGCCAAGGAACACCGGGAGCCACCTGATGCTGGATGAGACAAGGAAGAATCCTCCCCTAGAACCTTGGTAGGGACAGTCCTGCGATACCTTGATTTTGGACTTCTGGCTTCCAGAGCTAGGAAAGAATAAAGTTCTGTTGGTTTAAGCTGCCCAGCTGTAGTGACTTGCTACAGTAGTCACAGGAAACTCTTACACTGCCTTTGCTGCTGATAGGTTCCAGGATCTCAGAGGTCCCCCAAGGTCAAGTTGGCTTCCTGATACTGTTGCTACAGAAGAGCCCATTGAGATAGGGCGTCTGCCTGGTTACCTGAGCCCAAGCCACCTGAGTAACAAAGAGAACTTTATTCTGAGTTGTACATGCTGGGGAGAAACTGGGAGGACAGGTGAAGATGGGGAGAGAACAGGGGCTTCCTCTCATGACTCACCGTGGGAGCTTTCCTGTCCCGTGGGGATGACCTCACAACCCTCATTCCAGGGCCCAGTATCGATTGTTCAACACTATTCCCAGTGCGCCCAGGCCCTCAGAACCCCGAATCTATTTCAGCTGAAAGTATGACTTCAGACTTAGAAGGCAGGATCGAGTTTCCAAAAAGACATACAAACCTAAGTGGAGGAGGGCCTCAGCGATGGCATCCAAACTCTGTAAGAGAAAATGAGGCACTGCCCTCTGTAGGTCCCCTGGATCTGTCTCTTGCTTCATAGTGTTTGGATGAAACAGACCCAGGGACTCCCCTTCTTCCAGCCTCCAACCACCCTCCAGCCTGTTAATTCTTTTTCTCCAAGTTTTTAAAAATAGATTTTAGAGAGAGGAAGGAGAGAAACATCAATTTGTTGTTCCACTTATTCACGCATTCACTGATTGATTCTTGTATGTGCCATGATGGAGGCCCAAACCCACAGTCTTGGCATATCAGGATGATGCTCTAACCGACCAAGCCACCTGGCCATGGCCCCTCCAACCTCTTTTCCAGTCACCACCTTCAGAACCACCTCAGCCATCCTCAGCCTCCTAAAACAGTCAACACAGTTGGGTTTTTTTTTACCTTAATTCCTTTTGCCAAACCATGAGCTCTCAAATTAATCAGAATTATTCCACCCAGGTGGAGAATGCTGTGAACCGCTTGGTGAAGGTGCATCTGTAGACCTCCTACAGCTACCTCTCTCTGGGCTTCTATTTCAACCTCGAAGATGTGGCTCTGGAGGGCATGGGCCACTTCCTCCATGAGCTGGCTGAGGAGAAGCTTGAGGGCACCTAGTTTCTATTAAAGATGCAAAACCAGAGCGGTGGCCAAGTCCTGGAAGGACATGCCAAAGCCTTCACAAGAGGAATGGGGTAAAACTGAAGATGCTGTGATCATGGAGAAGGACCTGAACCAGGAGCTTTTGGATCTGCATGCCTTGGGTTCTACTGACACAGACTGTCATCTCTGTAGCTTTCTGGAGAACCACTTCTTGGATGAGAAAGTGAAACCCATCTAGAAGATGGGCGACCACCTGGCTAACCTCCACAGGCTGTCCAGCCCCAAACTGGGCTGGGCGAGGTTCTCCAGCTTACTCTCAATCACCTAGGAGCCTTTGGAGCCCAGAGGTCTTTGAGGGGCCCCTCTGCCCCTCAAAGGGGTCCCCTGGCATCTGGATTTTGCCTGAGCCTCTCCCTGAAACCACTAGGCATCCATCCTTTTAACCACCCTAGAAGCCTCTTCCAAGCATTGGACCAAATGGAAACAATAGCAGCAAAAAGAAAAAAGAGAGTGAAAATGAAATATTTGGGGTAGCTTTAGTTTAAATATTTTAAACTTTTGTTTTCATTTCCTCAAGCCACATGCTGTGCCCTGGAGCCCCACCCGCCCAGATCACCACCCAGCTTATCAGCACAGGGGATGAATTACATTCTCAAATAACGAGACAAGAGGCTTGCTGTAGGACAGGAGAAGAAAATGGAATAAATGAGTTTATTTTCAGACTTACTGCTTCCTCCCCCCAAACTGGGCTTCTGCCCTGGCAGACCCCTCTTCCCCAGGCCGGGCTCTGCCCCACGCCTTCTAGATCTGTCCGTGGGGAAGGCGGCGAGGAGCAAAGCCCCGTGTCCAGGGTGGGCTGCCTACCCACTCGTCCACTGGAGGGCCGGACTGTCAACAGGGCGGCGACAGAAAGAAGTGAGGTGGTGGCAGCGCCGGCGGCGGCAGGGGAGGTGAGAAAGGGGGCAGTGGCCAGGGGTCGCAGGGCGCAGGCGGCGCCAGTAGGTTGAAAGACGAGGGCCGTGCGGGCAGCGGCGGCAGCGGTTGTGGGGGCGTCTCGGCTACCAGTGGCGGACGGCCTCGCGCGCCCACAGGCCCGGGAGTGGCGACGATCGCGGTCTCCGGCAACGGCGGCAGTGGCAGGTGCGCGGGCGGTGGCGCAGGCGCAGGCAGGCGTGGGAGGTCCTGCAGGGCGAGAGCGGCGGCGGGCGGCTCGGGCGCGCAAGCCTCGGGAGGTAGCTCGGGCAGCGCCAGGTAGGCACCGGGGCCCCAAGGTGCCAGCGGCTCGGGCCGCAACGGGAGCGCAGGCAGCGGAGGCAACTCGGCCAGGGCTAGCGCCGACGACGGCGGGGGCTCCGGTCTCAGACCCGGAGGCAAGCCGGGTAGCGGCGGGTGCGGCAGGGTCGGGGTGGGCGGCCGGGTCAGCGATAGCGACGCACGGGCCCGGCCCAGCCGCGAGTGGGCGCGGGCGCGGACGAGCCGCGGGTGCGAGCGGGAGCGGGGGAGCCGCGCTGCCAGCTTGGTCGTTGTAGTCACTGCGGTCACTGCACTTGCCGCTGCGCCAGAGTTTAGCTCGCGCGGTCAGTCGTGGCCACATCCCGCCTGCGGGAGGCCACGCTTGCGGACAGCGGCAAGGCCAATCGGAACCGCGCCCCTCGGGGTTCCAGCCAATCAAGAGCAAATGCGCTAACGGTCTACTAGTCTCTCGCATTGACTGGCACTAGCTACCCCTGGCAGCCAATCAGAGGCAACAGCGCTTTCTAACTTAGGTCACAGCCAATCACTGTGTTCCCTGGGGGCGCTGCCTCCACAGCCTACTATCCCTGAGACCAGGCGCTGCATTCGCACGGTGGGCGCCCCCTCCTGGCAAGAGGCTCCACTGAGCCGGGGCTACTCTCCTCGGCACCCTGCCCCGTCTCCCTCGGTGGCCAATAAGGAAACTGTGTGGCTCTTCCCTTTTTGGCTTTGCCCTTAGTGATTCCAGACTGAAATGCCTGCGTGTGGGTCAAGATCTAGGCAGATTTCCATTCAGTTATCTTATAGAAAAGACATTAATTCAAAAGCAGAGCCTGACATGTAGCAACGGTGCTAAGATGGGTAAAATCATTTCAAATATGTTTAATCGGAATATAGAAACCTTTATTATATAAAGGGGGTTTCTATTTAATATCGGAATATAGAAACCTTTATTATAACATTAGAACATTTCTAGGTGTGTTAGGAAGGTACCGTCCACTACCCTCACTGAGACAATCTGCTCTGTGGCCCCTGTGCCCAGATGTTGTCTCCTAACCCTTTCTAGGTTGTGGGTTTGGTCCCTCATCTGGGTGTATACATCCCAGGTCTAGGCACTTAACGGGAAGCAACCAGTAGATGCTTCTCTCTTGCATCAGTATTTCTCTCTCTCCCTTCCTCTCTCTCTAAAAGCAATGAAAAAATGTCTTCGGGTGAGGATTTAAAAACAAAACAAAACAATTCACCAGGTTACACGAGGTGTGGATTTAGAAAAACTCTGAACACAGAGACTCATAGAGACTGATCCTGGGACTGGCCAGGATCTAGGTCAAAGTTCAGAATAGCAGATCAATCCCCAATTGTGCAACTGCCATCCCAGGCCCAGCCTAGAGAGTAATTTGCTTCTGCATTTCTGGGTGAGTGAAATTTTAATCACGAGATGAGAAAATAAAGTGATCCAACAACACTGGTAATGATAGTGGATTAGTAACTAGCTTTTTAAGATGTTTGTAAACATTCATTAATCTGAGATATCAAATGTCTGATTTATTCATTTCCAACAGTGCTTAGGAAGACATTACTGGTTGGATTCCCCCCAACCTTCCATTACCTTCCATTAAGACATCACGTAGATTATGTATGTAATTGTTTGAAATGCTAAAGGAATTGAATTACAATCAGGCTTGTAAAGAATGTAAAATATTTAGGGGGACATCAACCTGTCAAATTTATAATCTAATTGAACATTAATCAAAGAATGTGAAAGTGAGTTTTACATCCAAATTATAAGATTAATCAGTACAATAATGTCCAGGAGTAGGTGCAAAGGCTTAAGAAAAGTGAGATTTTACATTAGTGACTTTAATGAATTGATTATAAACTAATACACAAATAATGCACAAGTCCCCTAACTTGGATATATTCCCCCACAAGATTATTACCAAGTGCTGCCCCCTCTCCAAGGGCAGGCCCGAATCTGTTCTGTTCTCATGGTCTCTCACATCAGAGCAAAGCCCCTGGCATACAGCCACACTATTTGTAGAATGAATGAATGAGGTGCAGGGTAGACACTGTAGGCCCATGTGACCCTAACCTCAGGCAGCCAATGCCCATCCCCCACCCCAACTCTACTGCAGCATACAGAGACAAACAGAAGCACATTGCCTTTATTAATACTTTCAGCCCTCAGAAGACCCCAGGCCAGAGACCAAGCCCAAGGGTTGTCTGGCTGTCCTTGCCAAGCAGACGAGGCTCTGGTACAGAGGCGCTCAGGATGGGCAGTGGATCAGCTCAGGTGCTCAGCATTTCCCAAGAGGACAATGGCCTGGGAAGAGGCAGAGCAGGGACCTGTTGAGATACCCCCTTCGCACCTCCTGGGGGAAACTGAGCCCTCTCCCTCCTCTGGTCTCTGAGGTCCATCACTCAGCAGAAACCTACATGTGGTCTGAGAGCCTGCCATGCCTCACAATGACTGGGGGCATCCCCAAGTGCAGCCTGAAGGGATGACAATGGTGGTGGCACTGGTAGTGGGGGACAGGGCCATTGCACTCCCTCTCACCTCCATAGCTATTTCCAGCATCCACTGCTGCCTCACTTCACCTCAGGGCCCCCTAAGGTAGAGACAGACAAGCCAGGGGACCCAGGTCACAGAACTTCTGAGTGCTCCTGCTACCTCCAGCTTCACCCTAGGCCTTAGAGACCCCCACTCACCGAAAGGCCTGGGGCCCAGGTCTGGCCTCAGCTGCTCATAGGGCCCTGGGGAAAGGACAGAAGGTGGGAGCACAAAGACACCAATAGCCCTTGTTCTTATTGGTCAGCTCCCTATCTTGGTCTAGGTACCAGGCTCATGCTCACGACCCACTGCTCTTACCTATCCCTCCTCCAATCCCACCCATTCCTGTCCCCCTCACATTCCCTTCACCATGAATGTTCCTTCCATCTCTGCAGGGTTGTGGGGTGGTCCTGGGCCTAGGACCCAGCTCCCTAAAGCCACCCCTCATCCCCTCCACGTTGTTCTACTACACACCCCATTAACCGACTGGCTTGCAACCCCTGTATATGTGCCTCTGGCCCCATATCAGGCTTCAAGATGCACCCCCCTTCCCAGGCCTAGGGCTGGAGGGAGGGTCAAGGAGAGTCCCTCAGAGACTCAGTCTGATCTGCAGAGGGAGAGCTGGCATGGGAATCCCTGCCCTCAGGACCTGGACATCCAGGATGCCCCCAGTCCTCTCAGGGCCTCAGAGGCACCCCCTGGCCCCCATCCACTTGGCCTGGTCCCAACAGCCCTTGCCAGGGCTCACTCTGCTCCCTGAACTCTCATTTCTTACCATTTCCTTCAGAGGCTGGAGCTGCAGCTTTGGGGTACACCAGGGCTTCCTCGCCATACCCTACAAGAGATCCATGTGATTCATTCCTACCCAGCCCCCGCATATCCCTTCTCCTCACGCCCTGCACTATGTGCCCTGGGTCCAACTCACCATTCCTAAAACCATTGGCCCCAGGGAACCCTGGAAGAGGAGAGAGATCAGGCCTGAACTGTCCCTGAGCCTGGAGCCCCCCAAGCCTCCCCAAGCCCAACCCCAGGCACCTGGTTGCAGGAAGACCTCAGGGAAAATCCCAGCTCCCAGACCACCGTTCCCATAACCAAAACCTGCAGGAGAGAGATTAGAGAAGGGCTGGGGTAGGGAGCGGCAGACAGCACTGGGGAGGCCAGGGTGACCGGCTCATGGACGGATAAACAGACTGGCTCAAATGCCATCCAGAGAGGGGCGCTCACATCCCCCCACCCTCAGCAAGCTAAGCCTGCACAACCTTCTGGAAGCCTCCCCTGACTTCTCTCTGGGCAGCTTCCTTTTCCAACTGGCCTCAGTCTGTCAGTCTACCCTCACCTGAGATAACGGCCATCATTATAGCCCAGTGCATAGTAAATCTTTGCTGGACGAATAAAGAAAGAGACAGACAGACGTGACAGAGATAGCGACATGGAGGGCTTGCCATGAGGGAAGTGTGAGCTCTTGCTCAAGATGAGGGCCCTGGGGGCTCACCAACTTTCTGAGGTTTGAGGCCATCACCAAAGCCTGCGGCGGAGGAAACAGGGGTCAGAGGTTGAGGGGCGGTGGTGGGGATCAGAAGTGGTCACAGTGGGGAATATGGGACGGGAGGAAGGAGAACTCAGATGAAGGGCCTCCTCACCTAGTTCTGCTCCTGGTCCATAGCCATGCAAAGGATAGTACCCTGTGAGGGGAACAGAGATCGGTGGGGAGGACCCAGACTTTCCCAAGTAGGGTCTTAAGGACTCTGAGGAGGAAGAAGGGATTCTCCCTACCCATAGGGAAAGGAATCAGAAGAAATGAGTTTAGAAAGCAGCAGGAGAGAGGGAGGATAGGTTCGGGAGGAACTTTCCTGGCCTGAACAGCTGAAGCAGCCTGGGAGTAAGGGTGATGGGGGAGTGACCCTGGTCTGGTGTGGGGACAGAGGCAGACAGACTCGCACCTGCTTTCTGAGGTTTCAGTCCCCACTGGATGGCTGGAGTCGGTGCTAGGAAGAAAGCCAGGGGATAGGAGTGAACTCTGGGCCAGGCAGGTTGGCACTGCCACAGACTGCCATGGGGGAGGGGCTTGGGGAAACTGCCATATTGGGGGTCACATGGGGTTCAGAGCCAGAGTTCAGGCTTTTCTTCGGCTGGCTCACAACAAGCCTCAATTTCAGCTGAACAATGGGCATGGGAGCTACTGAGCAGCCCAGCCAGGCCCAGCCCCTCCTGGGACCAGGCACACCACCACCCAGAATGGCTCCGCCCTCCACACTGACCTGGGAACTTGCCATTCTGCACTGGAGGAGGGGGCTGGGATTTCAGACCCCAGACACCTGCTCTATCAGAAGGGCCTCCTGGAGTGGGAAGCCTGGGGAGAAGCAATGGTGGGACCTTCCCATTGCAGGGACCTAGATTGGAGAAGAAGGGAGAGGGCAGTGAACCCAGACCAGTGCCTACCGCAGCTGCCCTCCTGGCCTTGGCCTGGCCAATTCATCAGCCTGCAGTGGCTTCTAGGGCAGAGCTTCCAAAGGGGGACACTGGCCAGGTCAGAAAAAGTCCAGTTTTTGTGAGTCACAACCTGCTCTGAGGACCAGATGACCTAATAACCTCCTGCCATGGTTCCTGCTATTTGCCCACCCAGCCCCACAGCCTCCCAGCAACATCCCTCCCACCTCTCTCCTGACCACCCTCCAGCCCCTGGGGCCTCACCTGGCTGGGCCCCCAGTCCTTTTCCATTGCCATATCCTGGAGAAAAAAACAGGGATGTGAGTGGTAGTATTTGGGGGTTGTGGGAGTCCTGGAAGTAGAGACAGGAGAAGGTACAGAAATAGTGAGTTCCCTCACTTGCCTGGCTTCGGAGGTTTCATATCCCCTCCCAAACCTGTAGGAGAGACAAAGAGACAGCTTCAGAAGGGACCAGCCCCTCCCTAGGTATGAGCCCTCTCTCCCAGACAGTGACACCCTATCATGCTCACCTGGTGCGAGCCCATTCCCTGGTGTGTATCCTGGGAGCAAGAGCAGGGATGAGGACTGGGGCTGGGGTTGGGGAGACTTCAGGTGGAGGTGGGAGACAGGCAGGGATGGGCTCACCTGGCTTTGGAGGGCTTATGGCCCCTCCTAGTCCTGGGGAGAGACAGATGGAGGCTGAGTGACAGGCGGACTCCACTCTGCCCCTTCTCTTCCTCAGGATCCAACTCTTTGCCCCGTGAGGCCCTGTGCCGCCCTTCCCCTCCCCCCACTTCCCGGAACTCCATGCCTGCCCTGCCTCCCTCAACCCAGCTGGGCCCTTTCACTGAGGAAGGCTATAGCTCCCAGCCCATTCCTGTAAACTGGGGTGACAGATTGGGGGTTGTGAGGGGGAAAGAGGTGGAGAGAGTAGAAAGTTTCTAGAGGTAGAGAGGAGTGGCAGCAGGACCTAATTCTGATACCAATTTCAGTTCTGGGGGTTTTCCAACACCACCAAGCAATGTTCAGATACCAGCTGGGTGTCCCACAATTTAATTCAGTTCTGACACTGGCTACCTGGCTACACTATAGCATCAGATTCCACAGGTTAAGGGCTCAGTCCCACAATACTGTGCCCTCCTCCCACTTCAGGTGCCAATTGCCAGTCCAGGTCGTCACCTGTGCTTCTGAGCAACCATCAGTAGAAATCGGAGTTTCCCATGAACTCTGATTTGTTGGGTTCAATTAATTGTCTAGAGTGGCTCCCAGAATTCAGAACAGTTCCCTTATTAAATCACAGGTTTATTATAAAAGATACAACTCGGAAACAGTCGGATGACCAACATGCATGGGATGAGGTATGTGGGAAGGCCCTTGGAGTTCCCATGCTCCCGCCCACCACTCTCCCTGCACCAGCCTGGGAGGAAGCTCTCCCAACCCTGTCCTTTGGGTGTTTATGGAGGCTTCACTACACAAGCAAGATTGATTAAGTCATTGGCCACTGGTGATGGAACTCCTCCAGCATCGCCTCCTCCCAGAGGTTGCAACCCTCCAATCATAAGGTGGGTTCCCCTGGCAACCTGGCCCCCACCCTTAGGTGACATAGGGGCTTTCCAAAAGTCACCTCATTAACACAACAAAAAAAACTTTTATCTCTCAGCATTTAGGAAATTCCAAGACTTTTAGGAGCCAGCTCTGTACCAAGAATGGGAGGGAGACCAAGTGTATATTTCTTATTATAAATCACAATATCACAGTGGAGGTAGAGAGAAAGGGTTTACCTGGCTTCTGAGGTTTCATGCCCTCACCAATGCCTAGAGATGAGAAGAGATGGCAGCAGGTGAGGGACCCACTACCCACCTGCTGGGCTGTCCTCCAGAACCTGGCCTCTTGCCCCTCAGGGCTCACTCTACTACCTGCCCACTCTGCTACCTGGTCCATGGCCGATGGGAACTGCACGGTCTATGGGGACAGGAGAGGGTAAGGCAGCAGCAGACTGGATGGTGGGCTGCCTTTTCTCCCAATTTAGCAACTAGATGCCACGAGGCCTCCTCTGCTTTATGCCAACTCCAAGTTCTCCAAGTGCGGCAGGAGCCCATGAGGGGGTTCATCAGAACAGGGTCTGGGTGAAGACTACCCCTCCCCAAGGGCCCCCTATCTCCTCCTTTCCAGCTGCTCTCAAACCCTCAGTACCTACCTGCTCTGGCACCCATTCTGAGCTGGGGGCCAGTGGGGGTGGGAAGGAAGAATAGGAGGTTTGGGACCCTAGCTAAGGTGGGGTCCCTTTGAAGGAACACAGCTGGAATGTGTTCCTTCCAAGCTGAGCCAGAACCAGTGATCATGGAGGCTTTCCCTAGCCTCTTTTAATCATTCAGCAAACCTGCCCCTCAAAAGCCTGGAGGGAAATGGGAGGGGACACCCAGATGCAAACCCACACCCTAGACCCCACCAGTCTCACCTGGCTGGGCTCCCAGCCCATTTCTGGTCCAAAATCCTGCGGAAACATGTGGAAGTAGGGTGTGAGTGGGGTGGGGGAAGCTCTGAGTTTTGGAGAGGTGGAGAGAGACAGCCAGGAATGAGGCTCACCTGGCTTCTGGGGTTTCACACCTGCTCCAAAGCCTGGTGGAGACACAGACAACAGGTGAGGGATCCTGACCCCATCCCTGCACCCCCTGCCCCCATAACTCTGACCTACTCCTATCTGGTCCATTTTTAGCTGCAGGGCCTGTGGGGAGAAGGTGGGGGAATGATAAAGCTGGCCGAGGGGCTGAGGGGCTGAGGCCAGCACTGCGGGACCCTTGGGTTTTCCTCCCGCTCCTCTCCCCATGGTCCTTGGTGCCCCTGACACCCTTCACCCCTGAGGCAGATAGTGCCCCTCTTCTCAGAGTGATGCACAGATCCCCACGCAATGCTCTTAGTGTCGAGGGAGGTGGTGAACGAGAGAGGCCTAAGAGAAATGAGGAGGGACAGGACAGCTGTCCTCTCACTGTGGCCAAGGGGTTTCATACCCCTTTCTAGGCCTGGGAAGGAGGAGAGGCTAACACAGACACCCCCAGGCTTCTCTCACATCCCCACCCCAAGGCAAGGAGCCTCTGTTCGACTGGGTCCCTGTGCCTCCCTTCCAATCCCTTAGGGTCCAGGCCCAGCTGCACTCACCTAGCTGGGTTCCCAGTCCATTTCCATTACTATATCCTAGGGAGGCAAAACAGGGGGGGCATGAAGGGCAGTGTGTAGAGGCAGTGCAGAGAGTCAGGAAGCCTCAGAGATAAGATGAGATGCAAGGTGGTCTCTCCCCTTAACTGGTTTCTTTTTCTTTTTTTTTAATTTTTACTTATTGATTTTTTTTTAGAGAGGAAGGAAGAGAGAAAGACAGTGATTTGTTGTTCTACTTATTTATGCATTCATCAGTTGCTTCTTCTATGTGCCCTTACCAGGGTTCAAACCAGCAACCTTGGTGTATCAGAATGACACTCTAACCAACTGAGCTATCTGGCCAGGGCCTACCAGAACCTGGTTTCTGAGATTTCTTTTTCTTTTATTTTCCTTTTTCTTTTTTCCATCATCATTTATCCTCTCTATGCTCTTTCACTTCCACCCACACCCTCCCCTTGCTATCACCACAGTGAGGTTTCACTCCCCCTCCCGGGGCACAGGCCAACCCTCCAATTCCTCACTGCTGGGCACCTAGCTCCCTGGCCCAGGCCAGGCTCCCCACCCCCCACCCCCCCCCCACCCCCCGCCGCTCCTAAAACCCTCTCCTCTCCCTCTGAGAAGCCTGGGCTCCTGCCCCAGGGGAAGGCCCAGCTGTTTACAGATCCTGGAGAGATAGGGAAGTGAGAGTAGGAGGTACTATGGCTTCAGAGGCAAGACTACAAGGACTCACCTGGCTTCTGGGGCTTCATGCCCACCCCAAAGCCTGAAGAAGATTTGGGAGCAGGTGAGAGATTTGGGAGCCCCCTATCAGGGCCTCCCCAGGTTCCTACCCACTCCACTCCTACCGGCTCCATATCCATTCTGGGCTGCTGGGCCTAAGGGAAAGGGAGGATGAGCTGAAGGGACTGGGGTTCTGGCTGAAGTGGAGAAAAAGTTCCCTCCTCTTGGACCAAGCCAGAAAGCTGGTATCCTTGAGGCTTCCTCCCAGGACCTGCTCAATTATTCACCAGTTCTGCCCCTCCAAGGCCTGGGAGGGAGGCAGGAGAAGACACCCAGACATAGACTCCACTGCCTAGCCTCACCTGGCTGGGCTCCAAGCCTGTGCCCATTCCCGTTCCCCAGTCCTGGGGGTACAGATCCAGGTGGGGGTGTGAATAAGGGGAGGGGAGCTCAGGGTTTTGGAGAGGTTGAGAGAAACAGGCTGGGGTGAGGCTTACCTGGCTTCTGGGGCTTCACATGCACTCCAAAGCCTGGTGGAGAGATAGGGAGCAGGTGAGGGACCTGAGCCCCATCCCTGCGCTTCCCCAGAACCCCAGGATGCCCCTACCTGGTCCATAGCCATTTTGAGCTGCAGGGCCTGGTGGAAGGGGAGAGGGGGCTCTGGGTGCTGGCCTCTCTCTGAGGCTCCACCCTAAGCTTGCCCCTTTAACTCACGCCCCAGACCTTGACCTACCCAGCTGGGTCCTAGACTTCCCCCTGGTGTCCAGCCTCCCTCCAGAGCCTGAATGTCACATCTTATTGCCTGTGTCCACCTAATTGAGTGTCACTGTCATCAGCCATGTCAACTAGCCAGGTAGGTGAACTCCCTCAGGCCTCCTTCCCCTTATTAGCCCAGTGGTATCATCATTAGCTCCAGCCCCTATTGCCTCCTGGTCATTTGGTTTTCAGTGGGCCACGCCCTCTAGTGGGCAGCCTGGGTCCTGGTTGTGTTCATACTCCCTTCCTGTCTGCCTCCCCCTGCCCCAGGCTCTGGGAGGGCCTGTCTCCAGTACTTGGCTGGCCCCTGGATGTTTGCTGAATGACTGTTTCTTGCAGGGCACCAAGTGGAAGATGCAGAGTGCAGGTCTCACCTGGCTTCTGAGGTTTTAGTGCTCCGAGACCTGGAAAAGAGAAGGCGTCGCACATGAGTCCACCTCATTCCTATTCTTTGAGAACTAGGATCAGGCACCCACATCAGCTAACCCTGCAGTGATACCCATGCTCCTGAGTTCCTGGGCCTTGCCTGGCTGTGCTCCTGCTCCCACGAAGGCCCCATTCCCGAATCCTGGGGAGACAGAGCAGGAGGGAGTAAGGAGGAATCTGGGACTTGCGGGGAATAGACAGATACAGAGATACCAGATAGAGTGGGCTCACCTGGCTTCTGGGGTTTTCCATCCCCGCCATAGCCTGGGAAAGAGAGGAGCACATGAGGGACCCAGAATCCCCATCCTGCCCCAGGAACTTGACTTCTACCCTCATACACCAGCTGCCCCTTCTTTACCTGGTCCCAAGCCATTCGGTGCTGCAAGACCTGTTGGGAAAGCTGGGTGCTGCTGGGGTGGAAATGGCTCCTAGCCTCCCCCACCTGGCCCCACACGTCCCTCCATTTATCCTGGCTAGGTTCACAAAGGGGGACAGGTAACAGGGGACTTGTGACAGGAAGGGGACCGGGGAGACTGAGGCAGGGAGGAACTGGAGCCCCGACCCCTCCTCACAGTTGCCCTCTGTTTCTGGCCCCTGAGACTCCCAAGTAGTCTAACTCCCGCTGCTTCTTCCTGTGAGTCCAGGAAGTCCAGGGAGTCCAGCCCTATAAACATCAGCTTCCAGGAGCCAGGGTTTTCACTTTCTGCCTAAATCCCCAGGCCTCCAGCCTCAGGACCTGCCCTCTCACTTTCCCTGTCCCATGGGTTCCCCGCCAACAGTCCTGACCACAGTCCTCGAGATGGCATTGGGCTTGTGTAGTTCTGGGCTTGTGGGCTTAGCCTCGGGAGTTGCCAGCCAGGTCTGTGTTGACTAGCACGATGCCTGCTGTGCACAGCTGGACCAACTCAGGGCAGGTGAAACCGGGCAGAAACCGGGGTTGGGGAGGGGTGCACAGGGCCCTGGCCTCTTTCTCTGAGCCCCTCTCCCTGCCGCTTTGACAGTGGGCCCCAGGCCATTGCCAATGCCAGACACTGGACAGGGCAGCAGTGTGAGGAATGGGCCTGGGAAGGACAAGGACAGGAATGGGTAGGGACAGAGTCAGGAAGGGGGGTGGGGGGCAGGTCTCCGCTCACCTGGTTTCTGCGGTTTCACGCCCCCTCCCAAGCCTGGGGAAAGACCAGGTGCCACTGAGCCATGCGTGGACCCTGCTCCACAGAAATCCGTTTTCTGCCCTCCTGATCACCTAGCTCTTCCCTTTCTTCCTTCCTTGAACCCCAGTTTGGTCCAGGTGTCCTCACCTGGCTGGGCTTCGACTCCTGGGAAGGCCCTGGCTCCCATCCCATTCCCATTGACAAATCCTGGGGAGAGCAGGCAAGAAGGAGTTAAGGGGAGGCCAGGCAGCATGGGTGAGCAGGGATGGATGGAAAAAGAGGAACAGGGACACAGGGACAGGGTAGAGCTCACCTGGCTTTTGAGGTTTCATACCCCCTCCAATTCCTGAGTAAGAGATAGGAACCAGGTTAAGGAGCCTGGAGCTCTCTTATACCCCCAAACCCGAGCATATGCCCCAGTTCTCACCATCCTCCCCTACCTGGTCCCTGGCCACCATTCGGAGCTGCAGGGCCTATGGAGAGAGAGAGGGCAGAGGCTGGAGCTGGGCCAGTGTGGGCTCGCACCTTCCTTCCATGCTGTCCTCCTCTCAGGACCTCTGTGCCCTACTCTCCCCAACAGCTCTTCTCAGGGAGCAAGTTATGAGAAGGGCCTGGAAGTTTGGAAGACCCTCCCGAGACCACGGCTGAAGCATAGCGGCGGCCACAGCAGCCCAACCAAGGGAGCATTCCATAAGAGCAATAGTGCCACAGGGTGAGGGGCGGGTCTCTCCACTCACCTGGCTTCTGGGGTTTCATTCCCGCTCCCAGGCCTGGGGAGAGATAGGGAAAGAGGTTGGCACTAACTCCCACCAGCTCCCCTCCCTCAGAATGCAGATCATGACCCTGAAACCCCCTCTCCCTTGCCTGCCCCTTCCTGCAGCCACTGCCCTAATCACCCTCACCTGGCAGGGCTCCTGCCCCTGGAAAAGTGCTGACTCCTAAACCATTTCTGCTCCCAAATCCTGGGGATACAGAGGTGGGGCTGTAAACCCAGGTTTTTGGCACACAGAGGAACTGGGATGGAAATAAGCAAGGAATGTGCTAGAATGGGGGCATGCTCTCTACTTACCTGGCTTCGAAGGTTTCATTTCCCCTTCCAGGCCTGGGGAGGGACAGAGAGGCTGAGCCTCCTGCCCTCCCCCAAGAACCCAGCTCTCTCCCCTACTGGCCCCCTGATTCCAGCCCTCAATCTTCTCCCTCCCTGAGCCCCAGGGTGGTGCCCCCAGCGTCCTCACCTGGCTGGGCTCCCAGCCCTGGGAAGGCACCAGCTCCCAGCCCGTTTCCATATCCTGGGCAGACAGAAGCAGAAGGCAGAATAAGGGGAGGAGGGGTCTGGGCTTCAAAGGGAGGCAGACTGATGTTGAGACAGATGCATTGGGCATGGAGAGCAGGGTCTTACCTGGCTTCTGGGGTTTCACACCCCCTCCAAAGCCTGGAGAGAGAGATAAAGTAGATGAGGGGACCCCAGGGACCCAGTTTCTTCCTAGGGCTCCAAAGTCTTGCTAAGCTGAGGGGTGGGGCAGGGAGTATTTGGAATCCCCGCTGAGATGGGCGTGATGTTCTGAAACCAGACAATAGGAACCCATATATTGTCCTTCCCTCTGCTCCCAGTGAGTTACCAGCTCTGCCCTGGGGGAATCTGGGAGAAGGTCCTCCGAATGCTGACCCAGCCCTATCCCCAGCATGCCCTACCCTCCCTCTTCCTCCACCTCACCTGGCTGGGCTGAGACACCTGGGAAGGCCCCTGCTCCTAGCCCATTCCCATTCCCAAATCCTAGGGAAAGCAGGCAAAAGGGGATCAGGGAGGAGGAGTAGACAGTAATGGGAGGGTCATGGCATGATTCGGGGAGATAGGTAGGGTGCGGCCTCACCTGGCTTGTGGGGTTTTACACCCCCTCCAATGCCTGAGAAGGAAATGGGTCAAGTGAGGGTTTCAGGACACCCCATTTCAGGGATGCCCCTAGAATATGGGTCCTAGTCTCACCACCTCCCTACTCTGAGCCCATCTCTATCTGTTCCGTAGCCATTCTGAACTGGAGGGCCCATGGTGAGAGGGAGGAATGAACTGGGGAGTTGTGGGGTCCTAGCTGGGGTGGGTGTGCAGGACCCTTGGACCCAGCCAGAAACAGCAAACCTGAAGGCTGCCAATCCAGCACCTCCCTCCAGAGTTGTGCACCAACCCTGCCCCTTCCTTCTAAGGCCTGGAGGGAGCAGGGAGGGGACCAACCCCAGACCCCATCATTCTCACCTGGCTGGACTCCCAGGCCATTTCTCTTCGCAAATCCTGGCAGGATAGATAGAGGTGAGGGGTGTGAGAGAAAGACGGAGAAAGAGACAGATAGACAGACAGACAGACAGACCATGCTGGGGCTAGGCAGGACTCTGGCTTCTGAAGTTTAACACTCCCTGGGAAGCCTGGGGGAGACCCAAGAAGGAGGTGAGGGATCCAGGACCCACCCACCTCTGCACAAAGCCTGCTCTCAACTGGCGTAGGGGCCATGCAGTGAAGGGCAGGGTGAGATGGTACCCGAACAGTCTTGATGGATTCTTTGGGGGCAGAGGGTGGGGGGATGTATGTGCAGGAGGGAAAAGAGGAGGCCTGTAGGAAGGGGTCTCAGGTGGGCTTCTCTGCCTCAGGAGTGTCAGTGCTGACCCCAGGTATTTCTGAGATGGCTGTCCCCCACCACAAATGCCATTTGTCTACCCCTTACCTGCTCCCAGGCCACTGGGGGGGCCATAACCTGAGGGAGGAATGATGTTTTGAGCCTAAGGGAGGCAGGAGGGGCCAGGAGCTAGGGTGCTCTGCCCTCATTTAAGGGACACAGAGCTGCCCCCACCTCTCAGCCAACTTTACCTGGTCTGTAGCCATTCAGGCTCCCTAAGCCTGCGGGGTCAAGGAGAAGGGGGTAATTTAGGAAGGGGCAAAGATGGCCAAATCTGGATGCTCTCCCTCCCACTCTGCAGAGCGAGAGAGAGTGCACCCCACCCCACCGCAGGCCTCATATTCTCTCTGTTCACAGGAGGGGCAAGGACAGAATGAGGGAGGCAGGCTGAAGGAGGCTACAAGCGGGGAGCTGTGTCCCTGGGGGCAGGTCTCCTACTCTATCTGCCTCAGGGATGTGTGTACCTTCCCCCTCCATTCCAACTGGAGTGTTTTGGACCCTTCCTTTCCTGAAACTTCATCTTCCTCACCGCCACCCCTCAATCTTTCTCTCCAGCAGCTTAGATGCATCAGGTCTCTGGAGGGAGGCCCCTCTCCTACCCTTAGGATGGCACAGGTCACCGGCGAAGACCCTCCTCTGACACTCAGCCTCCTCCTCCCCTCCCCTTGCCCCAGCCTTCTCCCCTCCCATCCTGTCCCACCTCCAGGCCTTCGGTCCTCTTGCTTCTAGGGACACATTTCCCCTTTCCTGTCACAACACTATCCTCTGCTCCATAAGACTCAGCTCTAGGCCCCTCCTCTGAGCATGAGAATATCAGGGTCTGGGGCAGGGTCTGATATTCTCATGCCCAGAGTTGAGATTCTGTCCCATGTCACTCTATTCCAAGGGTGTGGGTCTGTGCTCCCCACACTTGAGCTGACCATGGACAAGACTGGCTGCTAGGAAGACCGAGGGGCTTGGTGCTCTCCTCGGCTGCACATCTGAATCTCAAAGCTGGGGAATATTTGGGGCTGCCCCCCAGAGAGCTCCAAGGCTCCTGGGAGAAAAGACTAGGTCCTCTTCCTGGACCCCAGTGCCAGGAGGGTCCACTTACCTTTCCCTAGGCCAGGAGACAACCAAGGCAGCCCTGGGGAGCAGGGGGTACTAACTCAGGGTGGGGCACAGAGACAGAGAGGGGTGGGACAAAGGTATCTGTACCTCAACCCCCCAAAACCCTACCCAGACTAGATTTCAGATACTGAATCAACCCTCTCTCTGGAGCTCAACCCTCTGACCCAATGCTCTGCCTATACCCCTAGCCACCCAGACCCCAGCCACCCAGACCCCGCAGCTGCCTGCCACCTGCCCTCACCGCCTTGTAGGCTTTCAGAAGTCAGGCAGAGTAGGAAGAGGGCTGCAGGGAAGGCCCAGGCGCCCATGATGCCTGGCAGAGTGGGAAGGCACGTACACTTTGAGCCTTTAAACACCTCTGCTGGGTGGGGTTCCTTACCCAGGCCCCCCTGCTGTGAGTGACAGAGGATCTGTTGGCAGGCCCAAGACGCCAGCCCCCACCTCTCTCTGCAGCAAGAGTCCAGCTCCTGGCCTTCTCCCTGCCCCACCCCTCATCCATCATGGGTGCTGACAGCTGGGAGAGGCCCCACCTGGCCCCCGAGGCTCCTCCACCCTTGTTAGGCACTGTGGCCCTGGCACCAGGCCTGACAGCTCAGATGTTACCCCAACTGTTGATGAGGGGCAGGCAGGCACTGGGGGCACCCCAGCCCCAGCCCAAACACAGCTGGGGAGAGGGAGGAGCCAAGTTAAAAATGTGGGTGTGGCTGACATGGGAGACTCAGAATGAGTTACTGTGTTACATGGAGAGAGAAAGCAAAAGGAGGCAGAGGCCACAGGGTGTTACAAGGCCAGTGGCCAGGAAACAATGTAGCTCACTGTGTGTGACAAGTAGACTTGCCCACAAGAAGAGAGGCAGTATTATCCCATCCAACCCTGAAGACCGAAATATTATCTCATCCAACCCAGTGCAGCACTGGGAGATGGCCCTTCATACCCAACTGAGGCTGGACTTGCAAGAGTGGGCCTGAGCCTCCTTTCATAGGGCTGGGTCACCCCATGCTCATCCTGTCCAAGGGTCTTCACTTTTCCTGAAGGCTCTGCTAGGGCCCACCCATTGCAGGAGGCCCTCCCAGCTTCACCTCCATCTCTTGCTGAAATAAGCAGCAGTGACTCTAGTTTTGGGGGACAGAGTGTTGGGGGTCCACTGCGCAGGCTGTGGTAGGAGCAGGATTGCAGGCTCAGGATTCCAGGAAGAGTACCTGGGGGGCTAGTAACCACTCTCCATTCCTAGGGGGAGGGCAGATGGAGTCAAGTCAGGTGAAGGGGGCTTGGTGGGAGTATGAGAGGACAGGAGAGGCAGGCCTGGGAAATGCCAGGAGTCGAGGGTCTGGACACCAGCCCTTACCTCCTCCAGTGAGTCTGTGGGCCCCACTGGGCTGGCTGGAAATAGCAGTGACTCAGACCCCTTGGACCCTAGTCCGCAAGGCCCCACACCCTCTCTATCTGCTGGCCCACTCCCTGCTTGGTCAACCCCTCTTGGCACCTGTGGCTAAGGAGTCCAGCCTGCCAAATGAGGCAGGCTGTCAGGGTGGGGGCCTGGAGAGGGGCCACAGTGAGGAGTGGGCAGCATGTGGTGGGTTTTGCTTCTTATGTGAGCCCTTGGAGCCCACAACAGCTATGGGGACAGCTCCAGCCACCAGTGGAATGCAGGCCTTTTTCCAGGTATCCCCTCACCTGTAGTCATCCCAGAACTGATCTGTGCCTGCACCTTTCCTTCCACCCACCCTTGGGCTACACCCTTGCTGCTCTCTCTCCCCACACAAGAGGACCCCCACTCAGGAATCACGCTCACCTGAGTTCATGCATGCATGCGCATACACACATAAAACCATGCCTCCGGCACCCAGCTCCTCTGACAGACCCATCTTTGCACAAGGCTCCTGCTGGGTCTCCTCAGTCCAATGCCTTAACACAGCACTCCACATGCCACCTCCTGCCCTGTCTGGCAGAGGGTGTAACCTAGAGTCCTGGAGGACGCCGGACCTTCCACTGGTTACTAGGAATGGCTCAGGTGTGGCCCCTGGCCCCAGCCACCCAAGACAGCTAGGGACAGCTGGGATGGTTCACTCAGGCTCCCCAGGGAGGGATTTCCTGCCTGCCACTTGCTCTTCCCTGTGGCAACCAGTAGTGATCTTCATGGAGGGAAGCTCATGGCCTCATGGTCAATGGGCTGGGTGCTGGGCTCAGATTCAGATTGGGTTAAGTATCTGCTTTATCTAGCTGGGAAGCCTGAGCAGGCATCTGACCTCCCTGAGTCTGTTCACTCTCCTCTTAACTGATGATATTAATAGTAGCACGGTGTCAGGGGTATTAAGGGAGCTACTTGATACTCCATTTTGCAGATGGGGAAACAGAGGCAGAGAGTAGAAGGGACTTGGCTTAGATTACATACCTCCTAAGTAACAGGGTTGAACTTTGAAGCCAGGTAGCCTACACCTGCAATCCTAGTTCACAGTCCTTCATTCTTTGCTACTCCACACACTTGTGGCAGCAACAGGCCCAGTTACTCCAGACACTGCATTGCTCTTTGCCTGCCCTGCACCAGTCTGGGCCCAAGGTGTCTGCTTGGGACTTGAGGGCCCCCTACACAGACCCAGTCACACAGACACTCAGCTCACCCCACAGGGTGCCAGGGAAGCTTGGCTCAGGAGGAGGCAGGCGGGGAGACCAGGAAGAGCCATGTGGGAGGTAAAGGCTGGGTGCCTGCTTGGCCACTTCCAGAGGGAATGCTGGTGCCCACCACCACTGCCAAGCTGCCTGGGTGCTGGCATGGGCCTGTGGGAAATGTCAGTCAGCCAGGGGCCGTGGGCCAGTTTAACGCTACTCAGGACAAGGATCAGGCCCAGTTGGGCATCCACAGCCCCTGCACTGCCACTACCCCTACCCCCAGCATAGCTGTCCCCTCAGCTCACCCCCAGCCCCAAACAGGCAGGGCAGGCCTGAGAGCACATGAATCACTTTGGGGCTGACAGAGCTCCTGGTGGAGTCCAGGCCTCGGCTCCCCCTTGCTCCCAGGCTTGAGGGGACATGGCCCAGCCTCTGCATAGAGGAGCAACTTTGCGGGCCAGAGCTACAAGCTCAGGACAAGGTGACAGCTGGGGTGTTAAAAGTGCAAGACAGCCCTGGCCTGGTAGCTCAGTTAGCTGGTTAAAGCATCTTCCCAATAAGCCAAGGTTGCGGGTTCAATCCCCAGTGAGGGCACATACAAGAATCAACCAATGAATGTGTAAATAAGTGGAACAACAAATCAGTGTTTCTCTCTCTTCTGTCTCTGTCCCTCTAAAATCAATAAATTTAAAAAAAAAAAAGTTTTAAAGTGCAAGACAGAGGCCCAAGAAGTCAGTCACCTAAAATGGCACAGCCACCCTGGCCTGGTGGCTTAGTTGGTTGGAGCATCATCCTATGCACCAAGAGGCTGTGGGTTTGATTCCTGGTCAGGGCATATACCTAGGTTGCGGGTTTGATCCCTAGTCAAGGTGCATAGGGGAGGCAACTGATTGATGTTTGTCTCTCACATAGATGTTCTTTTTTCTCTTTCTCTCGCTCAAATCAGTAAACATATCCTTGGGTGAAGATAAAACAAAATAAAAATAAAATAAAATAAAATAAAATAAAATAAAATAAAATAAAATAAAATAAAATAAAATAAAATAAAATAAAATGACATAGCCTGTGTCAATAGGCTCCCAGCCGTCTACTCTCGATAGCACCACCTACCTACCAAATGGGGAATTAGGGAGAATTCCCCTAGCTAGAAGGGCAACCAGAAGCCTACAGGAAAGATACCTTCTGAACCTGCAGCTGTGCTAAAGGGCCCTCAGGTCACCCTCTTGACCCTCTATGTGGCAGCTCTTCAGCCCCATCCCTGAATCGAGGCTCTGGGACACCTTCCCTGGCATCCTCAGGCATTTGCACTGTGTAAAGTTGACCTCTGTTAATTCCCTCTCCTCACACACCAGTTTAATAAACTGTCAGTTTATTAAAACCGTGTGAAATATGGTGTACATTCTGGGTTAAGTAGCTGCTCTATCTAGTTGGGGAGCTTGAGCAGGTATCTGACCTCCCTGAGTCTGTTGACTGTCCTCTAAACTGATGATACGAATAGTTCCACAGTGTCAGGGCTATTGGGGGAGCTACTTGATACTCCATTTTACAGATGGGAAACAAAAGCAGAGTAGAAAGGCCTTGGCTTAGATTGTATACCAGTGTGAAATACGATGTACATTCGGAAGTGTGCATAAGATGGAAATGTACAATATAATAAATATTTACAAAGCAAACACCTATGTGGCTGGCACAGAAGTCAAGAAATAGAACACAGTCGGCTCCCCAAAAGCACCCATCACAATCTCCCCTTTCCTGCTAGGAAGCTGTCTTTTTTGCATTTGTGGCCTTTTACTTGCCTTTCTTACTCCACCTTATCCTGTTTTGTGGCCACATTGAAGGACTTCCTGGAGATAGTATGAGAGGTACAGGTGCTGTTGTGATGGGGACACACGGGGACGTGTGTGGCTCAAGCCAGCTCTCATGTGGATGTGTAGCTAGGAATCACACTCCTGGGCAGGGGGTGGGGGCTTTCTCCTAGATGGAGCCCCAGCCAAGCAGTGTGGTCTCAAATCCTGAGGGCCCATGCCTCTACCCCTGTGACTCTGGGGTGGGTGTGGGAGTCTTGACCCCTCTTCTCCAAATTCCTCCTTTTGGTCCAGGGGGTTGCTTTAAAAACTGTAAAACACTGTGCAAATAAGGGAGTGTTACTGCTATTAAACAATGAGCTCTTACTGTGTTCTAGCCCCTGTGCTGGACACTTCACATGCATTTTCTCATTTAATGCTCATACTCCCCAAGGAGGTAGGAACTATTATTATCTCCATTTTACAAGTGTGGAAACAGGCCCAGAGATGTAAAGAAACGTACCCATGATTGTATAGCTTCTGTGTCGCAGAAAAGGAGCCCCAGTTTCCCCGACTCTATGGCCCATGCTCTTTTCTGCTATTTGTACTTAACTTTACATTTGAGCCCTTCTACACAATAAAATGTCCATTGGAAGCATATTTTTTTAATTAAAAAATATTTTTAAGTCGTTGTGAGTTAGACTTTCAGGAATGGGCAGTTGGAAAGAGGCCTGAGTCCAGGACTCTCGAAGATGGGGTTGGCAGAGTGGATGGCAGCTGGAGAGGGGTATGCCTGCTCCCAAGGCCTCCTGGGGACCAGCCTGGGGTCTTTAATGAGGATCTAGGGTGAGTCACAGGGACTATGGCTGCCAGAGATGCTAATGAAAAGGAAGGGTGCAAGGAAAGGGGAAGGGGCTGAGTCCTCCAGAGTTCTGGACCTAACCTGGGATGTCAGGCTGATCTGTGCACTGGAGAATGTTCACTGAAGGCCAGGAACTGTAGTGGGTTGGGAGTCCTGGAGTCCATGACCTTTCAGAAACTTGAGGGACAGGTGGTCAATAAGTAAACCAGTAAGCAGGATAGAATTTCATATAGAGTTGCAATAAGAAGAAAATGAAGTGTGAAAATGTATGTGATGAGATGCAGAGCACTCTATGGAGAGTGGCCTGGAAGAGTGACTCCCCTCCACCCTGTTGAGTGAAATAAAGGCCCGCTCCGTGAAGGAGTAACCTTAGCTGCACTAATGTTAGGAATCAGCACTTGCTCTGTGTCAGCCTCCTGATAAAGCACTTTAAGGGGATCATTCTACTTGAACCTCTAGCTCCTTGAGGAAAGCTTCATCAGCTCAATTTTTAGAGAGGAGACTAATCCGAAGCTCAGAAAGGCCCAGGTGCGTTTCCAAGGTCATTCAAACCCGGAGTTGAGGGAGGTGTGAGCTGAGCTCAAGTCTCAAATCCAATGAATGAGGAGAACTGCGGCCGAGGTGGCTGAAGCCTGGAAGCAGAGAGGCTCCAGCCTAGCTGTCTGGAAAGCTTCCTGGGTTGGCATTTTCTGATTCCCAAAGCCAAAACCGCTCGTTCCGCGGGTCTAAGGAATGTCTGTCTGGCATCCCCACCGCATTCACCGTGTGGTGCACGACGTGTGTGTGTGTGTGTGTGTGTGTGTGCGCGCGCGCGCGCGTGTGTGGTGGAACCCGGGGGGTGGGGGTAACCAGCGAGCCCAGGGAACTCCACCTCGCCGGGATCCTACAGGACGCAGGAACTTCCTGTCCTGCCCTAAGGTGACCGCCTCCTGGACTACACCTCCGGGGCAAAATGCGGTGACTGCTCCTTTCATAGAAGAGAAAACTAAGCCAGAAAGAATCATGGTGACAGGACCAGGGTCTGGAGGTCGGTCGGAGTCCCGGAAGAGAGGTGGAAGGGACCTAACGTACAGTTCACACCCGTAGTAACGCCTCAGCGACACGACAGCAAGTAGTATCCGCTTCTGCCCCTCCCCCGGCCGGCGCCGGGAAGGCTTTGCGCCTGCGCAATAAGAACGCTCGGCAGGAGGAACTTGTGGGCCCCGATTGGCGACCAGCACGCAGGGACGTGAGGGGCAGAGCTCAAGAAGACTGAGCTGTTTGATGGGCTGAATTGGGGAGGGGGCGGAGCAAGAGGCGTTCTTGGGCGGGGACTCGAGTCCGGCTTGGAATTTTTGGCGCGAGTTGACTCCGCGCGCGTTCACGGGCCGTTCCCCTTCCAGAGGCTCCTCTCGCCTGGGCGTAGAGAGCTGTCGACGGCAGACCCTGGCCCTCCTGACCCCCCGACAGGTCCCTGCGGCCTCTGCTGACCCGAAATCTGGGAGCTCGCAGAGCTGCGCCCCGCCTACCCGCTCCAGGTGAGCCCAGAGCCAGCCCTGAGGGTCTTCCGGCCTGACCGCCCTCCCCTCTTCTTTTCTTCTTCCCCTCGCTCCTGGCACCCCTTGCCCTCGGAGAGCTCCTCCCCTGCTCACCCTCATCCTCCTCCCTCATATCCCTTAGACGTCCTCCCTCTCAGTCGGGCTGTGTCCCGCCGTGTCCCTCTGTTAGCTTTTCTTTGGCTGGCCCTGCCCCGGGCGACCCCGCCCACTTTCCCTCTAGCTGCTGGGGGTGACGGACCCTGCCGCTCCCAGTCCTTCCACAGACTCCCTGTCCCCTTTCATTTGGGAACCCCAGCGACTGCCCCCGCCCCTGTTACTTGTCCTTCCCCAGGAAAAGCCCCACCCACATTCCATCCACAGCCCCTCCCGCGTGACAGCTGGTCTACTCAACTCTTTTCGCCAGGGTTTGTTTCCCTACTCCCGTGGAGGTGAATCTGCTGTTGCCCTGCCCGGGAAGAATTCACAGTCTAGTGTGGTAGACCGAGGTCAGCAGATGTGTCCTGTCCAAAGAGAGGATGAGGCTTGTAGAAGCTGTAGAGGTCACCCTGGCCCTGCCTCTGCTCAGGGCCACACTGGATTCACCTTGCTCCTTCTACCTACCCTGCCCCACCCACAAACCTGTTTGGCCAGGCCAGTGGTACTAAAATGTGACTTTGGGATGGTCTGAGAACTGGTTTAAGATATAGGTGGCCAGTGTCTCCAAATGTGACAGGACTGGGTCTGGAGGCTGTACTTCTAACCAGTACCCTGGAGGATCCTGACATCCCAGCTCTTCACTTTGAGAAACCCTGGAATGGGATTCCTGAGGTAAAAGAGGCAGAGGAAGGGTCATCACAATATGTAGGGTGAGTTTTCTAGGCAGGCACCCATGGGGGTCCCTCCCTCAGTCCTCACTCTCCCAGGGACTGGAGTGTACACTTCAAGATGACTGTCCCCCTTGTTTCAGTTACTGGCTCACCTCTTGTTGGGGGTGGCATCTTTTGATACACTGTGGCTCCCTCTCAAAAGTAAACTCCCCCCTTTTGTTTTCTTATTTTTGTTTTAATTACAACATTATAGCAACACAAAAAGCCCTCTGTGCCCCAACACACAAAGCCACTTATACACATGGGGCCTTTGTAATTTTGTGTGTCTTTTAACAGCACTTATTGAGGAATCTGCATGCTAGACACTAGGCTGAGCCTTCCCTGAGGTTAATTTATAGGTCCACAAACCCCCTGAATCAGCCAGATGAATTTCAGAATTCAGAAGGTGTCAGATTTTAGAAAGCTAATAGGGTGCATATGACATTTATATGTAACACCACCCATGGGTCTGGGACATCATCCAATATGAAACACATTAATACTTCTGTTGAGAAATATATAAACATTCATACTTAGAGGGAAAAAAGGTCAGACCAGATTTTTCTGCCACATGAGTTTTACATGTAGATATTTAGTTGTCCCATTTGTTGTGAAGACTGTTCTTTCCCACTGAATTGTTTTGGCACCCTTGTCAAAATTAATTGACTATAAATGTGAGGGTTTATTTCAATTCTCTATTTGATCTTTATGTCTATCCTTATGTGAATACCACACTGTTTTGATTATTGTTGTTTTGTAGTAAGTTTTGAAATCAAAGTATGAGTTCTCCAATTTCATTTTGATTGTTTTTGGCTATTGTGGGTCTGGTGCATTTCCATATGAATTTTAGGATCAGCTCGCTAGTTTCTGCAAAAAAATCCAGCTGAAATTCTGATAGAGTTTGTGCTGAATCTGTAGGTTAATTTGGAGAGTATTATCATTTTATCCATATTAAATCTTTGGATCTATGAACATGTAATATCTTTCCATTAATGGAGTAGAGCCAAAGCAGGTTTACATTTGTTTGTATGGAAAATAATACAGGAATTAATCACTAATACAAGAATAAACTCTGTTTCTCATACTCACAACTGTAAACCTACTTTTGCCCCATCACTTATTTAGGTTGTCTTTAATTTCCTAAAGAAGCTGAGGGAACTCTGGCCTGTGTGGTTCATTTGGTTGGGTGTTGTCTCACAAAACAAAAGGTCACCAGTTTGATTCCCAGGTGGAGCACGTGCCTGGGTTGTGGTTTTGGTCCTGGGCCAGGGCACATGCAGAAGGCAAAGAATTGATGTTTCTCTCACATTAATGTTTCTTTCTCTCTTTTCTTCCCTCCCTTCCCCTCTCTCTAAAAAATAAAAAGATAAAATTAAAAAAACAAACAGAACATTTAGACTCGAAGGACAGATAAAGAGCTTCCCAGACAAAAAACTAAAGGAGTTCATCATCATCAAACTATTATTATATGAAATGTTAAAGGAATTTGCTTAAGAAAAAGAAGATCATAACTAGGAACAATAAAATGGCAATGAATACATATGGATCAATAATTGAATCTAAAAAAAAAACAAACAAAGCAAACAAGAAGAACAGAGATGGAATCATGGATGTGGAGAGTGTTTTGATGGTTTCCAGATGGAAAAGGGTGTAGGGGAATGGGTGAAGAGGTGAGAGGATTAATAAATACAAATAGGTAGTTACAGAATAGCCATGGGGGAATAAAGTACAGCACAGGAAATGGAGTAGCCAAAGGACTTACACGCCTGACCCATGGACATGAACAATGATGTGGGGATAGCCTGAGGGAGTGGGAGTTGCTAGGTGGAATGGGGAAAAAGGGGGAAAATTGGGACAACTGTAACAGCATAATCAATAAAATATATATATATATTTAAAAGCTGAGGTGCTCTGGCAGGTGTGGCTCAGTAGATTGAGCATCAGACTGCGAGCCAAAGGGTTGCGAGTTCGATTCCCAGTCAGGGCACATGCCTGGGTTGCAGGCCAGGTCCCTGGTAGGAGGCATGTGAGAGGCAACCACACATCGATGTTTTCCTTCTCTCCTTCCCTTCCCCCCTCTCTAAAAATAAATAAATAAAATCAGCTCTTTAAAAAAAAAAGCTGAGGGAAGAAAGGAAAGAAAGTATATATGCATAATGTTTGTTACAGTGACCTTATTTACCACATCTGTTTCTTTTCATTTGTTCCTGTGGGTTTGAGTTACTATTGGGTGTCATTTTCTAGTCCAATAGTATTATTCTCTCCTGCCTCCTTTGTGCAATTATATGCAAGTATATCACATTTCTTTGTGTTATATGCCCAACAATACAATTACACATTGTTTTATACAGTTGCTTTTTAAATTAGCTAGGAGAAGAAAGGAGAAGAAATATGCATTTATACTTCTTTTATATTGCATAATTTCCTTTACTAGTGTTTTTTGTTTTTTCATGTAGGTTAGAATTACTGCTTGGGATCACATGCTTTTAGTTTGAAGAATTTCCTTTAGTTTTTCTTGTAAAGTAGGTCTTTTGGCAATGAATTCTTTCTCTTTTTGTTTATCTGGGAATGTCTTTATTTTGCCTTTATTTTTGAAAAATAATTTGATGGATATAGGATTCTTGGTTGACAAATTCTCTCCTAGCACTTTGAACCCCTTATCCTGTTGCCTTAAAAAAAAATTACTTATTTTTATAGACAGAGGGGGAGAGAGGGAGAAAGAGAGGGAAAGAAACATCAATGTGTGGTTGCCTCTTGCACACCCTCCACTGGGGACCCAGCCCACAACCCAGACATGTGCTATGGCCGGGAATTGAACCAGCAACCCTTTGGTTCGAAGGCCCGGGCCCAATCCACTGAGCCACACCAGCCAGGGTTCCTGTTTCCTTCTGACCTGCATTGTTTTTGATGAGAAGTCAGCAGTTAATCTTATGAGGAGGTTTTTAAGTGATGGATCATTTTTCTCTTGCTGCTCTCAAGATTTTCTCCTTGTTTGATTTTCAGCACTTTTAATATAATGTGTTTGTGGATCTGTGTTTTTATCCTACTTGAAGTTTACTGAGCTTCTTTACTATGTGTTTTTCTAAATTACATTTGGGAAGTTTTTATCCATTACTTCTTAGCATATTTTTCCTGCTCCTTCTCTTCTTCTGGTGCCCTCATTATGTTTATGCTGGTACACTTAATGGTGTGATACATTTCTCTCAGGCTCTGTTCCTGTCATTCTTTTTTCTCTCTGTTCTTCAGATCGTATAATTTCTATCAATCTATCTTCAACTTTACTAATTATTTGTTCTGCCAGTTCAAATCTAATGTTTAACCCCTCCAGTGAATTTTCACTTCAGTTATTGTACTTTTTTTTTTTTACTTTTTTTTTATTAAAGATTTTATTTATTTATTTTTAGAGAGGGAAGGGAGGGAGAAAGAGAGAGAGAGAAACATCAATGTGCGGTTGCTGGGGGTTATGGCCTGCAACCCAGGAATGTACCCTGGCTGGGAATCGAACCTGGGACACTGTGGTTCCCGGCCCGTGCTCAATCCACTGAGCTACGCCAGCCAGGGCTGTTATTGTACTTTTCAACTCCACAATTTCCATTTGATTATTTCAATAATACCTATCTTATTATTAATATTCCCTATTTGGTGATATGTCAGCATGCTTCCTTTAAGCGTGGCTTTCTTTTGTTCATTGAACATATTTACAGTGGCTACTTTGAAGTCTTAATCTGTTACATCTGACATCTGGTCCCTCTCATAGGCAGTTTCTGTTGCCTTTTTCCCCGTGTCTTTGCACAACTTGCAATTTTTTGTTGAAAACTGGACATTTTTTAAAATTGATTTGAGAGAGAGAGGAAGGGGGAGAGAGAACAAGAGAAAAACAATGACTTGTTGTTCCACTTATTTATGTACTCCTTGGTTGCTTCTTGTATGTGCCCTGACCAGAGGTCAAACCGGTAACCTTGGCGTATTGGGTGACTCTCTAGCCAACTGAGGTACCAGCCAGGGTCTTCAGGTCATGGACATTTTAGATAATATGTTTTAGCCACTGTGTACACTGGTTCCTCACCACCCCTTCTAGGGCTTGTGATTTAAAAAAAAAATTGATTTTTAAAGAGAGAGGAAAGGCGAGAGAAAGAAAGAGAGACATATCTATTTGCCCTTCTACCCATTAGTGCATTCATTGGTTGACTCCCACAGGTGCCCCAACTGGGGATCAAACCTTCAACACCAGCACATCGGGCTGATGCTTCAACCAACTGAACCACCCAGCCTAGGCTGTGTGTGCGTGTGCACGTGTGTGTGCGCGTGTGCACATGTGTGTACGCGTGTTTGTGTGTGTTTGCTTATCTGTTTGTTTAGTGACTGGTTGGACCATTGTAGTGACTTCTCTTTCTGCAGTATGAAGTCTCTGACATTGCTCCTTACAGGGTCCAGCTGGAACATGTGCACAGTCAACCTGGCACACTGAGAATTTTGGGGGACTCTCTTTGTGCTTTCCCTGATCATATCCACCTGTCAGGCTACCCTAATTTCTGTCTTTCTTCTCTATTGCTTTTGTCCTGCAGTATCAATTGCTCTATAGACTGATATAATTAAATTTTGGCTCCTTTAACAGGGTAGCTTTTTAATTCAGTGTTTGAGCTTTGTTCTGAAACCAAGAAGGCTCTTAGCTGGCTCTTTCCCTGATTCTCTCTGCTAAACTAGCTGTCCCATGATTTAGCTTTTTGTGATAATGGAATCACCAGCCACCTTCTCTTTGCTTACCACCAGCACTGATTTTTAAAAAAATATTTGTATTTATTGATTGATTTTAGAGAGGGGGGAGAGAGAGAAACATCAATTTGTTGTTTCACTTATTTAAGCATTCACTGATTGATTGTTAAAATTTTTTTTTTTTTAAATTTTTATTGTTTATGATACTACAGTTGTCCCAGTTTTCCCCCCTTGACCCCTACTGGTTGATTCTTGCATGTGCCATGACTGGGGATCAAACCTGCAACCTTGGTGTATGGGGATGACACTAACTACCTGAGCTACCCCAGCCAGAGCCTAAATCCTGATTGATCCTGATTGATTCTTTTTTTTTTTTTAAGATTTTATTTACCTACATTTTAAAGAGGGGAAAGGAGGGAGAAAGAAAGGGAGAGAAACATCAGTGTGTGGTTGCCTCTTGCATGCTACCAACCAGGAACCAGGCCCACAACCCAGGCATGTGTCCGGACTGGGAATTGAACCAGCGATTCTTCCATTCACAGGCCAGCACTCAGTCAACTGAGCCACACTAGCCAGGGCTCAAGTGATTTTTGAGAGCACCTTTAAACTTGAACTTCTCATTCTGTTTCACATAAAGTCAGGTTTTTGGTGCAGGCAGGGGGTGGCAAGGAGAGAGCTTTCAGAGCTCTATTTTTGTTTTTTAATTTAAAAAAATGTTTAATTGATTGATTTGTTCACTTCTTTTTAAAAATAATTTTCTAAAGTATGCCTGTAGATTCTTAAAGTTTTTTTAAAATATTTTATTCATTTTCAGATAGAGGGGATGGGTGGGAGGGAGGGAAACATCAATGTGTGGTTGCCTCTCATGCGTCCCCAACTGGGGACCTGGCTTGCAACCCAGGCATGTGCCCTGACTGGGACCTTTTGGTTCGCAGGCCAGCACTCAATCCACTGAGCCACACCAGCCAGGGCTAATTTGTTCACTTTTTTATGCATTCATTTGTTGATTCTTGTATGTGTCCTGACCAGGCATCAAACCCACAACCTTAGTGTATAGGGTGATGCACCTATACCAACTAAGCTAACCCGCTAGGGCCAGAGCTCTCTGTTTTATAACCTCTCTCTCTCTAGGCAAAATCTTTGAGCTGCAGCTCTGGAGCTGAGGGCAGGGACAGTTATGCCCATCTCCCCGAGTGACACTGCTGCCTTAGGGTGAAGGCAGAAGCCTCTGGCCTTCTTAGCTTGCCTCTCCCAGTGTAGAACCTCCTCTGTAGGAATGAGCTGGGGTTTAAGTGATTGTGCTGCAGTATTCATAGTCTGCTAGACCTAAGACAGAGTTTCTGCCTTATCAGTAGGGGATGGTGGAAGGAGGGAGCCCTCTCTGCTACATTCAGCTGGAATTTAGCCTCTGCAACACAAGAGTTGAAAGTGAAACTACCACATGAGTTTTAGCATCACAACTAGGAAAAAGAAGGCAAGAAACTTGGAATTAGACCTTCTTTTTTTCCCTTTGGAATTGGAGATAAGGGAATGTGGGTCTGTGTGACTATTTCCCTCTTACCATCTTGGAAGGGATTGCATATGGTAATGTTAAATAGCAGTTGTGACAAGGCAGGGATTGCAGGCACATGCTGTACGGCTCCCAAACCTGCCTTGTTTTGACTTCTGCTGGACTGTGGGAGGCTCTGGGCCATGATCCCATGCAGTTGTTTCTGTGACCTGCAGGTACAGACAGCTGTATGCGGGTTTGTATAATTTGTCCTCTGACTTTTCCTGGCAGGTGCTTGTGTCTCCACGGCCTCCATGTTTAAAGCAGAACATGTGTGCAGAGTAGCCTCGGCCTTCTTCCACAGCCTCTCTGGGGCCACAGGACAAGGACCCATTTGAGTGGACACACTGTTCTGTACTCTACCTCTCAGGGCCTCCTGTGCTGGCCATGCCTGTGCCCACAGAGGGCACCCCACCGCCGCTGAGTGGCACCCCCATCCCAGTCCCTGCTTACTTTCGCCATGCAGAACCTGGTTTTTCCCTCAAGAGGCCCAGGGGGCTTAGCCGGACCCTTCCGCCCCGGCCCCCTGCCAAGGGCAGCATCCCCATTAGTCGTCTCTTTCCTCCTCGGACCCCTGGCTGGCACCAGCCCCAGCCCCGGAGCGTGTCATTTCAAGGCAAAGCCTCTGAGACCCTGCAGAGCCCCGGTTATGACCCAAGCCGGCCGGAGTCCTTTTTCCAGCAGAGTTTCCAGAGGCTTGGCCGCCTGGGCCATGGCTCTTATGGAGAGGTCTTCAAGGTAAGTGGAGTAACAACTCTATGGGCCTGTCTGGAGACGCCCCCTTGCTTCCCTACCCCTGCCTGGATAGGATAGTATTCTGGGCAGCTCTCTCTCCTCTTTGTCTCTCCTGGGCTGCCAGGTGGCCGTCCTCAGGGTTTGATTTGGCCACTTTCTTATAACCCCCACATAGGCCCCTTCGACAGCCCCTTCAGTGCACACTCCTGCCTTTTCCAGAGCCTGGCATGCCTGGGAGTGGCTCCCAGCTACCGTCTCCTCCCAGCCTAGAGCCAGCCACTCTGGGGTTCTTGGCGAGCTCTGCCTTGCCCTCTGCCCCCCTACTCAGGTTGCAGACACTTAGGCTATACCTTGTGTGCCACCTTTTTAAAAAAACATTTTCCAATAATTTCTATTTTCTTCTAAATGGTAGTTTTCCTTAGAGAAGTGCTATAAACAACATGGACCCCTAGATTACTTCTTTTTTTTTTTAATTGTATTTTTTCCCATTACTGTTTATCCCCCTTATAAACCAGCTCCCCCACCCTAGATTAATTCTTCCTAGAGGAAACCACTAAGCTTCTCAAATGGGCACCCTTCCTTCCAGAACTTTCTCTACACCTCTAAAATTGACCATATAGAGATAAACCATTAATATTCTACACAGTGAATCACACTGCCTGTATTGTTCTGTAGCCAGCTTTTTTCACCTCACACAATAGTCTGAGAGACCCTCTGTGTTAGTACTTAGATGTCTGCCCTGTCTCTTCCTTGTTGGGCCTCCAGGGAACCAGCATCTGGTCTTACTATTGTATGTTCAGGGGTCTTTCTAAGGTAAATGCCACACTGCACCTTCTGCACATGAAATCTTAATAGAATCTGCTGGATTGTGCTGCTAAATGGTTGGGCCACCTCCCACCCCACCTGCAGGCATTATCTTCCTTCCAGGTACGCTCCAAGGAAGATGGCCGGCTCTATGCTATAAAGCGCTCTATGTCGCCATTCCGGGGACCCAAGGATCGGGCCCGAAAGCTGGCTGAGGTCAGCGGCCATGAGAAGGTGGGGAAGCACCCACGCTGTGTGCGACTGGAGCGAGCTTGGGAGGAGGGTGGCATCCTGTACCTGCAGACAGAACTGTGTGGTCCCAGCCTACAGCAGCACTGTGAGGCCTGGGGCACTAGCCTGCCTGAGGCTCAGGTCTGGGGCTACTTGCGGGATACCCTCCTTGCTCTGGCTCACCTGCATGGCCAAGGCCTGGTCCACCTTGACATCAAGCCTGCCAACATCTTCCTGGGGCCTCGGGGCCGCTGCAAACTGGGTGACTTTGGGCTGCTGGTGGAGCTAGATGCATCTGGAGCTGGTGAGGCCCAGGAGGGAGATCCCCGCTACATGGCCCCTGAGCTGCTGCAGGGCTCCTACGGGACAGCAGCCGATGTGTTCAGGTAAAGGCTGGGCTTCGGAAGGTCCTTCCTGGTTGGGGTACAGTAGCAGAGGGAGGGAAATGCCATCCTGGCTCAAAGTCAGGAAGATTTGGCCTCTAGCTAGGAGACAGTGCCCTAAGAGTATGAAGGCCCCATCCTGTAGTTGAGGGGGTTCTACAGAGTCAGGCTAGACAGTGAACCATCTGGAGCTGCCCTACTAGATTTACCCATCTCTTTACCACATCTCCATGGAGGGACAATTATTACTCATAGGGAAATGGGTACAGGGGGGTTAAAAAAACTTGCTCAAAATCCAGTTAGCAGGTGATGAAGCTTAGACTGAACCAGGCTCTGGGTTCCATGGTCCATGCCAGTAACCATTGCTCTGCCTCTAACAGTCTATCCAGCCATGTCCACAGGACCCTGATAATAATACTAATAACCATAGTGTCTGTCAGGTGGAGGTGCCAGGACTCTCCACAGTCATGTGTGGGCCGTGCTGGGCACTGGGTCCATGCTTCATGGCGTGTTCCCATCATTGGTCCTGCTGAGGCCTTCTCAGAGCTCCCAGCCTCTCCTTCCCCATCTCCCTGGCTCATGGTGGAAGACAGCAGCCATTCCCCACCCTCTTCTCAGGGGTATCCTGGGACTCTGGGATCTGTGGCTCAAGGCCAACCTTGCTTATCTTCTGTCCCTGTCTCTGTGCCCACCGCCTGCCTCCCAGTCTGGGTCTCACCATCTTGGAAGTGGCATGCAACATGGAGCTACCCCATGGTGGAGAGGGCTGGCAACAGCTGCGCCAGGGCTACCTGCCCCCAGAGTTCACTGCCGGTGAGTGGGGGCAAGGATGGGAGGGGACATTGTGTCACAGGGAGGGCAGACTAGAGTGGAAGAGAATGGCAGGCTGTGGGGGACTGCTGGGTTCAGGGCCCAGTCACCCTTGACATGGCCCTGCCCCATGGACAGGCCTGTCTTCTGAGCTGCGGTCTGTCCTCATCATGATGCTGGAGCCTGATCCCAAGCTTCGGCCCACAGCTGAGGCCCTGCTGGCCCTGCCTATGCTCAGGCAGCCACGGCCCTGGAGTGTCCTGTGGTACATGGCTGCTGAAGCCCTAAGTCGAGGGTGGGCCCTGTGGCAGGTAAGCCTGGTGAAAGTGACAGGCTATTCTACCCTGATCCTTGGCCCTGGGGTCTGCCCAGCCTCCCTTGGCTCCCTGTCCCCACAGGCCCTGCTTGCCCTGCTGTGCTGGCTCTGGCATGGGCTGGCTCACCCAGCCAGCTGGCTGCAGTCCCCGGGCCCTCCAGCCACCCCGCCTGGCTCACCACCCTGCAGCTTCCTCCTGGACAGCAGCCACTCCAGCAACTGGGATGACGACAGCATAGGGTGGGTGAGAGCTCTGGACTGATGGGTAAGGGGTGGAGAGATGGGCTGTCACTGTGGCCAAACTCCATATAGAGGCCAGGCTCCATTGGGATTAGTGGTGAGCAGGGATCCCTCCCGCAAATCTGGCCCCATCATACCCTGGGAAGGGCACTGAGGCTGGCAGGAGTGCAGCCTGTCCTGGTTTGAATGCAACTGTTTCTTCTAAGCTTAGTGAGTGGAATGGCCACTGTGCAGAACTGGCAACTTCACCCTTAGGGCACTGCCACTCGAGGGAGCAGCTGGAGGGCCACAGCCCCCAGTGGGAGAGTAGGCAGTACAGCACCAAGCTCAGTGGAGGCTGCCAGTGCCCAAGGACAAGGCATTGTGTTTTTCATGGGACAAAGTTCTCAGAGCCTGGCAAGGCCACATACTGGGAGGAATTCCTTAGTCCAGGATCCCTGGTGGCCAAGTGAGGGGCTGTAATTAAGAAACTGTGGCAAAGGAAAACAACATGCTCAGGGCAGACAGTTCTCAGAAGGAATCATGCCATTAACCCCTTATGAAAAGGTCACCCCATTGTCATAGGGACACTTTATAACTGACATGAAGTACCAAATAAGCTTCATTTACCACAGGTTCACTCCAAAGCCAGTTCATTTGAAGTCCTTGTGTTCTGAAAAGGGACAGAGGTGGCCTTTGAGTGTAATGAGGTAGTTTTTAAAGTTGTGGAAATTATTCTTTGGAAGGGCACTATACTTTCATTGTTCCCAGCTGTGGCCCCTGTCTGGGAGGCTATACAGGGACAGGGCTGATCTTGCTCTTCCCAGGACCTCCTCCCCATGTGCTCCCCATTGCTTGACACCCTGCTTGTCTCGCCCACCCCATACAGGCCCTCGCTCTCTCCAGAGGCCATCCTGGCCAGGGCTGCCAGGAGTACCTCCACCCCCCAGAGCAGGCACACACTGAGGTGAGTGGGCCTAGGGTTAGAAGGCAGGGAGGAAGGTCTTTTGAATCTTGAGTGTCATTTCTCTTTCTTCCCCCCAGGGATGCCCTGGACCTAAGTGACATTGACTCTGAGGCCCCTCAGGGCTCCTTCCCCTCCTTTGAGCCTCGGAACCTCCTCAGCCTGTTTGAGGACTCACTGGGCCCAACCTGAGCCCAGACAGCCCTGGTGCTTTTAACCTTTTAATTCCTTCCCGCATCCTCCTGGAGGCTGGGGTCCCTCTGGGAACTCCAGTGGTCCCTTCTGCCTGGCCATGTCTAATAAAACATATTTGAATCTTGGGAGCGCCCAAGCTTGCTTGCATGGCAACACAGGGCTTTCTGCCCATTTTATTGACATCACCCAGGGTCTGAGGGCTCTGGGATGGACTGAGGCCAAGCCTTGAAGCAGGGCCTCAGGCCAGCAGATTGCAGCTGGGAGCCCCATGCTGTGTGGAACAGATTTCCTGAGCAGGTATGTCCCTGGTGGGCAGGTTGAGCTATTAGAGCATGGCGTTCAATGTGGAGGGTCGGCCCTCAGCCACGTGGGGCCCAGGTCCAGGGCCACTCAGCTCTTTACATCTGGCCAGTTACCTGGAAAAAGTAGCAGCAGTCCTCCTGCCCCTTATTCCTGGGGTAAAGGGATAGTCCTGCTACCCAAACTCCCCACTCCACAGTCTGGACAGAAGGGAGGAGTAGGCGAGCCTCAGGTTCCTAGGAGGGCTGGCGTGCAGGGTTGAAAGTCAGAGGTCAGGAATCATGGGCTGGTGGCCCGGCCAGCCACCCATGTGGTACCTTATGTGAAGGTCTGAGGAGGGGCACGGTGGGGTTATGGCTCTGGGCTGGCAGGACTCCAGCTATCAGAGAAAGCAAGACTTGACCCCAGAGTCCCTCTGGCCCAACTCTCATAGGTCACAGAGGGTAAGCTGAGGCCCTGAGAAGGACTGGTTTCCTTCCAGCCGGCATAGGAAGACAGTACCCTGGAAGAAGGCAGGAAAGGATGCTGGAGCTTGAAGGTGTGGATAGGAGAAGAGACTCCACAGGGAAGAATAGGTGAACAACCAAGGGCTGGGAAGCATCCAGGGAGCCAGCCCCTTGCAGACCAGCAGAAGGAGGGGAGCCTGGTGATGTTAGCCCTAGAAGATTGGGCAGGCTGGCATGTTGTGTGGGTGGTGGTTCAGTCTGGGGGGCAGGCATGGTGGGCGGCCCAAAGCAGGTCAGGCACGACACCAGCGTGCAGTTGAAGGATGGAGCCCACACTGAGCAGGTGCATGATCTGGTGTGAATTCCCCCAGTAGTCGAAGCGACCTGGTCCCCAACGTTCTGGCAGACGGGCCACGTTCACTAGTCCCCCAAGCAGTGCTAGGGCATCCATGCGCAGGTAGCAGGGCAGGGAGCCTGGAGCTCCAGAGCCTAGCCCCACTCCCCGAGCCCCAAACACCAGGAGGCGGGCACCAGCCTGCCAACCAAAAGCTCGTAGTCGGGCACTGGTGGAGGGGGCGGTAAGGGCCCTCCAGCCAGCCACACCTGACAGCATGGTGTAGCCCACCAGGGCAGCTGGGCGAAGCCAGGGCCTGCAGGCCAGTGTGCAGTGGATGATGGGCAGGGCTCCTGCAGAGGAGAGAGCAGGAGAGGGCACATCAGTCTGGGGGTCTGTCTGCCCTTTCTACCCAGGATTCATGTGAGTGTCCCCTACTGCCCCCTCCCCACTTGCCCCACAGATTTCATTCTTCTAGCCCCTCCCCCCATCCTTTGGCTCACCGAGGGTGTTGACAAGGCAGACCCCACACATATCCAGGGCAAGGAGCCGAGTGTACACAGGGCTGCCCCCTTGGTGGCACATGAAGAGATGGTAGAGCACAGAGCCTGCGGGTGGTGCCAGGCAGGCCACACAGTGTGTGCCCCCCAGCCAGCTATCCTTGCCCAGCTGACCCCAGGGTATGGTCATTGGCAGCAGCACCAGGAAGCCCAGCAGGGCCAGCCCTGGGGGGAGGAGACAGTTATCCATCACACAACTTCAGCACGGAGGACAGGTCATGTCCTCAGGAGTCCACAGTCTAGAGACATGAGAGGAATGAGAGCAAGACAGGTCTTGACAACAGTGATAGACAGCTATCGCCAGACCTGGGACAGAGGCAGGCCCTGGGCTTTCAGGAACTTTACTTACTCAGCAGAGCTCACAATAGTTCTGGAAGTAGAAGAGATCATTATCCCCACTTCACAGGTGAGGAAACAGTAACCTGTCCCAGGTGTCTCCGGCAAGTAGAAGAGAGCTCAGGCCTCTTTAACTCCCAAGCTGCTCTCACCTCTGCAACTATATCACCTCCCTGAAAGCAAGGGACCTCAAACCCCAACCTGGCCTCTGTGTGTCAGCAGAAACCAGAACATGGTGTGACTCGAGCTGAGCTCTGAAAAGGACATGGGGGCAATAATACCAGATCCCAGGACCCTTAAGCTTATTCTTCCCAACCCCATGTCTCTCCTCTCCATAAGTAACCAGACAAATGAAAGCTTTGCAATCTTCTGTCTTCTGAACGGGGCTAGGCCAGGCAGGAAAAGGTGGAAAAGAGCTTGTTCCATCTTCAACCCAGGTACCTCCTCTGGGAGCTCCATTCCCCCCATCCTAGGCGTTCTACCCTCCCTGCTGGCATTCTGACATTGCCCTCACGGGTCAAAAGCGGGCACAGCAGACTGGGGCCTCTGGCTACCCACTATTGGCAGGGTCTGGCCAGGCCACAGCCCCCCAGTGGAGGAGGTACCAAGGCTGGGCCCAGCCCGCTCAGGGCCCCCTCTCTTGGTCAGCACAGCTCCGCGGGGCCTCACAGGAAGAGCCCCACGCCTGCGGAGGTGGTGGTGGGGCAGCGGAGGTGTCACCACCAGGCGGAGTCCCAAGACTGGATTGTTCCGGAAAGGGTTGGCAGGGCGGCTGCGCGGGGAGGGGCCGGTGCCCGACTTTTCCTCCTGGACCCCTTCTCGCCCGAGTCAACACCCAAGTCTGGGACGGGTGCTGGTGGGGAAGGTGCACAGGGAACCGGGATTATGAAGGGGCTGGATATCAGGCTGCTTCTCCCCGGGGCTCAGAGGGATTAAGCAGACTTGGTCCCCCACTCTGCTTCCCTCGCCTGCCCTGGGGGCCCTGCCGGGGTAGCGGAAGCAGTCTGTGCCGTGCCGGACAATGGCAGCTTTGTCACCGCGGCTCCTGGCTGTGCCAGGACAGGGGCAGCCCAGAACCTGGTCGCCCCTTGGCCTGCTCCTCGGCCTTCGGGCCCCCAGCCCGGCGCAGGCAGGGCTGTTGCGGGTATGGGATGTGGGGCGCAGCTCACCGTGTGTGTAGATGTTGCCCAGCTCGTTGTGTAGGTAGAAGAGGCTGCGCAGGCAGCCCGAGCCGCTGCTGGCTGGACGGTAGCCGGTCAACACGAACTTGTTGAACTGCAGGTGTGGCGGAGAGCTGGCCCAATCCAGCAGGCGCGGCCCGGCCAGGAACGCCATGGCCCGGCCCGGGTGCGAGCGGGCCGCCCTCCTCTTACACCCCACCCTGCCTCCTCAGTGGGGCAGCAGCGGCGGGAGGCTCATCCCAGCGCCTGCCCACGGGCCAATGCACAGCTCGCGCACGCGCCGGCTTGGGGGTCCCTGCTCTCGCTCCTCCGCTGCGCAAGCGCGGGTCCGGCGCCCCTGCGTCAGCCGCTGCAGTGCACCGGTCTCCGCCTGGGCAGGCGCACCGTAGGGACGGTTCAAGGAGGCGGCAGCGGGCCAGTGGTCTCTCTGAAGCCGTGAGGACGGGTGCGGCCTGACGGGGGAGGGGACGGAAGACTCCGCCCCAGCTGGCCACCCCTGCCATCCCACCAGCGTAGATGCTGCGAGGGCCAATAGCTACGGGCTGGTGGGGAGGCCCCGCCCCGAGGCCACCCAGGCCTTCACCCTTTTAGCGTGATATTTGCGGTGCCAGTCTCATTTGCAGGGAGTGACTATTCACTTGGGACCTGACATTTTGGGTCCCGGTGGCTTTGCCAGAGTAACCCTGGCATCTCGCGTCCCCCTCCGCAGTGTGTGTCCCGGCGTCACTCACGACCTCCAGGTCAACGCACCTTTGGGCACTCACCCTCCCCTGCACAACCTTACCACCCAGCACCCCCCCTCCCCGCAGCCCGTGCTCTGTCCAAGGTGCTGCCAGCCCAAGACGTTTTCGGACAGGTCAGGTCTAGAGCTGCCGCACCCCCACTCCAGGGATGATCTCTCACAGGCCAAACGCCGCCGGAGCTCAGCAAAGTGGTCTGAGATGTCCAGGTTCCTAAGGGTGTGCCTGAACGTCCGGAACCCTAGGGTCAGTCTTTGAGCTTGAGCTCGACCAAACTCTTTCCCTGTTATCTCCCACAAAGTGCACCTTCAGCTCCGCCCAGGACAGTCAGGAAATGGGAAGAGAAAGGGCAAATAGGGAAGAAATGTCAGTTCCCGCCTGGGTTCATACTAAGGCGGGCCCAGAAAGGCGTCACTTCTACCACTTAACCTGGCCTTTTTCTCCCCTTCCCCCGGAATCCCGCGGGCCCCCAGTCTTCCGCCTGGGCGATTCCTCAGTTCTCTGTACTTCAAGCGGCTCCAGAAACTGCGTGTAACACCCTTAATATGCATGAACATGCCCAAACCCTTGCCTCCAGTGTTCTCAACATAACTTCCCACCACTTAAGAATTTGAAGAGCCGTACTCCAAAATAGCTCCTTTATTCAAAGTCCAACTGGCCTTTTGACCACTTTTCTTGACCTCTCATATTTGACTTAGGGCAGGAGTCCAGGACCACCCAAATAGGGGCTCAAAGACCCCTGAAATCAGAGATCTATGAGGAGGGGATCTGATTCCTTTTGCCATTTGGCCTTAACCATCTGGGCACCTACAGTCAGGTCAAGTTCCCAATAACAGTACCAGATGCTTCCTGTCAGATGTCTGGCCTCTGAGAGATGACCAGAGGCAGAGCTGCCCTTTAAAAGGTGGGAGGCCAAGGCAGAGTGCAGCATAGCGTCTCAGGTGTATATCCCACTGTCGGAGGATCCAGTGGACCCTGGGGATCTTAAGTCACAGAGCAGAGATGAGCGATCGCAGGGAACTCTGGCTGGAGGTGCTCAGCGGGCGGTAATTCGAGGCTAGACCCTCTGCCTCGGGGTCTCCAGGGGGGCGGGGCAGTGCCACCCCTCCAGGACGTCGGTACCACACAGCCCAGGTTCTCCCAGAGCCCTGGGAAAGCCTCAGAGCTGGGGGCCCTTTTCCTGGAGCCAGCAGACAACTCCTAGAGAGGGAGCAGATGTCAGCCAAACACCCAACCAGTCTCACCTCTAGCCTCCTGTTTCACTTGCTATCCCAGGCATGATTCCCTGTGTGGACCCAAGGCTGTGCCCCTCAAGAGCTTAGGAGTTCCGGCTCCGTTCCCCTTCTGGGCCCCAGCTCCCCCCACCCCGCCCCACTCCTGGGCACTGAGGCATCAGGCACCCCAGGGCGCGCACCGTTGTCGCAGGAGCGATAGCAGCAGCAACAGCAGCAGCAGCACTGAGACGGCCATCACTGTCGAGAAGACTCGGGCTGTGGGTACATGGTTGCGGTGAGGACAGGGCTTCAGAAGGTCTGTTCCCCAAACTCCCTCCCGCCTCAAGCGCCCGCCTCACCCCCCATCGTGGCCTCCGGAGCCCCAGGCCGGGGGCTGCAGCTCACATTGGCCCCGTCGGGGAGCGCTGCAGGGGTCTGGGCCGAGCCCTTGGGAAGCAACAGGTTCTCCGCCGCGTCCTGCACACCTGTGGAGAGGGGTGTGAGGCAGAAGGAGGGGGAATGATCACAGGGGTGATGGGTCGTGGGCCTCACCTCGGTAGGTGAGCGCGAAGCCCTGCGCGTGGCCACGTGCGTCGCTGCGGAAGGTGAGCAGCAGCGCCGCGGTGCTGAGGCGCAGAATCCCGGGTGGCGGTGGGCGGGCGCCGTCGAAGGCGCGGAGCAGGCTGCCCGAGGCCGCGTCGCGCAGCTCCAACCGGTCGCGCGGGTCAGCTAACTCGAAGAGGCGGAAAGTGAGCTCCAGCGCGGCGCCGGGCGGACCAAGTGCCCAGCTGCAGTTCTGGTCTGGCCCGTATTCGTCCGGGAAGTCGGGGGAGTAGATGACGCCCTGAGGTGCGGTCCAGTTCCCCTGACAGGAGCCTACCGACACTGTGGGCAGGGTCGAAGGTCAGAGCCGGGAGACCTACGGGCTCCACCCAGAAGTCCCTCCCCTTTCCAGCTAGGCCCGCACCCAGGCTGACCCAACAGCTTCCTCAAATCCTGCTCTCAGCTCCAGGCCCCTCCCTTGGCTCCCAGGTTCAGCCCAGTGCCCTCCTCAGGCCCCGCCCCTCAACCAGGCCGCTCTTTCTCGCCTTCTCCTCACCTTCATAGACGCCCAGTCGCCCATCGCCCCCGCACAGCTGGCCTGGGTGGCCGAAGCATATTTGGTCACAGTCGGTGGCCGGGGCTGGGCGTCCCCGGGCCAGGTCGCTCTCAGAGCCGCAGAAGCAGGCGTAGCCAGCCTCCACGCCCGCCAGCTGGGAGCACAGACTGTGTGACGCCAAGGGCAGGGTCTGGGGTAAGGGTGGGGGCATGGGAGCCAGGGGTAGGGCTCACAGTGGGAATCGGGTCGGAGGTTCAGAAATCAGTGCCGAAGTTTGGCGTCAGAGTTGGGAGTTGTTTTTTATCCTGATTTCGGTCAAGGTCAGGGGTCACTGGTCTGGGCCTGTGGGCAGTACCTGGTAGCCCTTCATACGGCAGAAGCGAAGGCACACCTGCACCGTGAGTTTCGTTGAGGTGCCACTGGGGCCGCTGAGGGCGGGGGGCGCTCCTGAGTCCACGAAGCAGCCCAGGTAACCGGGCACTGAGGTGGCAGGGGAGTCAGGGTCTGTCCAGTGCCTCCGAAGGTGAACTCCACTCAGGCAGCCCAGCGCTCCCACCCTTGTCCGGCTGGGCCCACTCACTGTGACACGTGGGAATGTCGCAGTAGCGCCAATAGATGCCCTCCTCCGTCTCAGCCACGTAGCACCATGGCTGCACATCACCGTCTGGGTTCCTGCAGGTGGGGAGAAGTCTGGATCCTGCTACCTGCAAATCCCAGGCACCACCCCGGGTCTATCGGCAAAGCGGCGACCGTGAGTGGTACAACAGCTTTCTGTTCTGCGTGTCCACTTCCGAGTGGACAATGGGAAGTCATTAAAGAGGCCTGAGGGCTGATTTTAGGTTTCAGCGGAGGACTTTGAGTGTTCTCTGTAGTGTTTGCTGCCCACCCAGCCCTGGGCCTCGGCCTTGTGCCTTGCCTCAGAGCACTGCTTTAAAGCAGAAGTGGTGACTTCTATAAGCAGAGAAGTGTCCTCCCGCTCAGCTCTCAGCTCAGTCCCTGCAGCTCCATACAACAGTTGTATCTCGAAACTTCCAACCCCTCTTTCACCGCTAGTGGATGCCCCACTCAAGAAGTTGTAGAGCAAGAACCAGGCCCCTCATTCCAGAGCTCGCTCTCTGGCCCCGCCCCCAAGTCCCCTTTGAAAGTCGGGGTCTGACCTGAGAAGTTGGGCACCTGAGGCCGACCCAAGTCGGAAACAGTTGAGTGCCCGTCCCCGCCCCCAGCGCAGACTAAGGCCTGCCCCCAGGCCTTCTGCTCCACCAATCCCGGGACCCTGCCTCACACCCACGCCTGCATTGGTGCACCCAGCCCCGCCTCCTGCAAGGCCCCGCCCCAAAGGCTCGCCTCCAATTGGCCCCGCCCTGGCCCCGCCCCTCACCGGCAGAAGTTGTGTGCTCCCAGCCCCCAGCGACCCTGGGGGTCTCTGGCGCTGCTGTAGCTGTGCTGCTGCGTTTGGTCCCAGAAGAGGCAAGGGCGGCCCGCCCCGCGCGGGCCCGTGCGGTTCTGGTGGCCACGGTAGTCGGCGCCGTTCACCTGGAAGCACTCGGATAGGCCTGCACGGCAACGGCAGGACCTTGGGAGGTTCAGAACCTGGCCCTGATCCCCACCCCACACCAACTCCTGCCGGTCCCCCAGCTGGCACCCCTGATGCCTACGGGGCCCTGGGGGCTGCTCAGCTGCTCCTGCCACCTGCCCTGCCTGGCCTCCAGGCTCGGGACCGGGCTCCTAGGTGCGAAGGCAGAGGAGGGAATAGTGACCAAGGTCCAGTAGCAGAATCAAGACTCACCTGGGCTATGCAGGCTCCCCGCAGAGGCCCCCCGTGGCGGCAGCGCCAGGAGGAAGAAGAGGAGAAGGAGGAGACTCTGAGGGGATCGTGTCCCCATCTCCCCCAAACTAGGAGAGGCTGCCCTGGCCCGCTCACGACCTGTTCCACCCCTGGGGTCTCTCCGGGGTCTTCCAGGAGACCTGGGGGGGAGGGGTCGTTGTCCTTTGACTGTGAATCCTCGTCGACTCTGGGCAGCACACTCCGTCTAGGGTGGGGAAATATCTCCTGCGGGTATTTGCATCCCAGGGTTTCTGCCCCTGAAGGCGTCTCTCTGCCCCGTCCTTACTGGGGGTCTCCCAGGGGATCTCTGGCCAAGTGCTTCTCCATCTCTGCTTCTCGGTGCTCGCGGGGGCGGGGGGGGGGGTCTTGCCTCAGCTCCCACACCTTCCCCCTCCCGCTGAACCTCGCTCTGAGTTTCCCTACAGTAGGTTTCTAATGAGCTGGCTCCTGCCCCCCTCGAGTCCTTCTGCGAGTCCCTCCCCCTTGAGTCCCTCCCCCTTGAGTCCCTACCTCCCCACCTCCCACCCCTGAGGCCGGGAAGCCCCGCCCGAGACTGGAGCGAAGGCAGCAGGTCCAGACGCCTTTCCTGCTTGCCCCGGGACCCTCAGCGTCCCGGCACGGGCCTCTCTGCCCCCTCCCCTTCTCAGGGTTGGTGCAGGTTCTAGTGGGATGTGTGGGGGAAGACCTTAATGGGGGAGATACAGAACCCTCTCCCGAGGCCACACGCCCCCGGGACACTACTCACAAGCACTCCTGAATGAAATGCACTTGGCACGCACTTCCACTCAGTCGCCCATTCATTGTCAGACGCTCACACACATACGCTCTCGCGGATCCTCATTCCCCTCGCTCCACAGGTCCGGATGCCTCTGGCCTGACAGAGGAAGTGCCACGCCCTGCCCCCGCACCCTCGAGACAGGCGGGAATGGTGCCCGCTCTGTCCCGGACAGGCAGGGGCAGCTGGTGTCTGGGGATGAAGGCAGCTGCGCCCCTGGTCCCAGCCTGTCCCTTCCTCTCCTCCCCCTTCTCTCCCTAAGACCCCTAGTCCAGGCTCCCCGGAGCCATCGCAGCTCGATGGAATTCCCCCAGCGGTACCCCCCTTTCCCCGGCGAAGAAGGGGGAGGTTAACAGGCCTAGGCAGGCGTGGGGGGAAATTCCCCGCCCCCTCCCCCTGGGCCCGACTCCACTGAGTTCTCTGATCTCCCAGCGCCGCCCGCCGGCTGCCCCCAGGGCTTGGGGGGAGGCCAGCGCAGGTGCGTTGGAGGGTGAGGGAGGGGACCTGGGGAGGAGATGGGTGGTGGCCCGAGGCCCAAAACGGACCAGTTTCTCCCAGATCCCTTGCCCCTCAGTCCAGCCTCACGCCTCACCAGGCCCAAATCAGGCTGTCCAGCCTGGGAAGACCTGTTCCCAACATGTCAGCACCGAACTCCTCCCAAGATGGGGGGCACAGGGAGGATTCTAGGAAGGCCAAGGTGCCTCTGCGGGTGATGAGAGCAGAGAAGACTTCGAAGTTAGTAATTCACACACAAGCTCTTGGGTAGGTGGATGGGGGTGGCACACAGGGGAGCACCGGAAGGAGGAGGGCTTGCTGAGACCCAAGGCTGGCACTGGAGTTGCCTCCTGGGGAGCTCAGTCAGTGGCCAGGCTGGCCCAAAGCTCACCTCTCAGTCTCCTGGCCCTGTGGAGCACCTGACTGGGAGTTGCTACTGGTGACTGGGTAGCCACCCATGGATTGGGTCCCCTTCTCCCTTCTGCCCGTGAGTACCATCACTGCAGAGGCTCCATGGGATCATGGAAAGCATCCTAGGGCCACAGGCCTGGGCCAGGGTCCAGGGCAACAGGGGTGCATGTGGTCCTTCCCAGCCCTTAGTCACAGCCTGTCAAGGAAAGGGTGAGGTGGGGGACAAGGACAACCAGGCTCCCACATGAACAATGGGGGGTATGGAGGGAATAGAGGAGTAACTGGCCCTTTCCCTGGAGGGAGTCTGGACAAAAAAGGACTGTCCATTGGGTCCACAGCACTTGCCTTCCCCACTCCCCACTACCTTAGTCTCCTGAAAAGGGGGTTTTGGTTGAAAGGGAAGGGGTGCTCAGTTCCAGGACTCAGGCACTGAGAGGAAGGGCAGTGCCCCCATTGCAAGCGCCAGTCCTAGGTGGCACATGGAACTTCCAACTAAGGAAGCCAGGGCCCTTGCCTCCTGCTGAGGGGACCCACAGACTGGGGAATTAAACAACAAAAATTTATTGTTCACAGTCAGGGATGGTTCCTTCCTGTGAACAATAGGAGCTGTGAGGGAGAATCTGTTCTGTGGCTCTGGACTGGCTTTGGTGGTTTGTTGGCCATCATTACCATTCCTTGGCTTGCAGAAGTGTCCATCACCTAGATCTCTGCCTCCATCTTCTCCCTGTGTGTGTGTCTGTGTCCAAATTTCCCCTTTATATAAGGATGACACTCATTGGATTAGGGTTCTCTCTTCTCCAGGATGACCTTGTCTTAACTAATTACATTTGCTACAGCCTATTGGATAAGTTGTATGGTATGTGGACTGTAGCTCAATAAAGCTTTTACTAGAAAGAAAGAAAGAAAGAAAGAAAGAAAGAAAGAAAGAAAGAAAGAAAGGAAGGAAGGAAGGAAGGAAGGAAGGAAGGAAGGAAGGAAGAAAGAAAGAAAGAAAGAAAGAAAGAAAGAAAGAAAGAAAGAAAGAAAGAAAGAAAGAAAGAAAGAAAGAAAGAAAAGGAAATGTGTTGGGTGGCACTGGTGGACATTGACAACTGATGGGACACATAGGGACAGGCAGGACAGTGTTGAGGATGGCTCTGAGCTCTACTTGTGTGGTGGGGCCACCAGACAAGGACAACAGGTAGACATTCCTCTTTGCTGCCCGCTTCTGGTGCTCACGGGGCACCCAGGGCCAGGGCCCTGGAGGCAGCCGGATACACAGGTTTGGTTGCAGAAGGGAGGGCTAGGCTAGTGCTGCACACCGACGAACCATGAACTCTGAAAGTGGCTGGGCAGAAAAGGACTGAGGTCCAGTTTCCAGAGCACCAACTACCAGGCTTATAGGTCAGGGGTTAGGAGAGGGAAGAGGATCCCTTGAGGAAGACTGGGAAGGAATGCAGGTAGGGGTTAGTGAACCAAGAGACAGTATCAAGGCAGGGGTGGTCAATGCCAGAGCATGAGCTCTGAAAAGCATCTGCTGACTTTAGTGAAAAGGAGGTTCTTAGTTCCACCCTGCAGAAGCTTTCCCAACAGAGGACATGGGGACAGGAAGCTGGGCTGGGGCCAGAAGGGGGAGTGGGGCCATGACTAGCTTTCCATGATGCTTACCTTACAACTTTGGGGACAGGGACTGGGGCCAAGGCTCTTAGGCCTGGCCACTGCTCCCCATTTTTAAAATTTGAGTTCCTTATTGATACTTTTCCTAACCCTTGTGAACTTTTTAAATTGCACAATTGAGACATTGTTGTGCACTGTCATGCACAGGAGCACAGAGATACCACCTACCCGAGGTGCAGACATAATAAAACAGGATTTACTGGGGGAAACTAGCAGCAGAGTGGGAGCAGGGAAGGAGAGCACCACCCCTCTGAGATGCTGCTGTCTGCGGAGGGGTCAGCTTCCAAGAGAGTGGTCTGCCCTGTGCACTTTGTAACAGTGATGGAGCAGGGGACATCTGGACTTAGGAGGACGACACTTCCAGCGGTTGAGGGGCCATGGGGCCACCCAAAGTGATGGCAGTGTCCAAATTTATGTCCATCTGGGTGTCCTCAGTCCAAGCAACATGGACCATCCATCTATTCTCTAAGGTAAAAGCAGGTTTGGAGAAGAAGAAATGCACTGGCCCCTGTGTCCTCTTTCGATCCTTTTTACACTGAACCCAACTTCTGGGTGCCTAGAGCCCAGCCAAGGTGACAGCCGTGGGACTTGGGACCAGGAAAGTTACTGGTCTGAAGGCCCCACTGGGGAGGCTGCAGAACGGGTAGAAGAGTACAGGCTCTGCAGATGGCAATGGCTGTGGCTGAGTGCTTCACACCAGGCACCTCAGGCCTGTGTCAGGTTCCCCATCCTCAGGGAACTAAGCCAAAGTCCAGCTTTCCCACCACATGCTACTGAGACATCTGGAGTGTGTGGCTCTGTGATGGCCAGCTGTTGTTGCAAAGGGGATGTGAACACACACACCAGCTCTGCATAGTGAGATATATAAAATAAGGTTTACTGAGGGAAAGGAACAAGCAGAGGGACAGTGAGGGGCATCCAAGATGTCACTGTCCCATGGTGGGATGGCAGGCTCTGTGGTCGGCTTGCCGGGAGAGAAAAAGCCTGCATGTGCGCTCCTCTGCAATTACAGAATGAAGGAAAGGAGCCTCACTGTCAAAGATGAAGACTTGTTAGCAAGCAGCAGTCTTTGGAGTTCCCAGGGGGACATCAGCCTGCTTCCCCTGGACCTGCTAGGGCAGGTCTCTGCTGTGTCACCTGCAGAGAGAAAGAACCTCACTTCGGCTGCCATCCACATCTGCCTCTCCTCCTGCGTCAAACTTGGGTGACCCAGGACACTGCTGGCCTCAGCCAGGCCAAATCTGCCCCGTGCTGGCTTTCTGCAAACATCCGGGCTGGCCCCCACTGCCGGGAACAACACCTGCTGTGGGGATCACGGACACTGGGCTCAAGGTGGAAAACGGTGAGGGAAAGAAAGCTGGGCAGTGCGTGTAATGGGGCCTCTTGTTTGGCCTGCTGTTGCTCTGATCACTGCACCCCAACAACAGGCAGTCAAGGGGCACAAAGACCCATCAGGCACCTGTCTAGAAAACACCTGAGTGGCTGGAGCTAGGTAGGGCAGCTCAGCTCAGCTCCAAAAAGCAGAAAGTTCCCCAAACGTTCCTTGGCCAAAGCAGGGCAACACCTGACTGGAAAGTCCTTGGCAAAGTCTCATGCTCTGAAAACAGATGGGTATTCGTGGCTCAGGGTGGCAGACAGGGAAGAGTGACTTTGTCAAAAGATGCGTCTTCAGATCTTTTGGAGGTCAGGCCTTCCCCATGTCAGGCACACCTGTCAGCTGCCAGCTTCTGGAACTTTTGTTTGCTTGCACGAAGACGACACCAGAGCATTCCTCCTGAGAGGCCTCTTGAGGAAGCGTGAAGGCTGCTGATGCTTTCAGAGAGTGGAAAAGGGCTTTTGTCCAGCAGAAGCTAATCGGGTGGGGGATGCCGGGGTCCCGTGTAGATGTGGAACATCCTTGAAGCTGGAGACACATGAGGTTCCTCTGAGTTGGAGAGGAGACTGGCTTCACTGAGAATCACTGTTGGGTTTTATATCTTTGACTTTTCTGATTACAAAGAAACACACATTCATCATAAAAACCCAAAAATGGCAGAAATAGGGAAAAGAGAAAGTTAAGGATTCCTGTAATACTTTTTCCCTAGAGAAAACCATCAATGAGAACATTTCTATACACACACATATACATACATCACACCAGTCCCTTTAGAACTGAAATTACTCCACTGCCATGAAACTTGGGAATTCCCGACTCTGTGCACTACAGTGCCCTGGGAGGAAGCACCAGCATGTCTGTGGGGGCCCGCGTGCTGCTCTGGGAGCTGCCAAGCCTTTTCAAGATTCTTGGTCAGAAAACAATTCTCCTCTGTTACTGCGATAGGGTTAGAAAATGTTCTCTAATTCCTTGATATTTCTCACTCTGAGTGGAAGAGTGTGATTCCTCTCCCTTGGGCAAGGTGACTGGCTTCTAACGAACAGAGTAAAGCAGCAGTGAAGCGGTGAAGCATCGGTCATAAAGCTATGGTGGCATTTCCCCCTCTTTTCCTAAACAGCTTTATTGAGTTATAATTCACATACCATATAGTTCACCCACTTACAGTATAGAATTTGATGGTTTTAGTATATTCACAGGGTTGTGCATTTATCACCATAATTACTTGTAGAACATTTTCACTACCCCAAAAGTCCTCTCCCTCCTCTTCTATTATTGGGAAGAATTTGTGAAGAACTGGTGTTCATTATTTAAATGTTTGTAGAAGTCACCAATGAAATCATTCATCTGGGGCTGGGCTTTTCTTTGTGGGAAGTTTTAAAATTACTAATTCAATCTCTTATTATATAGGTCTACTCGGATTTTCTATTTCCTTTTATTTTTAAAAAGGATTTTATTTAAAGCCCTGGCTGGCGTATCTCAGTGGATTGAGTGTGGGCTGTGAACCAAAGTGTCACAGGTTTGATTCCCAGTCAGGGTACATGCCTGGGTTGCAGGCCATGACCCCCAGCAACCGCACATTGATCTCTCTCTCTCTCTCTCTCTCTCTCTCTCTCTCTCTCTCTCTCTCTTTCCTTCCCTTCCCTCAATAAATAAAATCTTTAAAAATTTTTTAAAAAATAAGATTTTATTTATTTCTAGAGAGAGGGGAAAGGAGGGAGAAAGAGAGGGAGAGAAACGTTAATCGGTAGCCTCTTGTTCGTGCCCTGACTAGGGACTGAACCCGTAATCCAGGCATGTGCCCAGACTGGGAATCAAGTTAGCGACCTTTTGCTTTGGCAGGACAACAGCAAACCAAGCCACACCAGTCAGGGCTCTATTTCTTCTTGAGCTTGTCTTTCTAGGAATTGTTTTCATTTCATCTGAGTTATCTAATTTGTTGGCATGCTATTGTTCATAGTATTCCCTTATAATCCTTTTTCTTTCCTGTGAGGTAGGGAGTAATGTCCCATCTTCCATTCATGATTTTAATAATTTGAGTTTTCTTGATATTTAAAAAATATTTTTGGGTCAATTTAACTAAAGGTTTGTCAAATTTGTTGATCATTTGAAAGAACCAACTTTTTGCCCTGGCTGGTGTAGCTCAGTGGATTGAGTGCAGGCTGCAAACCAAAGGGTTGGCCGGTTCGATTCCCAGTCAGGGCACATGCCTGGGTTGCAAGCCAGGTCCCTAGTGGGGGCCATTGAGAGGCAAACACACATGATGTTTCTCTTCCTCTCTTTTTCCTTCCCTTTCCCTTTCTCTAAAAATAAATTTAAAAATTTAAAAAAGAACCAACTTTTGGTTTTGTTAACTTTCTCTTCTTCATTTCATTAATTTCTATTTTTATGCTTATCATTTCCTTCCTCTACTTTATTTTACTTTGTTCTTTTTCTAGTGTTTTAATATGTGAGTTTAGGTTGTAGATTTGAGATCTTTGTTGTTTAACATAGCATTTACAGCTATAAATTGCCCTCTAAGTGTGCTCGGTGCACCCCGGGAGGTTTTTGTGTGCTGTGTCTCCAAAGCTCATCTCAGAGTGTTTTCTAATTTTCCTCGTGATTTCTTAGAGTCATTGATTATTTAGAAGTATGTTGTTTAATTGTCACATATTTGTGAGTTTCCCAAATTTCTTTCTGTGACTAATTTCTGGTTTCATTCCACTGTGGTCAGATAGCACACTTTGTATTATTTCAATCCTCTTAAATTTACGGAGTCTTGTTTTATGGCTCAGATATGGTCTATTCTGGAGGATGTTCTATGTGCGCTTGAGAAGAATATGGACTCTGCTATTGTTGGCGGTTTTCTTCTTGTTCTGCTCTTTCACTCATTTGGGGGGAAGGTAGCTGTCATGTTTAAGGACACTCAAGCAGCCCTGTGGAGGGGTCTGTATGGTGAGAAGCTGAGTCTCACAGTCATGTGAGTGAATGGACCAGCTAGGAGCTACTTCTTCCAGCTGCACTCAAGCCCTGAGGAGACCGCAGCTCTGGCTGACATCTGTTCTTGGACCTTATGAGAGACCCTGATCCAGAAGCACCCGGCTCAACCACTCCTGAAATCTTGACCTACAGAAACTGTGTAAGACAGTAAATATTTGTCATTTTAAGTCACTAAGTTTTGGGGTAATTTGTGACACAGCATTAGATAACTAATACAATTACCCATTAATCTGCTGGCTTTCAGGAGAACAAGTCTTGAAGCACAGTTGAATTATCCTTTCTGAAGAAAAAAAAAAGGAAAACCTGGATTAATAACTCTTTTCTTGTTGAAGCTGCTAGAGCCAGTGACACATACCTTGTAATGAAGACCTCAAGGCCTAAGGATAAAGAAAACCAGTAGAATGATGCTGATCTGGGGAGTTCCCCGGAAGCCCCAAACCACCTGTGCCTGGGACAATAAGCTGTATGAGATCCCAAGAGTCAGTTGGCTGCCCTTGTCCTCAAACAGATTGGGAATCCACCAGATACCAAAGATGATCTGCCCTTTACCATGCCAAAGGCACTCCACAACTTCCACTTCCTGTTGAAACTCCTCGAAATCTTCTTTTATGTTTTAAGCAGAAATCAAGTTTCTTTTGGTTGTTTTATACAACTTGGATTCATTTCTGTATTTTATAAGATGTGGGCCTTAATATTTACATGAATTCATGTGAGACACACAATGCTTTCTAAAGACTGGTTTTATATTCTGTTTACATGAAGAGAAACCATTTCAATTCAACACAGTTAATTGTTTGCAAAATTTACAGGAGTGTTTGCCTGTGCTTGGGCACATACCTTAGTTCAACCTTCGGGGTGGTCTATATTTTTTCATCAGATTTTCAAAAGAGATTACAATCATTAAAAAGTTAAGACCTCAAAATAAAAGATACAGAAAATGGTAGTTTGTTTTTAAGGATGTGATAGATTTAGGTGTGTTTTCCAGTTCAGGAGAAGAAGCCAGATGAGAGGACAGATAGAAGATTCTGGAAAGACAGAAAGGCCAGGGCACAAAGCTCCCAAGACAGTGCGTGTTCCCTGAGGTGTCTGAACCTTGGGCTGGTGGAGAGCAAGATCACACAGGCTTTTGTACCCCTCCTCTGCCCCCCATCCCTGTCTGTACCTGGGTCCTCCTGCTGGGCCGCACTGGGGAGCTTCTCCCGCTGCCTCAGGGCCTCCAGGCCCACCAGGTCAGGCATGTGGCAGTGGCTGCGCATCACAGTCACCTGCTGGCCCTGGGTGATGGCCCGGCTGCGACAGCCCAAGCGGGCCTGGTCCCGGCACATCCAATATACCTTCTCACCGGCGGCCTTCTCCTTCCTGTAGAGGAAGGACTCGTATACCAGGAACCTCCCCCCGAGGGACGTCCTCAGGAACTCCAGAGGCTGGGGGGTTCCTGGAAGGAACACAGTGCTGTGAGTAGAGTGCCTGGGCCAGACCTTGGGAGCAGGGGCAGGAGCCTAGGTGCCAGGGAGGGAGCCTGTTGCCTTTTTCCCACTAGCCTGCTCCAACCAGGAAACTGCCATCCCCACCCCCTGTAGTGCTCACTCTGGTTACTACCCCTGTCTGTGCCTCAGGGGCCTGGGGACCAAAGCTCAGGTCACTGGCCTAGGGCCCACAGCTCTGACACCTACAAGTGGAGACTGCTGTCTCTAAGGGTGCTAGTGCTGCCTGGGGAGGTTGGCTCTGCAGCCGCCCAAACCCCGAGCTTCCTGCTGGCCTCTCCTGACTTGGCTTGGACTCCACACTTCCTGGCAAGCACCCCAGGTCAGGGGCTGAGCTGGAACATTCGGGGAGGCCCATGGCTGGTCTGAACCATGTGCACCAGGGACCTCCCAACTCCCCGTCCACCCTCCTGTTGGCCAGCTGGCAACCAATCAACCCTGTCTCTCATGACCTTAACTGAAAGGTCAAGCAATGTTGGGTTTGGGGTGGCCAGAGACAAATGCAGGGAGAGTGGCAGTTGAAGAGAGAGAGGAGGCAGAGGAAAACAGGCCTAAGAGAGACCCAGAGAGTGGAGACAAAGGGCCCCCAAGGTCTGGGCGCATTGCCCCATAAATGGGTGCCAAGCACTTCCTGTGCCGGCTAATAATGCCACCCTGGCACACCCCCTTTTCTTCAATGGTCTGAGTGGGTTTCTCCCACTGACAGCCCATCTCAGCCTGGGACCAGGACCGTGAATGAGGAGCCCAGATGCAGCCTCTGCCCTCAGGGAACTCACAGCCCACATGGACGGACTGATGTGCCTGGCTGGACCCCACTGGACATGGGCCATGTACGGAAGGTCCTAGCAGGCAGCCTTCAGCCTGTGTTTTGAGGCTGGCCCGGGGCCAGCCAGGTCAGCAGGGAGCCCAGAGCCCAGCGCCAACCCACACCTGAACCTTCCCTCTGGGCTCGGCTGGGGGAGTGCTCGCGCTGCCTCAGGGCCTCCAGGCCCCCCAGGTCCGGTGGGTGGCAGTGCCTGCGCATTACCATCACCCGCTGGCCCTGGGTGATGGCCCGGCTGCGGCAGCCCATGCGGGCCTGGTCTCGGCACGTCCAGTACACCTTCTCGCCGGAAGCCTTTTCCCGCCTGTAGAGGAAGGACTCGTGCACCAGGAAGCTGCCCCCCAGAGGGGTCCTCAGGAACTCAGGGCCTCCTGGGGGAAAAGAGGGGAAAAAGGGGCAGCAGTCAGTGGAGGGAAAGCCTGGAGCCTGGGCCTTGGAGCAGAGCAGTGAGGTGGTGGGTGCTCTATTCTCAGAGCCAGAGCAGCTCGGCTCCTGGAGTGACCTCCACAAACCCTCCCATGCTGCTCCCACCTCCTCATAGCAGGAGGCCCTAGAGCCCAGGGCACCGACACCCACAGGCCAGGAGTGTTAAACCCAGCCTAGCTTCAAGTCCTGGAGGCTACTTTCCAGAGTCTGGCAGGTCGGGGAGATGGGAGACTATGAGGTGGAGGCTGCTGAAGGCAGAGGGCTCTCCCCCCATCTCATGGTGCCTACGGGAAAGGGGTGTCTTTACTCCATGCACTCGCTTATCCTGGAGGCCTGTGATGGGATGCACACCAGGCCGTGCGGTCCCTAATGCACTGGAGGAGTAAGTGGACAGCTCCTCTGGGGGACAAGTAATCAGCAATGACATGGGCACTGTGTGTGGCACCTTCCACTTTCCTGCAGCAGGGAGTTGGGTTAAAGAAGAGTAGACTCTCCAGGGAGCCGGGCTAAGTGGGGATTTGACCGGAGGGCAGTAGGAGGAGGTAAGCAATAGAGTGAGCCAGGTCTTGAATGTGTTGAGAGGGAGGTGGCCAAACGCTTCTGCCCAAAGGACTCCCTCCCCTCCATTCAGGGAACACACAGAAGAGCTGGCGACAAACTGGGAAATCTGTCTCCCCACAGCAGAGAACAGCAGGAGCCATGGGGCGGGGGGAGGGGGGGTGGGGGGGTGAGAAAGCCCTGGAGAGGGTGGGGGCTGGGTCGAGGGTATCTGGATGTGGAATGGAGCTAGCTGACCTCAGGGCATGTTTTTGTTCCTCCAGCACCACACCCAGTGGAAATGTCGCCTGAGGGATGATGAAGGCTCAGAGTACTGGGCAGAAATCTGGAGAGGAGGGGACAGGGCAGTAGAGCAGAGATGCTGACAGAATGGGAGAGGCTGGGGTATGGAGGGGCAGGTGCGGTTACAGACTTGGCAAACCAGCCTGACGGGGAAGCCACTGAGAACAGTGGAGTCTCGTGAACAAGTCTGGGAGGTCTGAGGTCTCTCAGAAGGTGGGGTCTGGGGCAGTGCTACACAGGGGGCCTGGGTGTGAGGTTTTTGTATGAAGATCAATGATGTAAGGGTGTCTGTGCCTGGGGAAGAAAGACTCTTTGGGGTGCAGAAAGAGGAAGTGGAGGTCTGCAGCTGGAACGTGACACTTGTCGCTTATTTTCCCTGCCCAAGTCCCAGAACGCCCGTAGCCAGCCATAGACCACTGTGGGAAGTTCTTCCCGTGGACACTGATCAGCCCAGGGATGCAGACTCAACCTAAAGCTTCAAACCAAGACACATTACTACTTGCACAGGATCAGTCCTCAGAAAGCTGTGTCATTCAAGAACAGAGACCAAACAATTGCAGAAGGACTCATGTAGCCTGGGGCTCCGCAGATGGCCACACTCTCCATCAAGAGGCTTTCGGATATGCATGGTCTGAACAGTGTGGCCTCCAGGAATTCTTGCTAGGGGAGTGACTAGAAGAGGGGCTTCAGATGACAAGGGGGTACACCAAGCAAGAGCAAGAGAGACCTAGAGATGAGGGTCCGGCTAGGGGACCACAGGGAGATGGTGAGGCAGGGCCCCAGTCAGACTGGAGCAAAAAGACCTGGAGTTGTCTGCTGCCGGATGAGGAAAGGAAGTGGTATGTGAAGAAGAGAAGTGAGGGGCATGCAGAGCACCAGGCCTACAAATGAAGCAGCTGCTGGACTGCCTGGAAAACAAAGCCCTGTGTGAGGAGGAAACAATGGCGGCACGTTCCCAGCTCAGCGTGAACAGGTTTATATAAGCAAAAACAAAAACTGCAGTAACTTCATTGAAAGGATGGGGGCAGCAGGTAACAGCTGAAGTCATATTTTCTCTCTCTTTTTTAAACCAATTCTTTCTTTCATTGGAAGTCAACAAGAGGTTGAAAAAGCAGTCATAGTGGTAGAAGCAAATTTCAAGAAATAGGGCAGCAGATACTCTAAGAAACAAGGGAAAGAGCCCAGAGTGGTTATTCGGGGTGGGAATTGGGGGCGAGGATAGGGCAGGGCTGCCGTGTGCCTTGTAGCTTTGTCTCCATGTACACAGAAGTTACAAGGAAATGGCGGGGCGGAGGCGGGGGTGGGGGGAAGACAGTCAGGAAGAAATATAATCAGAGATTGCAAGCTTCAGAGAACTTTAGGGCCAAAAAGACTCCAGAGGTGACTCAGGTAACTCAGAAAATTATACAATGGGTAACCCCTGAAGGAGAGGCAGATGTCTCTCTGACATGAATGAAGAACTGGGCCGAAGTTGCTCTTCTTAGCAAGATGAGGACAGGAACATTTACATCATTGTGATCGTGAGAGCCCAAGCGCTGCGCCCTATGGGGCTGACCAGGTGGACAAGGCTGACAAGAGAGGGGCTGTATCTCTCTCATCAGTGCTCCCTTAGGGCTGGTGACAGAAATTTATGGAGAGCAGCTGGAGGAGAGAAGTAGTTGATTAACTACACGAAAATAGCACCTTCTGTCTTTAACCACCAGGTCTGCAAGATGTGCTTGTTACTAGGCTCTGTATTACCCACTCACACTGTAAAAATGGCCATGTGCAATCAGCTTCCTTTATAAATGCTACAAACTCTTAAGAAAAAGAAGGGAGGAGGGAGAGAAAAGGGAGCCTGGGTTGGTCATGTGGAGATTGCGGGGCAGCTCGGCTGCTCTGAGCAGGAGGGTGAGGACTGCCACTTGAGTCGGCGGGACCACCCCCAGCCGCCCAGAGCCTGGTGGGGTCTGGTCGGGAAATGCAGTGAGGGGTGGTGGTCAAGGAGTGGAGGTGAGGAAAGGGAAGAGCAAGGAGAGGGCTGTGACTCCTTCCAGAGTGCTCCTAGCAAGGGAAGGGAGGGTGCTTCCTAGGGAGCATGGAGGGTCAAGAGGGAAAGGCTAGCTCACTGGATCTCTTGCCTTTTCCCAGGCCTGCAGCATCTGAATTACCTGAAATTCCACGCTGGGCTGAACCAGGGTGTTTCTCCCGCTGCCTCAGGATATCCAGGCCCACCAGGTCAGGCGGGTGGCAGTGGCTTCGCATCACAGTCACCCGCTGGCCCTGGGTGATGGCCCGGCTGCGGCAGCCCATTCGGGCCTGGTCGCGGCACGTCCAGTACACCTTCTCGCCAGCGGCCTTCTCCCGCCTGTAGAGGAAGGACTCGTGCACCAAGAAGCTGCCCCCAAGAGGGGTACTCAGGAACTCAGGGCCTCCTTAAGAGAAATGGGGTAGGTGGTCAGAAAATGCTGGGCCAGGCCTGATGCTACCCCCTCCTGCCTCCCAGGCCCTCAGAAAGTAAGACTTGATGGGGCCCCAGCTCTGGTCAGTGGGTAAGGAGGACTCACCCGGGCCCTTGTCCTGGTCCTCGGTAGGGGATCCCCGCAGGGCCTGGGGCTTTGTGGGCTTTCTGGGACGGGCCCTGGTGAGAGTCGTGGTGTCGGGCGCCCTGCAGTAGAGCAGGCCATCCACTCCTTGAAGCACCTTGTCCACTTGGCTCCCAGGGCCAGCTGGCCTGGCCTGCGGCACCTTCATGGTCTTCTCCTGCTGCCGCCGGGCCTGTAGGCCCTCCATGTCAGGTGGGTGGCTATGGTTGCGCATCACAGTCACTCGCTGGCCCTGGGTGATGGCTCGGCTACGGCAGCCGTGCAGTGTGTGGTCTCGGCACGTCCAGTACACCTTGTCTCCCACAGCCTTCTCGCGCTTGTATAGGAACGACTTGTGCACCAGGAAGCTGCCCCCATAGCAGGTCCTTAGGAACTCGAAGGGCGGGAGCTCGCCTGGAGGAGGAACTGGCAGTCACACTGGCAGAAGGGGAGGAGGTGGGCGGTTCGGCCAGTGGAATGGGTGGCCAGGTGGGCTTGGTCCAAATGCACCCCACTGAGCCCCCTCACCCAGAAACCCAAGTGGGGGCTGCAGTTCCTCTCCTGGTGGTCAGAGAGGAGGCCACGTCCAAGGTCATGCACCCAGAAGGAAGACAGCCTGCGTGCTCAGTCACTTCAGGCCATGCTTTTTCTTAGGGTTTGTTTGAAATTTTTATCTAATTTTTGAGTGATGCTTGCACATGTCATAAATACAAATGCTATGAAGACACACAATGTAAAACCAGTCCTTCTCCCTCATCCCACCCCAAGTGCCCAGCACAGCAGCTGCCTTTAATCCTTTAATCCTCAAGTCCTTAATCCTTTCCAGGTTGGGAGGCACCCACCTTTGGGACCAAGTCCACCTCCCAGTTACAGGTAATAAAAACTGCACAAAAATTCCATCTATAAGTTACTCAGTGCCACCACCACATGCTGGGCTGGTGCCGAGTACTTCCCACATGCCAAACATCTAATCTCCCTGACACTTAGGCTATCACCCTTCTTAGGACAAAGCTCCCAAAACTGCAGAAATTCAGCAAATGTTGTGAGGCTACCCAGCTACATGAGGTGGGGCTGGAACTTGAATCTGAAACCCATAGCTCAAAATTCTCCCACCAGGCCAACCTTCCCAAACTGCATGGGTTACCAGGATTACATGGCGCCTATTAAAACTCATAGTTCTGGGCCCCACACCAGACCCTGCTGCATCAGAAAATCCTAGAAGGGCCCTGGCCAGCAAGGCTCAGTTGGTTGGAACATCACCCTGTAACCAAAAGGTTGCTGGTTTGATTGCTGGTCAGAGCATGTGCCTAGGACATGGGCTTGATCCCCAGCTGGGGTGCACGCAGCAGCTGAAATGCACTCACCAATCCTCAGTATTCGGCGTTTCTTGAAGGGCAAGCTCAGCATCGACAAGCCTTGCAGCCCTCCACTCCTCTCTGGAGCCGGCATGCTCGGCACCAGCCCAGGGGCAGGCTCTGGCTCCTTGGGGCAGGGCCATGGGCCCACTCCCTTGGGTGGCTCCTCCACCTGGCCTCGGAGGACCTCAGGACCCCCAGAGCCTTCTGGCAGGACTGGACCACGCAGCTTCTGTTTCTGGCGCCGGGCCTCCAGGCCCTCTTCATCAGGGGGGTGGCAGTGGCCCCGCATCACTGTGGCCCGAGAGCCCCGGGTGATGGCCCGGCCCCGGCAGCCCAGTTCTGTGTGCTCTCGGCACTTCCAGTACACTTTGTCCCCCACGGCTTTCTCCTGCTTGTACAGGAAGGACTCGAGCACCAGGAGGCGGCCCCCGAATGGGGTCCTCAGGAACTCCAGGGGCTTGGGGTCTGCTAAGACCAAGGAGAGGGCTGGGTTAGCTAACACGGAGCAAACATGAAGTCAGGGATGTGGACCAGAGGGATGGGGGAGATGGTGGACAGGGATGAGGATCGTCACACCAGCCTGGGACAGCTTCGTAATGAGAGACAAGCAGGCGTGGCTCAGAGAGGGACTGGGACATCCAAAGTCACTGCACTGGAAAGAGAGGGGGAGGTTTGTGGGGCCCCAAGTCTGAGCATGCAAGGCCAGGGGTAGCAGGCCTGGAACTCACCTGTATCTGGCTTGTTGTATTTCTGCTCGAAGACCCGGGGGCTTGGCTGGACTGGCCCTCCCTGCTCCTCTGCTGGCAGGGCCTGGAGGGTCCTGGCCAGGGTGTCAGGGCCAGACATCTCCAGGGACGTGACGCAGTCTGCTCCTTTGGGCAGGGAGCGCACCCCACCCCCGTTCTCAGTGGAGGCCATTAGCAGAACCAGATCAGAGAATTCCTTGAGCTTCACAGGGGCTGTAGGAATAACATCAGTGCCAGCCCCAGAGGGCTTGGGGGACAGCTCCTGACTGGCCTTCACACTCTCACTCTCCTGCTCACTGGGCTCAGGCAGAGGCATCCTGGGACCAACAGCCTGTCCCCCAGGCCTCGCTCAGGCCCCAGTGGATGGACTTCTACTCCTCCTCCCTGGCAAGGGAGCTGGCAGTCCAGGGGCTCTGTCCTAAGAGAGGATACAGCCCCCATCAGTGAAGCCTGGGGCTCAGAAGGGACCCGGGGTGCAGACTGGGCAGACGGGGCACCAGGATGGGCACGGACCTGGACACAGCCGGAGAAGTCTGGGCAGCTGCTTCTGCTTGGCCAGTTCCTCTCTTGGCAGCAGTGAGTGTGTCACCTCCCCCCAACCAAATCTCACTCCCCCCAGCCCCCAGTGTAAAATGTGCCAAGCACAGGGCCCCTAGGGTGGGGGGCAGGGAGGGCAGCACTGTTGGGGGATAAAGATACTGATCACTGAGTTACTACGAATCGAATCGAGGCCTGAAGGTGCTGAGGATGGGGCCAAGTGTTTCAGCGGTTTTTCCATTTAACCTTTCAGCCCCCGTGTTATAAAAGTTTACCATTGTTACTGACCCAGTTTACAGATGAGGACACTGAGCCAGGCCAGGGCGGCTAACACAGCCAGGAAGCAGCAGAGCTGGGAGTCTAGTTGAGGAAGATCCGGAGCCCAACCTCACACGACCGACACCTGCCGTGCCTTGTCCAGGGTAACAGTCCCTGGTGTTCCTGAGCGCCAAGCATCTGAGACAGACAGTGGGGACGTGGGCTCAGGTCATTGACCCTCCCAGGATTCCCAGAACCTTTCCACCCTGACACTCTGCAGACCAGAGTCCCTGGCCCTGGGAGGTGGGACTCTCTGGACTCACAACTAGATCCTGCCCCAGCCCCAGGCAGGAGGCCTGGGGTCCCCCAGAGCTCAGGAGGTGCCGGGGTTCTGTGAGTGCAGTGACCTTGTACCTGAGCTGGTGCTGGCACTGCCTCAGCTGGGTGGGGACAGGGCTGTGAAGCTGTTCAAGAATATGTGGTCACCTAGGACTCCCTGGCCTGGAGAGGCAGGAAGAATGAACTATGGGCCAGGGTGTACCGGATACTTGGCCCAGGGGTACCAGTGTGGAATGGTCTTTCTGTCTTCTCGGGGGAGTAGGTGGTGGGTGGGTTGTGGAGTCTTTCCCATCTTTCACTAATAGCCCAGATTCAAGACAGCTGCCTGCATTCGTATTTTGGTTTCTCCACTGTGACCTACCACCTCGATCCCAAGTTCTGCAGTTCCAATTCCTCCTGGTTCCCCATACCCACTTAGAAGTTCCCTGGGCTGGTGGCCACATTTAGCTCTCCAAGGCCTGGTCAGCCCAAGCTCTGGGCCCCAGGGTTTCCAAGTATCCTGCTGCCTCCCCAGAAGTCCCTGTGCTCCATGCTTGCCCAGCCCCCGGCAGCAGTGAAGCCTAGCCCTGAGGCGGGGTGAGTCAGGAAAATAAATCCTCCAGGTACTGGGACATCTGGTTGGGAGACCCCACCTAACCTCCTGTGTCCTGCCTCCGCACCCCGGTCCAGCTCCAGAACAAGCTAATCCCTCATTCTTGTGCTGTCCTTCTCTGCCCTGCCTTTCCCACCACAACTCCATGAAGCAGGTGGGGACTCTGGGGACAGTGCTGGCAGAAGCAGACACCTCTTGCACCTCCTCAGGCAGATTCCCTCTGGCAGGTAAGGGTTACAGTGGAGGCCCCACCTACAGGCCACCCAGCTTCCCATGCTGATTGGCCCCAGTGCATGTCCCTCCACCAGCAACCTGCCCTGCTGGCTCCCAGGCTCTCTGGGGTCCCTGAGGTCTCTGGGGTCCCTGGGGTCTCTGGGATGAAAGAAAATGGTGGGCCCCCTATGCTGCCTCCTTCTCATGCCCCAGAGAGTTGCCCGTGCTCTCCACCGACAGGGTAAAAAAACATAGAGAAGCTGGCCTTCCCCTCCACAGGTGGCCTTTCCGACCCCTCAGGCCACCCAAAAGCTGTAAGGTCACTGTCCAGCCAGCATGCACATTCTTACAGCACCAGGCAGTTGGTCCCTGCCACGCAGCTGGACAGGACTGGAGGTTGCAGGGACTCCCCTGACGCCCCCTCCCTGCCCCACACCAACTGCCTGGCCCAGACATAGGATGCTGAAGCCCTGCCTCCTCCTGCTCAGCTGGGGTTGACAGGACCAGCCATAACCAACACAGGTGAGCATGGCAAGGACTCAAAATTCCCCTGAAACTGTACGCACCCGAGTCAGGAGACACTGCAATCCTTTCAACAGAAATTGCTGTTTAAATTCAAGACCCATGTACTGGAAAAGACCTTGTATAACAAGAGACCTTGAACTATAGCTCACCATCATCTGGAAAGGTCTGGGTACCTCCATGGACTAGAGTTTGGATTTGATTCATAGTTCCCATTCTCAGCCATTGAGGGGCCTTAAAGTGTAGACCATTTAACAACCACAAATTCTCCTGTAAAGTATACAGGCCCCTTTACACTGTGGTCTCGAACCCGGACTGGCCTCCTGCCCAGATTGGTCACTCACTGTGTGACTTGAGTGTCACAGAAATACTGTGGGGGTTTGGAGCCCTTGTCTGCTGGGACATGGCCCTGAGACTGACAGGGAAGGGGGCTGTATGAGTGGCCACACGAGAGGGACTGGAGCACTGCAGGGATGGAGGAAGACCATCTTGCACCGTCCAGCCCAGCAGACCCTCCAGCTGGATGTAGCCACATGAAGGTGCCTGGGAAAGCCCAGCCACCCCACGAAACCCTGATCAATAATAAACGACTGTCACTTAAGCCACTAAGATGAAGGATTATTTACATTTATTACACAGTTCTTGGCAAGTGACTGAACCTCATGGGTTTTGGCTTTTTGATGAATGGAATGACACTAATGGTTCTGCAATATTCAACATCAAAGTGCTTTTGAAATCCAGGTGCCATGCTACACAAATATTCAATCCCTCAGATGACTGCACTTAAAGGGCTGTGAAGGTGTTAAGTACATTAAGGAGCAAAATATTTAGTATATTAAGTATAATACACTCAAACAAAAATATTAAGTATAAAGGAGAGCAAATGAGAGTTATGTATTAAAAAGTATGTAACATGAGGCCTGACTTGTGTGGCTCAGTTGGTTGGGGCATCGTCCCTCAGAGCGAAAGGTCAGCAGTTGGATTTCCAATTAGGACACATGCCTAGGTTGCAGGTTCAGTCCCCCATCTGGGCGCATACAAGATGTTTCTCTCTCACATCTGTGTTTCTTTCCTTCTTTCTCCTTCCCTTCCCCCCTCTCTAAAATAATAATAATAATAATAATAATAAAAGAAAAAGAAAAAGCCTATAAGATGAAGTAACTAGTCACAGAAGGATAAATACTATATGATTCCACTTCTATGATTTGGCTGGAGTGATCAGACTCAGAGACAGAAAGTCGAATGGTGGTTAACGGGCGGGGGTGGGGGTGGGGAGTTGTGTGAGGGGTACAGGGCAAAGTCTGGGACAATGACAAGATGGACGGTGGTGACGGTGGCACAACACTGTGAATGTGCTTAATGCCACTGAACTGTGTGCTTAAACATGACTTAAGTTGTAAATTTTTGTGTCTATTTTACCACACAGGCAAAGAAACAGTCTGTAACCAACTATATGTAGTAATGCCCCATTTACCTAACATCTGATTAACTACAGGTGTCCCTCCATGATTCAGAATTTTTACAATTTCAGGTTTCACAATTTGTCCATTTGGGATAGATATCTTCATAAGCTCTTATAACCCCTCACTTTCTGGATAAAAAGGCGTACACATTTTACCCTAATTTGGAGAATAACGTGTCTTCATCCATTTCCCTTGGCACACCTCCCAGGTACCAAGGGCTCCCCATATCCCAGGGGAGCCCTGTCTCTACCATTCATGTCCTGCGCTCTGGTCACCAGACCTCTGCGCCTCGACTGGTTCTTTGCATTTGGATCATCAAGGTTTTTGGTCTCCTGTATACTAAAACAAAACCTAACAAAACCCCCTTCTTCCCTTAATGGTTTAATTTTGCAAGGACAGCCCATACCCTTCCTTCTCACCCTGGTCATCCGCAGACACTCTCCTCTTTGGCCACCGTGCAGAATCGGTCCATAAACCACGCTCTCCCTCTGAAACCCTTGTTCACGCCTGCACGTGGTCTATCTGGACAAGGGCATTTATTTAGGAATACAGGAATGAAGTTCTGACACATGTTACAATGTGGATGAACCTTGAAAACACGATGCACAGTGAAAAAAGCCAGACACAAAGGTTACATATTGTGTGATTCATTCATATGAAATGTCCAGAAAAGGCAAATCCACACAGACAGAAAGCAGATTAGTGGTTGCATAGAACTGTGGGGGTGGGGGAGATCAGGGAGTGATACCAAGAGGTGTGGGGGTTCTTTTGGGGATAATGAAAATGTACAATTAGTCCTGGTGATGGTTGTACAGCTCTGTGAGTACACTAAAAACATTGGAATATACACATTAGATGAGGGATTGTATGGTATATAAATCATATCTCAATAATGCCATTTAAAAAATCCTTACAGGGCCCTGGCTGGTGTGGCTCACTGGATTGAGTGCCAGCCTACAAATCAAAGGGTTGCTAGTTTGACTCCCAGTCAGGGCACATGCCTGGGCTGCAGGCCAGGTCCCCAGCAGGGGACGCGCAAGGGGCAACCACACATTAATGCTTCTTTCCTTCTTTCTCCCTTCTCCAATCATAAATAAATAAATAAATAAATAAATAAATAAATAAATAAATTCATTCTTATAGTTAACTTAGGTTCCCAGGGTCACTTGGATAAAAAACAGTTTTCTATACCATAAACAGGTTTCTCACTCCTGGGCTTGGTTTACTCATCAAAGGAGGGGGTAGTATAAATTGTGTATTGAGATATTGTGTAAGGTGCTAATGTTATATTGTAAAGACTACACAGAATACATTTTTAAAATGTTAAGAACAAAACACTAATAAATCACCCATAATCCTGCCACGCCAGTGCACAGCTATTTATATTCTTGTAATTGTACCTTTAACAACTCCTTATTTCCTGTTGTACACACATTGTGTTCAACATGTTGTTTGCTATTTTACTGCATGTTGAAGTGGTAAGCCCCTGCCTACAGACTAGGTGGAGTCCTAAAGCATTATCTAACTAACCTAGGCCCGTAACAGTTACAATACAAATCTAAATCCTCAGCAGCAATACTTGCGAAGGCCACAAGATGGTGATGTTGCCCCATAAAAATTAATCTACAGCATCCTTGGTAAAAGTTAAACGCACAGAACAGTGTTTCCAAAACAAGAATTTGTGAGTTTGAATATGTCACAAAAATAATTCAAGAATTCTGAAAATGCTTGTATCTATAAAACTTATTAGTTAAGAAGCAGAATCCAATGAACAAATTCAACAAACACTATTTTTTCTAAACTAGGTTTAAAAAAACAAACAAACCCACAGTATCACTGAGACCCTGACATTACCAATTCGCTTTTCTTCTGAATCTTCTTGATTCTGGTCATATTTTTTATTTACTGACTAATTTTACTTTATGTATTCATGACTTAAAATAAACCATAAGTAACGAGGAAGAAATATCTCAAAATGTTGAAAGTATTAAGAATAGTGATTTATTTTTTCCTTACACTTTTTTTCAAAATGGTTTACAATGTGCATAAACTCTTTTTACAGTGGGAAAATATTAAATGCTTTAAAGATAAGCTGTATCTTCTTGCTTGGTGATTTCTTTTTAACTCTGTAACTCATAGAAAAAGCAGGGAACATTCCTATATGACATGATGTCATACAAGAAAATAAATAGTATAAACAATAGAAGAGAGAAATGAGTAAAAATCAAGTATATTAAAATCTCTGTTCTGGGATTTGCATAGCCTCAAAGATATTTCCCACAAGATGTTTATTAACTACATAGGGAAAGATAGTAACTTGACAGTGAAGAAATCCCACAGACATCCCCTTAAGTGAGCAAGGTCAACCAATAAAAAGACAAATTTACTCAATAACGTCCTTGATAAAAAGCACTGACAAGGACACAATAGCATCTCTGTGATACTCCTGCCCAAAACATGCACCCCTATTCTAGTCAGACAAGCCACATGGAGGGACAGTCTACAAAACAACTGACCAGAACTGTCAAAACTGTCAAAGTCATTGAGGGCAAGGAAAGGCTGAATACCTGTTCGAGTCTGCAGGAGACTGAGGAGACATGACAACTAAATGCAATGTGGGAGCCCAGAACAGAAAGGGGGTGCTAGGTGCAAAGGTGGTAAAATCTGAGTAAGGTCAATAGTTTAGGTTAACAGTATTGCACTGGTGGGGTTTTCCTGGATTTGATCACCGCACAATGTCAGGTAACATGTTGACATTCAGGGAGACTGGCTGATGGATATATGGGAATTCCTTGTGCTATTTTTGCAATTTTTAAAAAGTCTAAAATGAACTAAAAATAATAGGTTTTTGAAAACCCAAGTTTCAAAATTATAGACACAATGGAAGTTGACAGAGAAAATAGGTGATCAGAGACTTCCTAAGGTGGGCGGACGGTGCAGTGCAGGGATTAAAGTGAGGAATGCCAGTTGCAGAGGTAACAGGCACAGAGCTGTGGCCAGACCCTCAGAGTAAGCTGTCGGCTGCACTGACGCATCCCTACAGGCCAACTATTCTGTGGTTTGTCATAGTGGCTTCCAACTGATCTGCCCAATGGGGGGTGCTGTGGGAGACTGGAGGGCAGAGCAAGCAGGGTGTCTCCACAGTCACCTGCCTGATTTGGCCCCACCAGGGCTGTCTGCTCCGGCTTTTCAGGGTTGCCCTCCCACTGCCCTGGATCCCTGGCATGGTTGTGGTGGCAGCATCTAACCACTGTCCATCTCCGAGGATGCTCACCATTCTTGTTTGGCTTCTCGGCTCTTCTACCACCAGGAAGAGCAATGAAATTCCCAGTTGAAATCTTACAGTAGTTTCTGTTTTCCTAGTTAGATTCTGACAGATACATCCTTCAGGAGTCTAAAGGACTGTGATTACAACATTTAATGTTTATCAAACAGCAGCTATGTGCCACACTAAGCTAAGGACTTTCAATGCATCATGTCATATTATCTTCCAAAGAGCCCCATCAATTAAATTCTACTGTTCTTTGCCCTGGCTGGTGTGGCTCAGCGGATGGAGTGCTGGCCTGAATACTGGAAGGTCACTGGTTTGATTCCCAGTCAGGGCACATGCCTGGGTTTTGGTCTGGGTCTCTCACACGTCAATGTTTCTCTCCCTCTCTTTCTCCCTCCCTTCCCCTCTCTCTAAAAATAAATAAATGGATGAAATCTTTAAAAAAATTCTACTGTTCTTTGATATTAGAGTAGGCACATAAGGCTTAATTTTAGGTTCCTGAGACCAACCTAAAGGACAGGACAGCAAAGGGCCAGAGTGAGCATTCAAACCTTCTGGGTATGCCTTCAGGGCCTAAACTCTTAAAATAAGTTAAAATAGTTCCAGCCATAGGTATCACTATAGTGAGTTAAGACTGGTGTTTTTCAGTCAGGGTGACTTGCTCCCTGGGCAACATTTGGCAAATATCTGGAGACATCCTTGGTTGTCACAAGGGGGGGGGGGGCAGGGCACACCACTACCCTACTAGTGGGTAAGGGCCAGGAAGGTTACTTTTACTTATTCCACAGTGCCCAGGGCAGCCTCTCACCCCACTTACTTCAAAGAAGAATCTGGTCTAAAATGACAATAGTACCAAGGTTGAGAAACCCTGCCTAAGACCAGTGTTTAAAAAATGAATAGGCCCTGGATGGTGTAGCTCAGTAGATTGAGTGCCGGCCTGTGAACCCAAATGTCTCTGGTTTGATTCCCGGTCAGGGCACATACCTACGTTTCAGGCTAGGTCCCCAGTAGGGGGTGCACAAGAGGCAACCACACATTGATGTTTCTCTCCCTCTCTTTTCCCCTCCCTTCCCCTTTCTAAAAATAAATAAAATCTAAAAAAAAAGTAAATCTAATTTGCAAAAACTATGAATTAAGCTTTTTTTAAAAGATTTTATTTATTTATTTTTAGAGAGGTAAGGGAGGGAGAGAGAGAGAGAGAGAGAAACATCAATATGCGGTTGCTGGGGGTCATGGCCTGCAACCCAGGCATGTACCCTGGCTGGGAATCGAACCTGCGACACTTGAATTAAACTTTTAAAAAATGAAGTAGAATATAAAGACAGCATCCATATAACGAAGCTAAGTATAGTTTTCATTAAGTTTTTATTTTAAGTATTTGTAAGTGTAATTCTGGTCTCTGTAAGAATTACCCAGGGTATCTGACAAAAATACAGGTGCCTGAATTTCACACCTAAAATTCTGGAGAGGGATTCAAGAATCTGGGTTTTTAACAAGTACTCCATGAGGCTTTGGTACTAGTGGACCATGAACTGTGCTTTGAGACACACTGGAATAAATGCCCTTGACAAATAGGTGGTCCACAGCTAAGTGACCAACTTAAGAAGTATCTGAGGTTTTCTTTGTGCCAGGTACTACACAAAATGTTTTATGTATATTATGTCATTTAAATCTGTCGCATGGTACAGGTTCCCTCATTAATATGTTAAATAAAATCATTAACATCTCTTTATTTTATATCAGTGGGAGAGTCATGATTTCCTCTTTTAAAAAATGATCCTTTAACAATTTAACAAGTTTCAGATACTCTGGAGTGTTGTGGGCACCTCAAAAAGAGAGGAACTTGAGAAAATGTGTAAGTAGTACAGGTAAAATATGGTGGAGAGAGCTTCCTGGGCATGGTTTCTATGCCTCAGGAGAGCAAACACCAGACTTTCAAAAATTCAATCTGAGATTCCTTATGAAGACTTCCAGCAAAGCAAACTCAAGAAAGCCTATAAGGTGCCCTGGCTGGTGTGGTGCAGTGGATTGAGCGCTGGCCTGTGAACCAGAGCATCCCCAGTTCGATTCCCAGTCAGGGCACATGCCTGGATTGTGGGCCAAGTCCCCAGCAGGGGGCGCGTGAGAGGCAACCTCACATTGATGTTTGTCTTTCTCTCTCCCTCCCTTCCCCTCTGTCTAAAAATAAATAAATAATCTTTAAAAAAAAAAGAATGAGACTAAAAAAAAAAAGCCTATAAGGTGAATTAACACACTTGCTGCACCTAGGAAAATAATCAGACCAAAACTAATGAGACCAGCCTTATTTCATGATAAAAATATCTTTCACTGAGATTATGAGACTGTAGGGAAAATTTGTTCTTCAGTGGAAAACTACACATTGTCTAGAACATACCCTTCCAGGTTATATGAATCTAGCCTTTCCATAGCTTGAGCTATTTTTACAACTCTGTACATTATACAGAATAATGAAAAGTAAGAACTGATAACAATGCGGACTTCCGGCAAGATGGAGGAATAGGTGGACGCACCGTGCCTCCTCGCACAACCAAGATTAGAACAACAATAATTTACAGATAGAATATCACTCAGAACTGACAGGATTTATCTGAATGGAAGTCAGACAGCCAAGAAGTTGAAGTAGACCCGTGCATCCAGACCGGTAGGAGACGACGAGCCGGGCAGGCGTGGGTCAGCGGCGCGCGGAGGTCGGGGAAAATTTGGTGCGAAATCAGCGCGACAGCCATCCGGGGGCGCAAGAACACAGCGGTGATCCCTGAGTAGGCAAGCTGCGGCTGGCGGACCCTGTGGGGCAGCGATTGTGGACCAGGGCAGAGCTCGCAGCCCAGGATCCCAAGGAAGGGCCTGAGCCCCCTCCGGCTCCCGCCCCCGCCCACACATACAACGTCACAATCTAGCGACCAGGGTGCCCAGCCCCGGTGAACACCTAAGGCTCCGCCCCCCACTGTAACAAGAGAGACCAGAGACAGGGAAAGACATAAGACATGCATCCAACAGAACAGATCAGTCCCACAGGACTCATCCTTTTGAGCGACCAAGAAATAGCCAATCTATCAGATGCACAGTTCAAAACACTGGTGATCAGAAAGCTCACGGAATTGGTTGATTTTGGGCGCAATTTAGATGAAAGGATGCAGGTTACCATAAAAGAGATGCAGGAAGATACGCGGAGGAGAGCCAATAGTGAAAGGAAGGAATCTGAGTCTCAAAACAATACAGTGGACCAGAAGGAAGATAGAATCAACCAAGCAGGAAAGCATGATGAAATAAGAATTCAAAAAATTGAGGAAAAGCTTAAGAGCATCCAGGACACCTTTAAACGTTCCAACATCCAAATTATAGGGGTACCAGAACAGGAAGGAGAAAAGCAACAGATGGAGCACGTATTTGAACAAATGATAAAGGAGAACTTCCCCAATCTGGCAAAGGGAACAGTCCTCCAAGAAATCCAAGAAGTTCAGAAAGCCCCAAAGAAGTTGGACCCAAGAAGAAACACACCAAGGCACATCATAATTACATTAGCCAAGGTAAAAACGAAGGAGAGAATCCTAGAAGCAGCAAGAGATAAGGGGACAGTCACCTACAAAGGAGTTCCCATCAGACTGTCAGCTGATGTCTCCAAAGAGACCTTACAGGCAAGAAGGGGCTGGAAAGAAATATTCCAAGTCATGAAAGACAAGGACCTACATCCCAGATTGCTCTATCCAGCAAAGCTCTCATTTAGAATGGAAGGGAAGATAAAGTGCTTTTCAGATAAGGTCAAGTTAAAGGAGTTCATCATCACCAAGCCCTTATTTTATGAAATGCTAAAGGGACTTATCTAAGAAAAGAAGATAAAGAAAAGACATGTATAGTAAAAGGACAGCAAACTCACAATTATTAACAACCACACCTAAAGCAAAACCAAAAGAAACTTAAGTAAACAACTAGAACAGGAACAGAACCACAGAAATGGAGGGCACATGGAGGGCTAGCAGCAGGGAGGTGGGAGGAGGAGAGAGGGGGAAAAGGTATAGAGAATAAGTAGCATAGAATGTAGGTTGAAAATAGATAGGGGGAGGACAAGAATAGTATGGGAAATGTAGAAGCTAAAGAACTCATAAGAATGACACATGGACATGAACTAAAGGGGGGGAACGTGGGTGGGAGAGGGGGTACAGGGTGGAGGGGAGAGAAGGGGGGAAATGGGACAACTGTAATAGCATAATCAATAAAATACATTTAAAAAAAGAACTGATAACAATGCAAAATAACTTAGGCTAAAGACAATAAATTCTCTCTCTCTCCATGTAAATAAAGATAGACATGTAAATGATTCTTCCCACTGGGGAAGAAACCAATTTTGCCTCCATCTGTACATTCATTTCTAAATTCTTGATCTAGTCTTCTAAAATCTTCTTTGGGTTCTCTTGATAACTGATTGTAAGATCTTACTGGTTTCTTGGTTCATGAATTGAGTAAAAGCTTTCACACATATTCATTTTATATCTGTATGAAATCATGAGTTTTATTTCCTTTGTTTTGGTCTAAGGCTCCACTTTTTAAATTATCCTGGTCATTGGTCCTATCATCTTTGGGTTCCAGTCACAATTTAAAAAATTACTTCAGCTATACCAATCTTTATTGCCTGTAATAAAAGTGAGTATTATCATATGAAACTGTTATTTGTTATACATATATTTATTCTAGGTAGATTAGCATTTTTTACTTTGGATGGTCATTGTTTTGAGGTAAATTCTTGGGTCCTAATATATTTATTTCATAGCACTTAATTTTTACTTAATACAGATTTCTTGAGCATCTGGAGTGTTTTTCAGTCAGGCAGATGTAAATGGAAAGTTCCAGAGCTTCACAGTTTTGGTTGGTCACTCTCTTACCCTCTCTCCCCTCCCCCAAAACTGTGGTACAGAGCAATCTGAGGGCAGTATTCAGATAGCCTGCTCTGATAATGCTGTCCTCTGGTGGTGACAAAGGGATCGGTGTAAACCCAACACACAAGTGGCACTCCTGGGTCCAAGCCCTGATCAGTAAGACCTTGGAAGGTGGAGCCTGGCTCAGCAACTGATCAACAGAATTACCTTCACACAAGAGAGGGACAACCCCCATCGTCAGGTGCCAATAACTAGGTCCTTAGCTCTGGCTTTCTAGGTGGGAGACCTGGGGCAAATCCCATCACTTCTCTGGGCTGGTTTCACCTGTGAAACAGGAAAAGTGGCAAATGAGATATTGTATGTGAAATTCTTCTATAAATTGTAAGTCACCACACAAGAACAGGGAATTCTTTGTCCAGGCCCAAATAGTGGTCCTGAAGAATGGAGGGGAGGAGAGAAGGTCATGATATTTGAAAAAGCTCCAGGATGAGCCCTGGCCAGGCAGCTCAGTTGGTTAGAGCATCCTCCCAATACACCAAGGTAGAGGGTTCAATCCCAGGTCAACGAACAAATGCATAAATAAGTGAAACAACAAATTGATGTTTTTTTCTCTTTCCTTTCCTCGCTTTCTAAAATCAATACATAAAAAAAAAGGAATTGAAAAAATTTTTAAAGATTTTGTTTATTTATTTTAGAGAGCTGGGGAAGGGAGGGAGAAAGAGAGGGAGTGAAACATCAATGTATGGCTGCCTCTAGCACAGCCCATATCTGGGGATATGGCCTGCAACCCAGGCATGTGCCCTGACTGGGAATCAAACCAGCAATGCTTTGTTTCACAAGCCTGCACTCAATCCACTGAGCTACACCAGCCAGGGCTAAAAAAAATTTTTTTAAAGCTCCTGGATGAGTCCAATTGCTGTCCCCCTACCTTTCGCCACTAATGAGCTATGTGGGTTAAAGATGCACACTGGCCAGCCTGTGAACCCTTCTATATACACACCAGCCTGAGTGTGTATACAGGCATTATTCTTGGGGGGGCTTGTAGGTGGCAGCGATCAAGATTCAGAGCTGCTATTCTAAAGCAGGGCTTCTCAAACTCAGCACCACTGGCACTTTGCGCCAGATAATTCTCTGTTGTGGTGGATGTCCTGTGCAATGAAGGATGTTGAGCAGCATCCATAGTCTCTACCTGCTAGATGCCAGAGCACCTCCAAAGTCCTGACAACCAACATTGTGAATGTTCCCTGAGATGCATTATAGAAAGAGAGATTGCAGCCAAGGGTACTCCCCTCCCCTAAACCCCAAATCCCCCATCAGAATCTTAGCTATTTTTAACTTCTCCCTTACCAGGCCTAATGTATCCTCAAATCTCATTCTCTTTATACTTGATCCAGCCATCTTCCACGCCTTCCAGTGCACATCACCTCAGTACTTCGACAATCCCCACTGTGTCCTTAATGGCCTTCTCCACTAGCTTCGTCTTTCCAATTCTCCCTACGCAGTGCAATACTGACAGGTTAATCTTCCTAAAATTCAACTTGAATCATTTCTCTCTCCAATAAAAACCATCTCCATCTCTGTTATAAAAGCTACACACACACACACACACACACACACACACACACCCCTCCACAATTTAGCTCAGGCCCCACACACTTTCTCTTCCTCCAGTCTGACTATGGGGTTTTGGAAGATTTGGAAGACGAGCACGAGAAACCTGACTGAATCAAACCAGGAAATTCAAATCAAGTCCTGGAAATGGTCTTGGGCCTGAAACACAGAAATGTCAAAATAATAAAAATATACCCTTTTGAAGGTTACACATGATTCTCTGATTACGCAGCTCAGTATCCACCAATGTCAAGGAATAACGGAAGTGAAAAACTGATGGTTAGAGCAAGTGTTTGGAACTATGGTCACACAGGATAGGTCCCAAAATCAGTTTCATAGTTTAGCAATAGTCTTTTGAAATGGAAAGAATAGAATAGAATAGACTAGGCTGGGCTAGACTAGAATAGAATGTGAATGTGAAATTAGGGTAACATCTCCCTTTAAAGTTATCTTTCATTAATCTGTATGTACAGGTGCAGGGTTTGTACGTAAAATATATTTCTCAGTGTAAGTTGGAAAAAAGTTTGAAAGCCACAGGGGACAATCTACATAGTCAGAAGTGGAATGAGGAATATAAGAACAGCAAAAAGTGCAAGGTCACTGGTACCTCCACAGCTGCAAAGATGGGTGCCAGAGTGGAGGCTGTATGTCGTGGAGTGGTCACCGCTGGGGAAGACGGGCGAATGTGGGGCTCCCTCATTCCGGGTGTCAGGGCTCAGTTCCAGGGTGCGGTGGGTGCGGGAAGGAGGGGTGAGGAGAAAGGCGGCGAATCTCGAGTGAAGGACAAGGAGGCGGCCTCAGCGCCACAACCCAGAGCCTGGGACCCCCCCTACTCCCAGCATCAGCAACCGTTGGGACCGCCAGGAGAGTCGCGTCCATATCATGATAACTGGAACCCTCCCCGACCCGCTGGGACCCGTCCTCACCGGGCACCGGCCAGAAGGCGACGGCATCGGGGCCCTCCCTCCCCGGCGACCGAGCTGCGGCAGGTCCTTTGGCCTCGGCCACTGCAGCCACAGGCGTCGACCTTGCGGCCCAGGCCCCTCAGGCCACCGCAACAGGAGCTCCGGATCCCCGCCCCCACATGACACTCGGGAGCGAGCTCCGCGCCCTCGCGCGCCGTCACACGGGTGGTCGGGAGCGCGCGCCACCCCTCGGGGGAACCGGCCTTTGGGATCGCCTAAGCCAGCTCCCGGTTTTCTTACGCAGCAGAGCCCTTTTTGGGGAACGAAATCCGCTTCTCCGGGTCTTGCGGCGCGGTGTGGAGCTGGCAGCTCAACCAATCCGCGCTGGGAGGTGGGGCTAGAGCTCGCAAAAGAGGTGGAGAAAGCCCAGGATTGGATGGCGGCTTCCTGGGCGGAGCCTCAGTACCTGCGTCTAGTCCGGGGTCTCCTGAATGGTAGCTCCTACACTAGTGAATGGGATCTTAATTGGGAGCAGAAGGCAATTTCTTTTGCATCTCATTGAAACCTTCAAATGACCCCGCCCCAACGTGGGCCAATTTGAGATTCAAAATAAATGATAATGGACTATAACATTGAATAAAATAAGAATCCATGAGTTGGCATGATGTAAATAAGTAAATAGGGGAGAAGGGAAATTTCTTTTAGTAAAAATATGTAAGCTAATTTTACACATGGTTGACTACATAATTTATTTTTCTTTTGGAAATTTCTTTTCTAAATCTAACTATTATCAATATTGCTGCTGTGGCTGGCATCATTGCTAACATTTGGGGGGTGAAGAATACATGGGAATGCTTTGAACACTTCTTGAATTTTTTCCGTAGGTGTGAATTATGTCAAAGTAAAACGTCAAACAAACAAAAATATTCCGGATAGGAAAGCATTTATTTCACATTGGTCCCTCCCTCGCGCATGGGTCCGGTCCAGCCTTGGCCCCTTGGTCCCGACCTCGTCCATAGGTGCAGTGGTCGTCCTTCGCACAGCCACTAGGCACTTGTCATTCTCCGACCCCCTTGTGATGTGGGAACCAGAACTGATCTGGCGTGGGGAGCTGAGGGGCCTCAGCACTGCTTTCCTAGACACTTAGCTGGTGAAAGCCTGAGGGGCTTCAGAGGCGAAGCGACTGCCTGTCGCCCGGACAACTAGCTTCTCCTCCCGCTCGGTCCCCGGGACCTCGTTCACCGCGACCCTCCGTAGCCCTGGGGGACCCCTTCCTCCATTCTCTCTCTTTCGCCAGCCAGAGCTCCCAGTCTTCTAGCTGCGCGTCCTCGGCCTCGGAGTTTGTGGAGTAAGACGCTGTTCCTCTGTAGGGAACTCCGCGCTGTTCAGACCGCCCTCCCCTTCTCCTGCTTGTCGCTCTAAAGCAGCTGCTCTAGCGCCCCCTGGAGCCAGGCGAGTGGATGTCCACATCCTGCAGGGCCCTACTGCTGGTCCTCCCGCCGGCTCCTGGTTCCCTTATTCTCCGAATCCTCCGCGAGTCCTATCCCGGAGTCTGTTTCGTCTAAACTAAAGCGTTCTCCCGCACCCTTTCCCACCCTCGACAATTTCAGTGCTCTGCCCCGTTCCCCGCATCCTCCACGTCTTTCTCGCTCCTAAGCTTCTCCAAGCTCCACATCTCTGCTCTCCACCTGCACTCCCAGTCCTGTACCCCTTCGCACTCCGCACCTTTCAGCCTGCCCACCTTCCAGTTCTCCACACCTGCCACCTCAGGGACCAAAATCAACAAAGCTCCCCGCCCTAGTGATGTGGAGCTTGTGTTATTAGGGATGGGCAGGAAGCAATAGATGCAAACACTGAGCTGATGGTCTGTTATAAGTAGTACAGGCTCATTGTATGTAAACTGTAGTTGAAAAGTAAAATTTTAATTAAAAGAAAAAGACGTACGTGCTATGGGGAAATAAAATAGGAAGGAGCGTTGCCTATAACTTGTGCTAGACTTTAGGGTGGGAAGATGGCAGTCGCATTCTCCTGGTAGCGGTCCCTCTCCGGTCAATCGCCCACCATCTCCCCCTGCAGACGGCACTTTAGAGCCGGTGCCGGATCCCTGATGTGTCTGGGCGTGCGTCTTGGGTTCGTAGAGTAGGATAAACAGACACTGCCGAAAAACGGCACACCTGGCGGCCCTCACAGCCCAGGTATAAGCGAGGCGCCTGGATCGCCGCTGAGTCAGCTTGCGCCCCCTACGTGAGGGGCGGGGCGCTGCCAGGAGGGTCAGCCACAAAGGTTCTCCCGAACTCTCGAAAGCAACCAAGGGAAACTCACCCCCCAGGAGAAAACATATAAAAGCTGTGCGTACAAGAGGAAAGTGGAGGGTGCTATTTTTTCTTTTTAATGATAGAACCAGGTGCTTGCAAGAATGTCGGACAGTTCGGTATTCATTGGCAACCTCACTTCAATGAGGTTTGCCAATGAAAGCTTTGTCCTAGGAAAGCCCAAGGCTGTTAAAAACGGCGATTTTCAACCCGCGTGCCACAGGAACTTTGCAGTGCCTGACTATTGAGGGGCACTGACCTCTGTTCCCTTAGATTGTCAGATAAATCACAACAGCAACACATCCATGCAGTGTGAATGAATCAAAATTCGAGCTTTGTTTTTGTCAGACTGGCAAAAAACATATAATTTTGGGTGTGCTGTAGAATTTTAGTAATTAGTTTTTTGTGTGCCATGAGATGGAAAAGGTTGCAAATTGCTACTTTAAAAGATTGTTAGCAATGTAGAAACAATTGGGATACTCCCGCAGTCAGAACTGACTGGACAAACCCATCCCTGCAGTGGTGTGCTGTGCAGTTAGTAAAAGGATGTTAGAAAATCATTAAGAAAACGTATGAGCTGTATCATCTCAATTTTCTGAATATGAAACATATGGATTATAAATGGTGGGTTACAAAATGTGTTTGTAATATTTTTTCATCGTCTATTTTCTATTTTTCAATGACTATGAATTACCTTTTATTTTAGTTTGAAGATGAATAAAAGCTCTTTTTAAAAAGGAAATGTGTGATCATCCTATTCACTTTTCATCCCCACCGTAATTAATGCACCACCCTCCCACACACCGAGTAGGAGCTGGCAGCGTCATCTTCGACCTCTGAGAATTTTCTGCTTCGTTGGACACTCCTGGGAACCACTCTCCTCACAGGAACGAAATCATCCGGCAGAATGCCAACTGCGTGGAACCAGAATGGGTCACTTCCCCTGCCCCTTCTCCTCCTGGTAGGTGACACTGTCACCCCTCAGCTGGGCAGGTCAGTCTTCTCTCCCTCATGCCCAGTCCCCCAGCAAAACCATCTGTCACTAAGCCTGGCTCAGCTACCTCCCCTCCCTCTCCTCTCACCCAGGCTGTGGGGCCTCTTCAACGGCTTTCCAGACCCTACCAGTCCCTCCTAATGGCGCTTGGGGGAGTTTTGTGTAATGATGCTGACCATGTCCCTTCTCTGCATGAATCCTTCCCCTGACTCCCAATATCCATGATAAATCTGAAACCCTCACTCTGGACTCCAGGCCCTGAGCCACCAGCACCTGCCTACCATGCCTGCCTCCAGGTCTTCCTGCCCTGCTCCCTCTGGGCCCTACACTTAACCCTCTCAGGCCCACCTTCCTCACCCTTCAGCTCCCTCTAAGGGTCTCCCTGAGCCCACCAAGTCAGAACCCTGTCAGATGCTGTGGCGTACCTGGCCTTCTCCTGGTCAGCTTTCATAAACTTACAAGTCAGATAGCTCCATGTTTCCTGTCTAGCCCTGGGAGTCCAGAGCTGTGACCCAGATCCCAGGCACCCCACTCTGGACCGACAGGTAGAGGGAAAGAGGGAGAGACGAGGGTGAATCTAGGTGAGGGCTACACCATGTCACCTGCACTGTTCCTTCAACTTTTATGGAAGTTTGAAATGTCTTAAAATAAAGGAAATCTTGACACTACTGGCCCCAGAGTGTGCTCCCAGCTGGCTCAGCAGTAGCTTCCTGCCTCATGGTACTGAACACCTTGCAGACAGACAATGGACACCACCTGCCACTCAGGAGGGAGGTGGGTCCTTGCTGTGCCCTCAAGCAGCCTCCAGTGGCCACCAAGTCAGCCAGGCCCCTCACTGGGGACCGAAGAACCCAGCTTGAGGCTTCCCTGATAATAGCAGGAGGGGTCAACAATGTGACTCTAAAGTTCAGGGAGTGGGTGGGCCAGGGTTAATCCTCTCTGACCCACCCAGGTTGGGCCTGCCTGGACATCAGGCTGAGAGGCTGAAGTCACGCCTTGCCTGCTCCCTCTCCTCACATCCTCTTTTCCACTGCTGCTTCTCTAGTGGCACTCCACCGTCACACATTAGGCCCTGAGCAATTCCCCCTGCATTCTTACCATCAGACAAAGCCCACTGAAAGGATGACTCAGAACTGAGGAAAGGCGGAATTGGAGGGTAAGAGGAATCTATTTAAATATAGAATTAAGACAAAAGAACACCTCAAATTACGATTATAGAATACAAATATTATAAACAAACATGCTATAAAAATAAAATAGTAAAATGGAGAGCGGGCAAGGAAACTGCTAAGTGTCTCCCTCTCCTGAGAGGGCGTCAATAGATACTGATTATGGATTACACAAGGCCTCTAAACCCTACATTTAAAAAATAAGCCATTTCTTGTGTCCGGTAGCAGTTTTCAAAGGATGAGGCCACATGTGGTGAAGCAACTGGGGCGGAAACCTTCCCCATGGGAGCTCTGGGGGATCCTGACTTCCAGTGAAGGCAAACTGTGTTTCTTCCCCTCCTCCTCCAGCAGGGGCAGCTCCCAGGGGCTGGGGTGGGGCTCAGGGTCCTGGTTATCCCCCTCAGCCCACAAAACCTCCTGGGAGGAGCATGATGGGAGTACCTACCGCACACCTCTGCCACGGTTCCTACCCCTGCACTGCCTGCCCACCCCCTCCTCAGTAGAACCCTGGGCTGCCATTGTTGCAGGGACCCTGTGCAGGGGGCTGTCAGTCCCGTGTGGCTGCCTGGGAGTCCCACAGGAACAGGCTGACACTCCAGCAAGGGAACAACCATGGAAGGAGAGTCAGGGAGGGGCTGGACAAGATTCCTAGAGGATCAGGGTTAGAGGTCCCACTGCCTACTTTCAGGCCAAGGCAGAAGGAAGGGGAACCTCAGGGACCCCACCTAGTCTCTGGGCCAGCGGCTGGTTTTCCAGACTGAAAGTGCCCCAGGGTATGAGGTTATGAGGGATGGAGGCCCCCCGAGAGCCACCCCAGGGCTGAGAGATAGCCCAAACCAGGCAGCCCCAGGGAAGGGCCCTGTGAGGGCTGGTAGGGTGGGCAGGGTCCCAGGGCATGGGGGGTGGTTGGAATTGGGCCTCAAAGGATCCAGAATCCTGGAATTTATACAACCTGTTCATGATGGGATCTAGCATGTAGCTTATTTTATTCTGTTTTCATATTTTTTTCCCTGCTTACAAAAGTAAATTGCGCTTGAGCTGAAAAACATTACATGATGTTTAAGAGTGAAAATCAGCCAGGGACAGGGCCCCAGCCAGAAGTCACAGCCAAATTCATCACTCGTCAAGGATGCTTCGCCTGCAGTTGTCAGGGTTATGAGGCCTTGCTGGGCCCCACAGAGGACTCCTCCCCGCCCACTGCAGGACTGGGGGCAGGCCTCCCTGCCAACCTTCTGTCTTCTTTTCCTTCTGGAAGAGAAGGGGGTGGGTCAGGCTGGTGTCAGAGGAAAAGGGAGGGGTGGGGGTTTCCACAGACTGACTTAAAGAAGTAATTGCCACTCGAGATATGCTCCCAAAGGCCACCGAGGCTGCTAAAGTCATTTCCAGGAAACTCTGGACCAAGTATGGGCTGAGCATGTGGAACCTGCTGCTCTCTCCACTTCCTGGCTTGGGGCGGAGCAAGAGGTGGAGAAGGTATGGATTAGGTACAGCGGTGAAGATGGGGCAGCAGGCTGAGGGAGCTGTTGACTGCCGGAGTGCCTGCCTAAGGGACACTGTGTGGCTGAGAGGCAGTCCTTGTTCTGTTCTCCATCTGAGGAAGGGTGGCTTTGTTCTAATTCTCACAGTAGCATGAGTGGAGTGGGGCCCATGTAGCTCCAGAATCTGGGGAAATGGCTAAACAGAGGTCTCAGACAGGGTAGAAAAGACCCTGCAGATTACCCAACCCACTGAGTTAAGCAGGAAGCATGAGCTCTGAGCCAGATGTTCCCCTTTCACCCTCTGCCACGATCAACGGGTGGCTTCAAGGTAGTAACTTGCCTGTCTGAGCCTTGCTGCCCAACAGGTCATGCGGTGGCAACCTTCACCCCCAGGGCTGGCAGGAAGCAGGTAGACACACAGAGACACCTGAACCAGAACTGGCTGGTAGAAGTGCTCCCAAGGTGAGCTGGGGGTGCTGCAACGGGGCCTCCAGGTTCTGGGGAGCTGAGGTCCCCAACTCCCTGATTGCAGCTCCTTTCTAGCAAGGGATGGAAGGTGAGGGGTTCCTTAGGTCCCCTGTGAGCTCCCAGCCTGTAGCTGGGGTGCCCCAATCTCAGGAGCCCTGAAGTCTTAGCCTTGGGGAAACAGTAGGGCTCCCCGCTGACTTCAGAGCACTCCCCTGTAAATTTCCATCAATGAGGTGGGGTCAACTGCACTGCCCAGCTACATATGATGGAAACCAAGAGGCTTTAGTTTCCCTTTCCCGAGACTGGCTGCCAGTCCAAGTGCCCTGACTAACTCCAAGGGGGCTGCCTGTTCATAGGCAGCAAACAGAGCCAACTGCTGTGGCTTTTATTTTCTCTGTCTTCTTAGGGCATGGCAGACCCACTTCCAGTTGAAAAGAAACCCCAGCTCATCTCCTTCCCAACCACTAGGCATCCTCTCCCCCAGGCATCCCTCAGGATTCTACATTCCATTGTCATCTGCACCAAGCCTGGTGGAGGGGGTAGTGGGTGGGGGCATTCCAGTTGGGGCCTCAAATAGACTCTGCACAGAAACATGCACACACAGACCCCCAGACACATAAATACGCAAACACATACTAGCAGACATGGACAGAAATAGTCCCAGGGACAAGGACACACAATGATATACACAGACACACCTTCCCAGACAAACACATATGTAGACACAGAACTCTAGACACACATGTAGGGAGGCTACAAACACACAGAGATTTACACTGAGATGTATCGTGAAAAGCAGGACATACACAGACACATTCACAGGACAGGCACACTCTTTCCAGAGCCGACCCAGCCTGTCTATCACCTTGGTTGCCCAGGTATCAGGGGATTTCTGGCCCCAGGGAGGTCTTGTTTAGTTTTTCTTTCAGGGACCAGGGCCTCACCAGCATCCAGCTTCCTGCATTTCTGTTCAGGCTCCTGGGGGGCTGCCTCAATGGCACGCTGGGCCTCAGGATGGATCTTAAGGAGGGCCTTGGCAAGGGTGGTGGGGCCAGGCACCCCCAGAGACATGATGCAGTGCACTCCTTTGCGCTTGGCTGTGGCCACTTTGGCACTGTCTTTGGAGGCTGTCAGCAGGACCAGTTTGGAGAACTTCCTGGGCTTCTTGGGGGCTGTAGGAATAACATCAGTGCCAGCCCCAGGAGACTCAGGGGACAGCTCCTGACTGGCCTTCACACTCTCACTCTCCTGCTCGCTGGGCTCAGGCAGAGGCATCCTGGGACCAACAGCCTGTCCCCCAGGCCTCGCTCAGGCCCCAGTGGATGGACTTCTACTCCTCCTCCCTGGCAAGGGAGCTGGCAGTCCAGGGGCTCTGTCCTAAGAGAGGATACAGCCCCCATCAGTGAAGCCTGGGGCTCAGAAGGGACCCCGGGGTGCAGACTGGGCAGACGGGGCACCAGGATGGGCACGGACCTGGACACAGCCGGAGAAGTCTGGGCAGCTGCTTCTGCTTGGCCAGTTCCTCTCTTGGCAGCAGTGAGTGTGTCACCTCCCCCAACCAAATCTCACTCCCCCCAGCCCCCAGTGTAAAATGTGCCAAGCACAGGGCCCCTAGGGTGGGGGGCAGGGAGGGCAGCACTGTTGGGGGATAAAGATACTGATCACTGAGTTACTACGAATCGAGGCCTGAAGGTGCTGAGGATGGGGCCAAGTGTTTCAGCGGTTTTTCCATTTAACCTTTCAGCCCCCGTGTTATAAAAGTTTACCATTGTTACTGACCCAGTTTACAGATGAGGACACTGAGCCAAGCCAGGGCGGCTAACACAGCCAGGAAGCAGCAGAGCTGGGAGTCTAGTTGAGGAAGATCCGGAGCCCAACCTCACACGACCGACACCTGCTGTGCCTTGTCCAGGGTAACAGTCCCTGCATCCGAGACAGACAGTGGGGACGTGGGCTCAGGTCATTGACCCTCCCAGGATTCCCAGAACCTTTCCACCCTGACACTCTGCAGACCAGAGTCCCTGGCCCTGGGAGGTGTCTCCAAGAAGGGCCTGCAAGATTTCTTTTGAGAAATCAGCTGACAGTCTTATGGGAACTCCTTTGTAGGTAACCCTCACCCTTTCTCCTGTTGCTTTTAAGATTTTTTCCTTATCTTTAACCTTGGGTAATGTAATTATGATGTGCCTTGGTGTGTGCTTCCTTGGGTCCAACTTCTTTGGAACTCTCTGAGCTTCCTGGAAGTCTGTTTCCTTTGCCAGATTGCGGAAGTTTTCCTTCATTATTTTTTCAAATAAGCTTTCAATTTCTCCTTCTTCCTCTTCTTCTTCCCCTATGATTCAGATGTTGGAACATTTAAAGTTGTCCTGGAGGTTCTTAAGCCTCTCCTCATTTTTTTTGAATTCTTGTTTCTTCATTCTGTTCTGGTTGAATGTTTATTTCTTCCTTCTGTTCCAAATCATTGATCTCTTCCCTTTCCTTCGCTCTTGGTTCCCTGTATATTTTTCTTTATTTCACTTTGCATAGTCTTTCTTTTTTTCTTAAAGATTTCATTCATTCATTTTTAGAGAGAGGGGAAGCGGGGGAGAAAGAGAGGGAGAGAAACATCAATGTGTGGTTGCTTCTTACATGGCCCCCACTGGGGACCTGGTCCACAACCCAGGGATGTGCCTGACTGGGAATTGAACCAGTGACCCTTTGGTTCACAGTCCATGCTCAGTTCACCACTGAGCTACACCAGCCAGGGTTATTTCTTTCTTTATTTTGTATCCATACTCAGTCATTTCTGAGAGCATCCTGGTTATCAGTGTTTTGAACTCTGCATCTGATAGGCTGGCTATCTCTTCGTTGCTTAGTTGCTTTTCTGGAGTTTTGATCTGTTCTTTCATTTGAGCCATATTTCTTTGTCTAAGCGCACCTGTTATGTTGTAAGGGGCAGAGCCTTATGTATTCGCTGGGGGTGGGGCAACCCACATCTCTGTGTTGTGGTGCTGTATGTGGGAGGGGTCAGAGAGAACAATGCTGCTTGCTCAGCTCTTGCCCCACTGTCAGTCATTCCCTCACTACTCACAAGGGAGTTGTGCCCTTCAGGTACTGATTCCTGCATGGGTGGGCTTGTGTATGTTTAGGACCCCATGGGTCCTTCCAAAGGACTCTCCTGTGAGACTGGCAGTTTCTCCCACCGCTGCAACCCCACAGACTTTACAGCCAGAGGTTGTTGAAGCTTTCTTTTCCTGGAACTGGAACCCTGGGTTGCACTGTCTGTCTCACTTCCCAGTAGTTTCTCCTGGTTTATCTGCATGCAAACGTGGGACCGCCCGGTCCACCAGCCATTGCCTTGCCACACATCCTCTCCTACGTGGCTGCCCATCTCCACCCCTCCTACCAGTCTGAATGAATGTTTCTTCTTTAACACCTCGGTTTTCGAACTTCCATACAGTTCAATAATCTGGCAGTTCTGGTTGTTTTTTGTTTTTAAATTGGTTGTTATCCTTCTTTTGGTTGTGCGAGGAAGCAAAACATATTTACCTACACCTCCATCTTGGACGGAAGCTTCACAGTCTAATATCTTCTTATAGGGACTCTAATATCTTCTTATAGGGACTCCGTTCGTACTGGATCAAGGCCAAGCTAATATGACACATTTTAACCTAAATTTCCTCTTTAAAGGCCCTATCTCCAATATAGTCACATTCTGAGGTCCTGAAGATTAAAACTTCAGCATATGAATTTGGGGGCAGGCACAAGTCAGCACAAAAGGGCATAGAGCATGGTAAGTGCCCAATAAATAATAGCGCCCTCACTGGTGTAGCTCAATGAATTGAGTGCCGGCCTGCAAACTGACGGGTCCCCAATTCAATTCCCAATCAGGGCACATGCCTGGGTTCCAGGCCAGTTCTCCAGTGCATGAGAACTGGTCTGGGCATATGAGAGGCAACCACACATTGATGTTTCTCACCCTCTCTTCCTCCCTTCCCCTCTTCTAGAAATAAATAAATAAAATCTTTAAAAAATCATAGCTTGTGGTATCCCTATATCTTGATCCCAACCTTCCATCACATTCAGACCAAGAGCATGCTCCCAGAAGGGAGGCACACACAGGGCCTGTGCATGAGACTAGAGGCTGTTTGCTCAGTAAGGAGCCCTCAAGCCAGCTGGATCTTAGCACAGCTGCCTCCACAGTTCCAAAAGCTCTGCTTGTCATCCGGGGAGCCAGAATAGGCTTATACAATTTTTTTTCTTTAGATCATCATTCAAATAAAAAAATAAAATAAAATAAGGTAAATGCTCATGGAAACCACCATCCAAGAGCTACCAGTTTGAAAACATATTCCTGCACAATTAACAGCTCTTCCACACTGCTGAGACACTACACAGTTTATCTGGATTTAGTTTTCTAACCAAAGGAAAGCAATAAGATAGATTATATTGAGTTTATTTTAAAATTTTGAAACATTTCATTGAAAAAGTTATACAGAATACATTAAACAATAAAAGTAAATCTGCATAATCCTACCATCCTATCACAAACTGCTTTCATTTCTGCATTGTTTTCTACATACATTTTTCATAGCTACAAACAAAGCTTTCAAATAATTGTATTTCCTGTTTTCTTTCCATTTGTTAGGTGGAAACCATCAGCTTAGAGACCAGATGTAAAGACCCTTATAAAGTGCCAGAGCACAATTTAATTCACCCTTGTATTGTGGAAAATTCAATTTAAACCTTTAGCAACAGTATTCTAGAAGACCAAAACATAGGGATGTTCATCCTTAAAATGAACCATTTTACCAAGATTAAAAAAAAAAGTCCTGGCTGGTGTGGCTCAGTGGATTGAGTTCTGGTCTGCAGCCCAAAGCGTCGCCCATTCAATTCCCAGTCAGCACACATGCCTGGGTTGTGGGGCGGGTACCCAGTGAGGGGCGCTGAAGAGGCAACCACACATTGGTGTTCCTCTCCCTCTCTTTCTCCCTCCCTTTCCCTCTCTAAAAATAAATAAATAAAAATACTTTTTAAAAAGGAGAGGACACAAGGGGTGACAAAGGAAAAGGATATAAGGCTTTAAAGTGTCTACATCTGATTTACAAAAAAAGCATCGTTAGAAAGAAAGTCCAATGACCATATTTAGCAAAGATGATCTTTTCTAGGCTAAACAACTGTGCATTTTTCCAAAAAACAAAAACTAAGACCAAGAACTTTGGTCCCTGTCTTGTGTCTTTCTCTCTCAACCCACTTGTCTTTCCTTTTATTTATTCTCCATTCCAGTCATATTTGTCATGTGTGTACTAATTTTATTTGACTTGTTCTTAACTTAAAAAGCAGGTGCTTTCTAGTCTGTTTGCAAAAAATTATATAAAAATGCACTAAAGCTAACTAAAAAGTAATTTATCAATATGTTAGTGGTGGGAATGAGGGATTTCATTTTTTGCTAGTTTTCTATAATTTTTTCTAATTTTCCATTATTTTCCCCAAATTGTAATGTTTATGAACTACTCTTACAATGGGAAAGTAATTAACATTTAAAAGTAAAGATTAATATAAACAACCAGAATTCAAAATAAATGAGAAAGAGAGGATACACCCTGCCCCTCTGGCATTCCTGTCCCTGTTCAACATTAAAGTGACCCACCCAGAGCCATGTCCTTGGTTCTCAGGCTGGGGTCTGAGGTGGGAACAAAAACCCCATGACGTTAGTCCACACCTGCAGTGCCACACATAACCCAACAACCTTCCTTCCAAGTGTCACCATCACCCTTGCTCTGCCCCTGGTAGGACTGAGAGGCCCAGGGACTTAAATAAGTGTCCCGGGACAGCAGAGATAGCGGAGCCAAAACTTGAACCCAGTCTGGCTGGTCCAGATCCAACATTCCTCAGCTGCTTCACCCTGAGCAGCTGAGGCTTAAACTGAGAAATGCCAGTTACAGAGAAAACTTCATCCAGAACCTCAGAGGAAGTTCTCAGGGTATAGCCCAAAGAATAAATACATTTCCATAAGTCCACACCGATATGAATAATTGAATGAATAAATAAACAAATGGGGGAGAAGGGACAAGTAATCTTCATGAATAATTCCAAAAAGTAAACACTTCCCCTTTCAGGAGGTAAAGATTAAGTCCGACCCTTGATGAGGGGGAAAGAATAGACTTTTCAACAAATGTGGAATGTTGGAATAACTAGATATCCAATACAAAAGAATGAAGATGAGCTCCCTCCTCACACCACATGAAAAATTAACTTTAAATAGATCATAGACTTAACTGTAAGAGCTAGTTATAAAACTCTTTTTTAAAACATTTTCTTTCTTTATTTTTAAACAGAGGGGAAGGGAGGGAGAGAAACATCAATGTGTGGTTGCCTCTCGTGTGCCCCTCACCGGGGAACCTGGCCTGCAACCCAGGCATGTGCCCTGACTGGGAATCAAACCTGCAACCCTTTCGTTCCTAGGCCGGTGCTCAATCCACTGAACCACACCAACCAGGGGTTATAAAACTTTTTTTTTTTTTTTTAAAGATAGGCTCTGGCTGGTGTGGCTCAGTGGATTGAGCATCGGCCTACGAAACCAAAGGTCACTAGTTCAATTCTGGGTCAGGCCACATGACTGGGTTGCCAGCCAGGTCCCCAGTTGGAGCATGCAAGAGGCAACCAGTTGATGTTTCTTTCACACATTGATGTTTCTCTCTCTCCCTTCCCCTGTCTCTAAAATCAATAAGCATATCCTCAGGTGAGGATAAAAAAAAGTGAAGCAGAAACAAATTAAAAAGATCAAAAGGTTTAACAGCTACCTTACTCCATTCAGTTTACATGCTCCCCATAACTGTGTAACCTGGTGGTTTTATATTGCTGCGGCCTCAGTCTCCACTTATCCCAACCAGCTGCCATGACACTGGTCTGTACAAAGGAGAGCCAGGAGTTAAAGATGGCTCACACAATATTAAGAACTGGCAGGAGCCTCTGAGACATCATCAGATCTTTGGGAGGCAGAATAACAGCCTTCCCAAAATGTCCAGGTCCCAAACCCTGAACCTGCGAATGTTACCTTATGTAGCAAAGAGGAATGAAGTTTTTAGATGGAATTAGGGTTACTAAAGTAGAAGATTAACTTGGATTATCCACGTGGGTGCAGTCAAAGGGATCCTAAATAGCAGGAGAGGGAGGCAGAAGAAGAGAGTCAGAGAAAGATACGCTGATGTTAGCAGGGTCAGAGAAATGCAGTGTTGCTGGCTGTGGAGGAGGCCCTGAGCCAAGGAATGCTGGAGGCCTCTAGAAGATGGAAAAGACAAAAAAATAGATGGTCTCTCCTAGAGTCCCCAGGAAGCAACAGCCCTGCCCACACTTTGATTTTAACCCAGTGAGACCTAATCAAACATCTGAACTCCAGAACTGTAAGTTGGTTACAAAGCTGTGTTGTTTTCAGCCACTAAATTTGTGGTAATTTGAGGCAATAGGAAACTAATGGGAGGTCCAATACCTTACTGGTGAGATTCTGAAAGGTGGGAGCCCTGCCTGGTGGCTGATGATGGATCAGCAGAATTACCTTCATACTTATGGGAGAGAAATACCATCAATGTCCATCAACACTTGTGTCCTCTGCCGTGAGGGCAAACCCCTTACCCTTTCTGGGTTGGTTTCATCTGTGTAATAGGAATAGTGGTAAATTTAGCAGGGGTTCTTAATAACAGGTAGGTGAAAGGTTAAGTGGTTGTTTTAAACAGTTCCCAGTGAGCCCTGACCAGTGTACCTCAGTTGGTTGGGCACAGTGGTCCTGCAAAATGAAAGGTCACTGATTCGATTCTCCATCAGGGCATATGCCTGGGTTCAACAACTGATCAATGTTTCCCTCCCTCTCTTTCTCCCTCCCTTCCTTCCCCTCTCTCTAAGAATAAATAAAAGTCTTTAAAATGAAATAAAAAGTTCCCAGTCCAGGTGGCTAAGTTGGCTGGAGCATCATCCCATTTACCAAAAGGTTGCTGACTCAGTTCCCTGTCAGAGCACATATTTAGGTTGGGGGTTCGATTCCCCAGCCAGCGTGCATATGGAAGGCAACCGATTGATGTTTCTCTCTCACACTGATGTTTTTTTCTCTCTCTTTCCCCCTTCCTGTGCCCTCCCTTCCCCTCTCTCTAAAATCAATAAACATCCTTGGGTGAGGATTTAAAAAAAAAATTTCCAGTGATATTGACAGCTGCCCCCACCCCCTATAATCACTGTCCCATGCGGTTCATGGAGGGATGTGAATGGATGGTTGGTGGGATGATGGGCCAGCTTAGCTGTGCAGGTACATATCCTTACAGGGAGATTTTCAAAACAGCAGTGATCCAAAAAAACTCAAGAACTGCTACTCTATAGTATGCAGGGAAGAGCTTCTCCAAAGTGCGAATTTCGTGTCATGGCACCGCCTTTCCCCTAATCACCATGGCTCAGAATATTAGTTACTTTTACTCGTCCTTTACCCATTGTAATTTGTCATCACACCTGTCTGTGCCGCGCCCAAATGGCCCCAGCTCCCATTATCTCCAGTAATTTCCATTGCTTCCTGACCAAGCCTTTGAGTGTGTCGCCCGCCCCAATATTGCACACCTCCAACTCTCTGCCATCCCTGCGGGGACCTCTGGAGCCACAAGGGTGGGACGGGGCTCAAGATGGGTGCAGGGAGGGGAGAAGTACTGGGTGGGGTCAAGGAAAGGCAGGCCAATGTGGGGCTCCCTGATTTAGGGTGTCTGTCAGGGCTCCGTCCCGGGGTCGGTTGGGTTGGGAAAAGGAGGAGCGAGGAGAAAGGAGACGTACCACAGATGATAAACAGGGAGGGGGCCTGAGCGCAGCGACGCAGAGCCAGGGGAAACTCCCAGGATCAGCAGCCCTTAGGAACCAAGAAAGACCCCTGCCGGGAGGGGCGCATCCGCCAGGGGACCCAGGACCCTTCCGGACCCGCTGTGGCCCGTCCTTACCAGGCACCGGCAGGTCAGCAACCGCAGAGGAGCCCTCCCTCTCCGGCCACTGAGCCTCAGCAAGTCCCTAAGCTTCCGTGCCTGCAGCCCTCGCCTTGATAGTGACAGTCACCTCAAGCAAGGGTCACGACGCAAGCATGCGCAGTAGCAACGCGGGGACCCTATTCCTTGGGTAAACTCCGCTTTTCCAGGTCTTCCAAGAACTGCGCCGAACTAGCGACCTGACCAATACGAGAGGCAGGGGGCGGGGAGGGGGGGGCGGGACGGTGGTGTCGGCAACTCCGAGGCCTGGATTTGGATCCTCTGCTACAAATCCCCAGCACTAAGCAAGTGGGTTTAACTGCGACCCTCGGGCATCCCCAAGGGTGTGATCCCAGATCCTTGCGGAGGAAGCTGGGGAATTTTTTAATGGCCTCGTTCAATCCAGTCTCTTTCCTGCCAGAGCGAAGGGTAGGTCTCTCAGCTCCTGGAAGGCACTGACTCCGCCCAGCCCAGCGTCCTGGATGGCCCAGCATCTTCAGTATTGGACCCTCCCCCGCCCGCCGGTCCCGCCCCTGACCGTAGGTCCAGCCCCCACTGATAGGTCAAACCTTCGCACATTGGTCCGGCCCTCGTCCATTAGCCCAGAGGTCCCCACTCGTCCTGCCGTCGCCCATCGAGTCCGGACCTCGTCCATCAGTCCTTCTCGCAGCCACTGGACACTTGTCATTCTCCGACCACCCTGTGCGGTGGAGACCTGGAATACTCCCGTACAGGAAGTTGTGGGGCCATGGCGCTGCTTTCCTGAACACTTGGCAGGTGCTGGGCCGAGCAGTCCCAGCATCATCTGAGTTGACTCCCGCCTTGCCGATCTGGGGCCCCCGAGCACTAAGCCTCTGCGCGCGGCCCGACGCCTCGCCTCCCCTCCCGCACGGTGCCCCCGGCCCTCCGTTCACCGTGACCCTCCACAGCTCGCGTGACTCCTCCTTCCAACCGTACCCCTTCGCCGAGCGGAGCCCCTGGTCTTCGGGCTGTGTCCTCGGCGTTTGCAGAGTGAAGACGCTGCTCCTGTCTAGGAAACCCCACGCTCCTCTGACACCCCTTCCCTCCGCCTCCCTCCAGAGTCGCTCTAAAGCTGCTGCGGGTGGGCGCCCTGGCCCCGGGCAGGTGCGGTCCAGCTCCTTAGGGGTCTGCCTGCTAGGCCTCCAGCATTTCCCACGTTCTCCTCCGCATGCTCTGCGTCTCTGTCCTCCAGTTCTCTCCTGTCCTCCGGCATCCTAATATGCACATTAATTTTTTTTTCTCACCCGAGGACATTTTTTTTCCCCATTGCTTTCAGAGAAAGAGAGAGAAATATAGATGTGAGAGGGAACTCTCAGTCGATTGCCTTCCGAAGGCACCGGAGGGGAACCCAATGCAACCTTTCCTCAAGGGGACGTTGCCCCAACCAACCGAGCCACACCCACTGGGGCCCAGTCCATATCTTCCCCCTCCTCACGTCCAAATAGCAATAGGGCCTGCACACGCTCCCAAGAAAGGCTCTCTGCTTTCTCCCAGGCCCTGCCTCTGCAGATTCCTCCCTCCCACCCCAGGATGAGCCTGCATGGCTTCCATTGTCCCCAAGTCCTTTCTCCTGGGGCCACGTCATTTCCTGGACATTCTCCAGTGTTCGTCAAAGCCTTTCATGAGTTTATTTGCCATTAATCATCCACTGTCTGCTGGTTGCTACTAGTTTTATTTTCTCATAAATATCTTTGTATATAAATTTCTGACACCTCTGATCATCCCCTTTCTTTAAATTCCTGAAAGACGTCTGTTAGGTAAGATAGGTAGCGAACTAAGGCAGGGAGGAGGAGGGAGACATGTCTCGGCCATTGATTGGGCAGTCCAGAGTTGCGACCCGTAAGATTGCCAGGCGTTCTGAACATCACAAAGTGTGCAGGAGGAAGGGAGTCCTTGAGACTCTGTTCTGGGAAAGGGAGCCTCTGTAGCAATTTCACTTAAGAAAAAGATCCTTTACTAGCTAAGAAAGTAAGCCTTTGTAGCTGTACATTATCCCCAAGATTAGAAGGGGAAGGGGAAGAGAGAACCTAGAAGCTGACTAAGGTCTATAACCCCTGAACCGGAATAGTCAGCGCACTCAGATTAGCTGAGTGCCCACTTGTAGCCTCTGCTCAAGAGTATAGAACAAATTTACCAACAACTTCATTTACACATGGGGCATTCAGACTAGCCAGGTGCCTGCTTGCAGCTTTGTGCTTGCATGTGTTTCATAAATAAACTTGCTGTCTCATTTCCACTATACGTGTTGTCTCTCAGTTGAATTCATCTCTCAAGAGTGAGGCAAGAACTGAGGAACAAGCTTGGATGGGAGTGAGGGGTGCTGATGCCCGTCTCTCCCTGGTAACAGGTCAAAGAAAGTGAATATTTTAAAGGCTTTTAATACATGTTGCCAAAGGAAGTACATGAGCTTGGGGTCAGATGCATGGGTTCAAATACCAGCTCTGGCACTTGCTAGCTGCGTGATTTGAGCAGTTACTTCTCTTCTTTGCCTCAGTTTTTTAAAAGTTCTTAGTTTATTAAAAAATCTGCACAATCACCATATGGTAAGCAGTTAGACAGACATGAACAGAGCAAAGACAATGGGCCAGGTACACTCTTTAAATTATTAAGCAGCTCAAAGAGCTTTTAGTTACCTGGGGTCACATCTACCAGTATTTACCATTTTATAAATTTAAGCTGAGAATTTAAAATAGCAATAATAAATTAACTACAAACCAAAAAGTAAGTGAGGACAGTGGCAGTGTTCTACATTTTTGAAAAATTTCTTTACTATCTGTTTTAAGACACCGGGACTCTCCTATCTGCCTCCACCTTCACTCCGTCGCACTGTTGTTTTGGTTGAAACATGAGAAGAAATCCAGTCTCACATAGAATAATAATTGGAAAAGGAAGTAATTTAATATCCTATGAAGATCATTGTGGATAGTCTTTGATGCTACACTAACACTCAACCACTGATAGTTTTGTTAACCAAACTCAAGGGATTCACTGCTTGGGGTGTTCTATTCAAGAATGAGGCATGGTTGTCACATGTAGTTTTATTGCCTGCAGCAAGTACAGGGGACAGGGGACTCACATCCAAAGCTCTGTCTCCCTGAAGGGAGGCTTAGACATTATTTATATACACTATTGGTCAGTTAGATGTTGAATTCTTTGCAGTTGGCTACATTTATCCTGATGTAGTTCCTGTCAGGCTTATCCTGTTCACAGCAGCATCTGCTACATTTTAACATTTAGCAAGTGTAGAATTTAGTAAGAACTGCCCAGACCTTGAGACCCTTCTCCTGGCTAGCACTTTCTTGAAGGCTAGTTGAAATGTGAAATCTGAAATGACATCAGTGCCTTTTGTGTGTTCTATTACATTCTGATCCATCTGTCTATTTTGCACTTTGAAGGGATCTTTTACCCATCTGTACTTTTGTAACATCACACACTGGTTTTCTAGAAAATGTTGGTTTACTCACTTGTGCAGATCTTGCAAATGTTGGCCCATTTTATTATACAATATAAAAAAATTAACATTCATTGATATTGCCACCAATCATATCAGAAAAGTCTAACAATATTGGGAATCTGTGAATCTAAAGGCAGCATATTCAAGTTTTCCAAAATTTTACTTTTTCCAAGAAGGCTAGGTAGAATTTTACCCTTGGCAAGAAATCATGCCAGTTGTTTTCCTTGAAGTAACAGACTGTTATTTTTTTTTTTATTTTATTTATCGATTTGAGAGAGAGGAAGCAAGAAAAAGAGAGAGGGAGAAACATTAATTTGTTGTTCCACTTATTGATGCATTCATTGGGTGCTTCTTATATGTGCCTTGACTGGGGTTCAAACCTGCAACGTTGGTGTGTTGGGACAATGCTCTAACCAACTGGCTACCTGGCTAAGGTCAACAGTGTCCATTTTTCAAAAATATATTTACTGATTTTTGAGATGGGGAAAGAGAGAGAAACACTGATTTGTTGTTCCACTTATTGATGCATTCACTGGTTGATTCTTGTGTGTTCTGACTGGGGATTGAACCCACAACCTTGGCATATTGGGATGACGTTTTCTTTCTATTTATTTATTTATTTATTTATTTATTTATTTATAGAGAGGGGAAAGGAAGAAGAAAGAGGGAGAGAAACACTGATGTGTGGCTGCCTCCTGCACTCCCCCATTTGGGGACCCAACACACAACGCAACCCAGGCATTGACTGGGAATCGAACTGGTGACCCCTTGATTCACACGCCGGAACTCAATCCACTTAGCCACACCAGCCAGGGCTGATGCTGTCATTTTTAAGAAAATGTTTACCAATTACCAAACTCTGAATAATCACAGGTTGTCTGGTGGTCATTATTTTTTAAATTCTCACCCAAGGATATATACCTTCATTGAGACAGGAAGGGAGAGGGAGAAAGAGAAAGAGCGACATCAACTGGTTGCCTTCCAAATGCACTCCTATCAGGGACAAAACCCACAGTTTAGGAATGTGCCCTTGTAACAGGATAGTACAAAGCTACAAGAATTCCTGGGCAAGTGGAATAGGAAACTGAGACAAGAAAATTAAACAAGACCAAACAATCTGGACAACTCACTGTCAGCTGGTGAATTGCAAGACCTTATCTTCCCTAACCAAGCTCAATTGAGAGCAAATACCTCTCCTCTCTAACCAGAGAAAACATAATTTAAATCACCCTCATCAGAGAGAGAGAACAGAGACCTAATTTGTGCCAGCTAAACCCAAAGACAGATGAAGTCAGGAGAACAAATAACAAAAAACACCTTAGAGACACACAGACCCAAGATAAATGCAAAACAGACCACAGAACAACCCCGACCCCCGACCCCCACCCCTAAATGCTCATTTTGATGTGTTAGCATATTCAAATCCCACCTGGAAAGCTGATGAATATCCTGCTGAAACCCTCTCCTAAGATTCTTGCCCTTGGGGTGTGGGTGG